CTTTTTTTATTCGAATTATATATTATTATATAATATATAGATCTCTTATAAATAATAAATAATATATAAATATTTCTACTAAAAAAGGCTATTCTTAATAATTCCTATATATTAATTATAATATACTTTTCTAGAAATAGTTTTTTAAAATATAAATTACTTATACTAGCCCTAGTAATTTTACTTATATTATAAAAATTATAATTAAATATATTTTAATTTTTGAATTAGAATCTATTAATATAATTTACTAATTTCAAAATATATTTTATATTTAGATAGCTATATTTTTAGTATTAGGTTTCTAGAAAGGCTAGTATATATAATTTTAATAATTTTAGAATATATTCTAAACTAAATTAATTAAATTAATATAGTTTAATAAAGGATTTATATATACTAGTTATAATAGTTATTTTATTATTAATAATATAAATATTTCTAATAAAGAAATTAATAGTTTTTTTAGCTTAAGTAATTTTTTAGAATTAATAATAATAATATATTTCGAAATTAAAAACTATATAATATATTATTTAGCTATATTTTTAGCTTAGAAATAGTTAATAAAATAATAATTTCTTTATTTTTAATAAAAATTATGAATTTATTACTAAAAGTAATAGGAAATAGTTTTATATTTTTATAAGTAATAAAAGAGCTTTTATTTCTTATAAAATAGTTTATAGTATTTGAATTAATATATTAGATATTAGTAAAATTATTATTAAATAATTAGCTATTAAATAAAATACTAAATATTAATTTTCTAATAGTTGATTTTTTTAGTAATATAAGCTTTTTTATAAATAATTAATAAAACTAATAGTATTTTTTAATTAGTAGAATTAGAATTCTTTTTATTAGAATTAAAATAATTCTGGGCTAATTTATATATAATATAGTTTTTAATATTATATTCTTTGAATTTATAGAATAAATAATAGGTATTTAGATCTTTTTTTTACTTTGGCTTATTTAACTAATTTTTTTTATTTCTTTAAATAACTAGTACTTTTGAAATAGTATTTGGGTTAAAAGCGGGAGGTTTAGCCCTAAGCTTTTTTTTTTTAATAGAAGTATTTGCTTTAAGTAATTCCAGCTTTAATTTATTAATATTAGCTCTAATAAAATTCAGGAGGGGCTTATTATATTTCTTTGAGAAGCCACGAATTAGGTATTTAAATACGGAAATATCCGAAATTAATTTATTTATTTCCTTAGTATTATTAAATATAATAGTTTTTATTTATTAAAAGTATAGGGCTTTCTTTTAAGCTTTTAGCTATTTAGCTTTAGTTTGAATCTAACTCTAAATTTAGTATATAAGCTTAATTTCCTTAAATTATTACTAGGTATTATAGATAATAAATAAGCTTAATACTATTCTAGTAATTATAACTTAATAAGTAATTAATTTATTATTCTTTAAAATTATTTCTATAAAAGTAAGAACTTAATTAAAATTAATAAATTATTATAAATTTTTAATAATAAAAAGGTTTATAGTATTATTTATTCGAAAATAAATATTATTATTTAAAAAAGGCTTAATTTTAGTACTTTTATAAGTAATATAAATTAATTTTTTGGAATTTAGTATATTAGATTTTATAAAGAATTTTTAACCGAAAATAGCTATATTTTTAGTAAATTCTACTAATATAAAGCTAAATTAATAAGTGAAATTTACTAAAATTAATAATTTTTAATAAATAAATAAGTATTAAAATTATATAATATTCGGATTATTTAATAAAGTATTAGCCGAACTTAGAACCTATTAGAAAATAATTAATTTATTAATAGAAAATTAATATATTAAAGATTAATAAACTATAAAATAACTAGATATAAGAAAGTAAATTCTAGAAATAAAAGAAAAGTATCTAAAATAAAAGATTTATTTCTATTATTCTTTAGTAATACTAATAATATTATATAATCCGCTTTTTCTAATATATTATTAATTAGCTAATAAATTAAAGATAATTAAAATAATAATATATTTATAAGCTTAATAAGCTCGGTAAGTAATATATAACAAATATAAATAAAAAAACCCTAAATTAGTAATTAAATCTAGTACTAAAAGAACTAGTAAACTAATTATAATAATATATTAATTTTAATACTTTTCTATAACTAGCTAATTATATAAAGTTATATAATTATACGGGTTTAATACTAAAGTTTAATTAATAAATAGCTATTTAATTTCTAAAAAAAAAAGTATATATATATCTAAAAAAGCTTAAGCTTTATATCTTTCTTTAATTAGCCCGAGTTCTTATTAGAACTTTATTATAAAATAGCCTTCTTTTATTCTTTTTTCTACTATTTATAACTATTACTAGTAGTTTAATTATCTTATAAACTACTTTTTTTATCTTCGTTTTTCTTTATTTTTTAGGCTTTTTAGAGAATTATTATATTAAGGGAAATAAAATAAAGATAAAACTTAATAGAAGAAAAAATAAAAGAGTAATTAATTATAGCTTTTTAAATAAAAGTAAAATACTAAAGAAATCGATCTTAAGAAATATATACTTAATTAAAGAACTTATTAGTAATATCTTTTTTTAATAGAGTTTTAGTATTTTTAAAACCTTTAATAGCTTTAAAAGTCGGTTCTCTAGAATAATAATATTCTCGATTTTTTAAAGTATATTAGAATTCTATTTCCTAAAGTTATTTAGTATATAATTATAAAGCAATTTCTATAATCTAATAATAGCCTTTAATTTCTTCTATATTATAACCTCTTTCTCTCTTTTCTTTTTCTATATTACCTTGGCTTCTAATACTTTTTCTATTAATACTATATTTAGAATTCTTATATTTATAATCTTATTCTTGTTTTTTTTTAAAATCTTCTTATAGTTCTTATAATTATTAGCTATTTTAATTAGCTCTTTATTTATAACTTAGAATAAGGAAGTTATTATAAGTACTATAATAGCTGAATTTACTAACTTTTAAATAATAAGCTAAAAATTAGTTATTTATTTCCTTATTTTAGCTTAATTTTATTATATTTAAACTTGAGATTTAGTAATAACCTTAATCTTACTATTTATTTTATTAGTAGCTTTGAGAATAGCCTTAATATTAGTAATATTCTAGAAAGTTATAATAACTAAAGAAGCTATATTACTAGAAGTAATTAGTTAACTTATAGAGATTATAGGAAATAATAATATATATATTCGAACTTTTTCTGTTTTCTTTTCTTTTTATAATATTATAATAGGAAGTTAGCTAATAATAACTTTAGGATTAAATAAAAAAACTATATTTTCTTTATAAGAATATAATATTCTAATAATTAAAGGTATTAATTTATATTAGCTATAAGATCTCTAGAAACTTAATCTTATTAATTAAATACTTTATTTCCTAACGAGTTTTATCTATAATATATATATATATAATATAATTATATTAGAGGCCCGAAAACGCCTATATTATAAGATTAAAAAATATATATTAAGTAAGCTAAAAGGCAAAATAAAATGTTCTTTTTCTTTTTATAAAATCTTATAACCTCTAGGGTTATATAAGAACTATAACTATTAAAAATAAATATCCTATATTCTTTCTTCTTTGTTTTTAATATCTCTGGCTTAAATATTCTTTAAAACTACTTAATATAAAGCTTATTATTTATTTAACTTTTTTTTAGAGATATAAATATAGCTATTTAGTAATACTTTAATCTAATTCTTATAGAGAACCTTAGCCTTAAAGATAATAAAAGAACTAAGAACTTGTTTATTTAATAATATATATTTAATTAATAAAACCTATTCTCGGCTACTTTATTATATAATTTTTGGCTTTTTTGTTTTCTTTAAATAAATAACCTATACTTTAGCCAAAATCCCTATTATTATTTCCTTTTTATTTATATTATAAATATTATTATTATATATATTATACTCTGCTTTTTTTATTTAATAAAGCTCGAAATATTTTGTAATCTGCTCTGGATCTTTTATAATAACTTGGTCTTTATTAAGTAATAGAATAATTCGAGATTTAAGGTCTGGATAATAGTTAAGGAAACTTTAATACTAGTTAATTCCAAGAGGATTTGTAGTTAAATCTTTGCCTTATATCTTTAGTAACTTAATTACTATCTTCTAAACCTAATAAACTATTAGTAGCCATTTTTATACTTCTAATTTCATAATATATTATTAGATTACTGCCTCCTTAATTAGTAATAGCCGCTATTATACCGTTATAACCTTTGCCTTTAGTTTTACTTCCTTAATTTAATCTCGAAGTATTTCCTAACGAACTCTATACTTTCTAGTAACTTGGCATATTGATTTCTTCTTGTTTTAATCGAGATAATAGTCGTGGGCTATTTGAAGCCTTACTGCTTTAGGGACCTCGTCGGAATTGCCCTTATATTTGAGATAGTGATTTTTCTTAACAGGCATTTCGGCAAGTAGCAAAAGATTTAGAAATTAATTTATATAGTAGTAAAGTGTATTATGGTAGTTAAATAAGCATTATTTAAGTAGCGGTCAATTTTTTTTCAATTTTTAGTAGGATATATATATAAAAAACCCCTATCTTTTACTATCTTACGGGCAATTCTAGCCGTACTATAAGGTTAAAATGAATATAAATTTATCAGGATATCGAAAATACTATGGGGCGTTATTATTTAATAGGATTTGTAATTATAATAAAGGGTTGATTAAAAATCGATTTTTTTGGGGTGGGCGGATGGGGGTTTGGGCGGTTGGCTAGTGGATACTTCTAAAACCTCGGCATGTGGCGTTCTGCACTCGGTCACATGGACCACGCTTTTCTTCAACGAAATTATGAAAAGCACCTGGAGACGATGGGCTACCAGGCTACGGGACTGAGCAGGTTTGGCTGGTGGTGAAGGAGAGGGTAAGTTACTGCTTCTTTTTCAAACGCTGTACATATGCGGATCTGAATAGCGCAGTCGCCGTCAAGAGCGAGGTAAAAGTTTCGGCAGCTGCACGGAAGGGAAAGCCGGTTTTGCGAGCGACTGTAGTACAACTTGCTGCCATTTTAATATCCCCAAGGTGAACGGGTACATACTTCCCTTGAATGGGAGAAGGCGGCGATATATGACCAACTCATGCATCAGATCCCCAACACACTCAACGCCGGTGGCTTTTGCAATAACGCCTGCTAGTCGGTTTTACGTCTTTGTGCACTGTTTAATATATTACAGGTATTTCGTATTTGATATGGTCCGTAGCGTGCCATGAATAACAGTCGCTGTATATTAAGGGAACCGAACAAATGGCGCAATATACGTAGTCATATACGCACCCTTCTTCTCAGAGAAGTTGAAAGACACAAACGTGTGCACCGTTGGCGTCTCAATCTCGTCGTCAACAACATCGCTTCCACTGCAACGACATTAGCACATCAGCATCTCACGAAAGATCGGCCATAACTCACTATGCATCCAAGACGACTTTCTTATAAGCCCCTTCGACACCCCAGGCCCACCCTCGCTTCCGGAATACCTTCTCAATGGCCTCCACAATGGCTTTGTCGCTCTTGAAGTACTGGGGCAGTGGTAAATAAATCTTGACGTCGGGTATGGCTTGACCGGGCTTCAGCTCCCAGCTGAAGCAGGCGCCACTACTTTTGGGCGTCGTTTCTGGAACCTCCTTCGCAAAGTGCTCATCGATCTCCCTGTCCTCGGGCTCGTTGATCATCAGGTTCCACATGTCGCGAAGGATCGCCAGGCCGGCGAGCGTCAAATTATCCGTCAACTTGCCCCCGAAAGTAACGTGCTGCTGCACCGCTGCCCAGGTGTTGGACCGGGGCTCGATATAGATCTTGATGCGCGGGTCGGCTTCCGGGCCCACGCAGTCGATGCCAATGACCACCGTCAGTGGCGGGTCCTGGTACAACAGCTTCTGGTAGTCCTCGATGAGGTCTAGGGCAGGCCCAAAAGATGAGCCGAGCGGGTCTAGACGTCGGATGAGCTCGAAGCTGGCCCTGTCGGAGTTGATCTTGGAGGTCATGTACTTGATGACGGGGTAGAAATACGCCTTCATCGTCCTCTTGTCTTCCTCGAGATCAAACGCAAGGAAGACTTTGGGTATACGAATGGTGTCCTTAGGCATCTTCTCAATCAAAACGGCATCGTCTTCCTCTGAAGGGAAGAACTCGGCGGCGAACTGGTTGAACCAGCGCAAATCCGCGCCCACATTCTCTGCAATGGCAGGAATGGGGTTCTCGGTGACACCATCAGACCCCGGGAACACCGGCTCATAGCAAAAGCGCACAGATGACTTGCCGTTGTCGCTGTGGTTGAGGCTGGTCTCGAAAGGCGAGCCGTTGGGGGTCAGGAGGGACCTGGCACGTGATTTTTCGGGGGCGCGACCCATGCTCGGAATGATATACTCCTCCAAAAACTGAATGTGAGATGCCTGTTGCTCTGGGGTATAGCTTCCGACGGCTTTGAGCAGTGAAGTTAGGACAGGCTTGGTGTGCCTTGTCCAGAACGCCACGCCATCCTCCTTGGCCTTCGAAGCGGAGATCTCGGTGATGCTTCCAGCCGTCTTAGCGTTGTTCTGAATGCAGTTTTATATTCTCTTGGGTTATACCTCGTCACAGGTGTCTCTTGGCTCTTTGCCTTGCTTTTCGCCTCGCCTAGGACCAGGTCGACCCGGGAAACAGGGACGCTTTTGTGGACCTCCGATGCCATATCGTCAGGAAAGCTAAACTTCAATCCAAAACTCTACTTCGTCAAGTACTCCGGAAAAATATAGCACTCAAGAGAAACGAAAAACCGGCCACCTCTATGAGATGTCCAGGACTGCAGGACAGTCGTGGTGGTTATATATACCAATGGCGGGTCCCCCAGCGTCCCCACGAGCTGTGAATTAGGCAGCTATCTGGGCTTACGGTCAAGACCACCGGGACTCAGACGTAACCAATCACTTCTTCCCCGTCAGCAAATCAAGAAAGTGGAAACCATTCTTCGTTTAGTACCCCGGTTCATATAGTCGCGTATCACTGGTGTGGATGATCGACTAGGCAAATTTGAGCGCATTTCACGTGCTGGTTTACTGCAGACGGTTATAGGGGTTTCTCACCAAAACCTACTGCTCGGTAATAGTAAACAGCCATTAAAACTATAATTTACAAGCTGTAGCACAGTTACAACATCTTGTTACTTAATGATATATTGCTAGACGAGTATTATATACGCAACTAAAGTATTAAAACAGAACTAAAAGAGCGTATTACTTTTCTTCCTTTAATAATTTCTTTATATTTTATATTTTAAATCTTATATAATTATATAAGCTTTTTATAAAGAGCTATAATAATACTAGTTTATTAATATATATACTAATATATATATAATATCTTAAAAGCTCTTAACTTCTTTTTTTTAGTTTAAAATTTTAAAATATAGCTATTTTTAAGTTTTATTACTTTTAAATATAATTCTTAAAATACTTTTACTTATATATTATTATAAGAGCTATCTTTTTATTCTTATTTTAAATAAAGTTTTTAAAGGCTTTTTTATAAGAAATATAAGTACTTAAATAAGTTTTAATTAAAAAGAAATACTTTAACTTATATTTTTATTTAATAAAATTTAATACTTAGTTAAAAAGAAAAATAAGTAATTAATTACTTATATTAAACGTGAATTTAATTTCCTTTTTTATTGTAATCTTAGTTTTAGTTATTATAGCCAATTTATTACTAAAGATAAATATAATAAAACTATTACTTTTTAAGTTATAAAATACTTAACAATTAATATATATTAGATTTTGTTTTTATAAATCTTATAAATTAAGATGTTTTATTATAAAAGAATTAGTATATATTAAGAAAATATAATAAGATTTACTTATTTTAATATATTACTTTATTATTATTAAGCTATTATTATATAACTAATATATTAGCAAGCTTATAACTAAGAGAATACTAATAAAAATATCTATAATAATGTAATTGAAGTCAAACCGCATCTCACTATTATAAAGATCTATTCTTATTATAATACCCTTTTGAACGGGTAACTAAGTTAATAACAAAAGCCGCAGGTGGCGCATTAGTGATACGCGACTACATAAACCGGGGGTATTGTAACGCCAGCCAGCTGGCCAGGTAAATCCTGATCCTGCCAGGACCTTTGGTTTCTCAATCAGCACCAAGTGGCGGGCATGAGCAACGTCTGGACCGGAAAGGCACAACTTAACGGATACTCCCGGAAAATTGGAGCATCAGAATCGGACTTATGCGCATTGTGGCCAAGTAAGAGAAACCGTCAACCACTTCCTGTTTCGATGTACAAGATGGGATTCTCAACGAAGACAGTTACTAGCGCAGATTGACACTGGATAAGGCAACGTCTCCTTCTACTTAGGAGGAAAGGCACTCTGCGATCCAGAAACGTGGATAGAGAATATGGACGCGGTGCGTGCGACCATCATGTTTGCCATGGCCACGAGACGACTAGACACTGAAGTAGAACCAGCAGCTAACACCTCGCAGCAGTATTCTCCTTTTATTCTCTTGAACCAGCTAAGTTTTTCACTCTCGCGACCCAGCAGTTCTTGCTTCAGCCGCTGTAGATAGGACGTTGAATACTTGGAGGAATGATCTTCAAGCTCACCCGCTAATACGAATCCGAGAGAGCATGTTAAAGAGATAATATTTGTATTTAAGACAACCGAAAAGATGACGATTAGATAGGGGCTTTGGAGACCATTGACTGAATCGAAGAAGTGAATCATATACCTAGCGGCCAGTGCCCTAGTTATATGCCTTAGCCCGGGCGTAATAGGCTACTAGTACTAATCGCTCAGAATGTCTTTGCTCCCCGAGTGTGGGTGTGTATGTTCATTGACAACTACTTCACATCCCTTAAGCTCCTTGGAGTCAATGGCAAACGTGTCAAGTGGCACGCACGAAGTCAAGCAGGGCGCTGCTGACCTCCGCCCTCCTCTCTAGCATGACCCAATGCCCGGCACCCTCCAGTATTTTCTCGGTATACCCCTTGCTCGCATACGGCCTGATGCCTCTTCCAATCTGGTCAGCCCTGGTAACCCTGTCATCGCCGCCGCATATGCCAAGCACGGGCACCTTGAGCGTGCGCTGTGCGTCAGTCAACGGGTCCTCGTCCAGAGCTTGTGTTCCGCGCATAAGCGACCTGTAGTAGTTGAGCGACGCAGCTATTGCGTTTTTCTGGCTGTTGATCTGGAGCCATCGGGTCTTGTCTTCCTCGCTGAGCCATGGCGGAAGAGGACCCGTCTTGCCAGCTGTCAGCCATTCGCGCGTGCCATTGATTGCCGCAAGGCTCTTCACCCAGATGCTGTTGTCGTCCGGATATGCCAAGTGGAAGAGTGACTCAAGCTGACCAATTTGTCAGTACCAAGGCCCCTATGCGGCGCGTTTGGAAGCAAAGGCAGCGTACATTCTTAACCATGAGATGTTCGGCGTCATATGAGTTGAAGAAGTACCAATACCCCAGTTGCATGTACCCGAGCTGCGATTGACTCATGACATTAAGCCCATCGATGTCAAAAAATATCCCAGGGGCGGTATAACCTGCAGATATGAACACCAACTTGTGAAATCGCTCCGGGTGCCACACGACCACACGAGAGAGCAGCATGGAGCCCCAATCGTGCGAAACACCCACGACTTTGTCTATGTTCTCATGGTCTAATAATTCCATAAAGTGCCCGCTCAGGCGCTTCAAGCGATACGCCTCGATGTCAATGCGCTTGTCAGTGTCACCGTAACCGAGACAATCAGGGGCGATGACCCCATAGCCAGCCTCCGTCAGGTCGACGACTTGGTATCGCCAGTCATGGCGTGAGGAAGGGTAGCCGTGGGTAAGGAGGAAAGTCGCCTTGTTCCCCTTGGCGGGAACGTAGTCGTATGCATAGGTGTCCCCGTCACTGGTGGTGAAGCGTTTGTTGAAGTAGTTGTCCATGGCCTATTGATCGATGGCTGCAAGCTTGATGGTGGGGGTCTATCTTTTGAGGGGAAAAGTCCGGTGCATATTCCTATCAGCACGCCTGATAATCTCTTGTCAAGTCAAGCAATGAAAGGACAATGCCACCTATCTTTCACCTTCTGGTACCCTATGAGTGATCGCACACCCCCAAAGCGTCGAAAGGAAACCCCGAACTCCTCCGACCGTCACTCACAACGAGCTTAAAATCCTTCCTGTGTACAGTTAACCTTACCGGTACCCCACCCCGCTAATCATATGTTAGTTTGCCACTAGCGTCTTGGCAGCCGCTTTACCGTTGCACATCCTTCTAGCTGCCTACTAAGCCCTAGACTACCCTCCGTGAGCATATCCCTTACGCTGCGGCAGCGTCCGTGTCAGCCCGTGCGCATTTAAGCGAACCTGAGTAGCAAATCATATCGTCAAATTCTTGATTTCAAGACCTTTGATTTGCTGCATTTTTGCAGTATATTTGATCCCAGGGACACTGGCGCTGCCGCCGCGTAACAGATAAACAATAAGCCAAAAGTAAAACTCATTTGGACATCAATTGCGCCACTGGTTTTATATGCTCTTCTAGGAAATATATAACTTCGATTTTGGATGGTTTGGCTGCAAATTAATATTTGATTTTAGTAGGGAACACGGTACACCTATGTTTTTGATGTACTAAAGCAGCCCGGTGATTCACCCCAATTTGGCTAGTAAAATCAGCACCACCAGTGGAAAACTAACATGGGGGGTACAGTACTGTGGGTACTCACACGGTCGTGACCACGCCCTCAACTGCACAAACTACGAAGGAGGGCATGTCGTTGGATGCACATCAGTTGGAATCACAAGCCACCGATGTCATTTCGTCGACGAGGCAACTACGGAGTAGGGCAGGGAGCCAAAGCTGGACACCTGTACGTAGTACATGTGCGACACTTGCTTCTTGCTTACCTACCTGACGCATGCACCTCGTTCAGTGCGATGCAGTCAGACGTAAGGATGTTATATGTCAAATTGACTACTTTTTGTCAAGTGGCAAAAATCGTAATAAACCCGTCGAAGGCGCCACTCGATAGAAGATATTTAATAAACGAAAAAGATTATGGCTTAAGTTAGCCTTAAATTTTAAAGGGCCTAATCTTAAAGATGAAAATTAATTTTGTCGTTTTATTACTCAGTAAATATATTGCTTAATACCGTTAATGGTCAAAAACCTCTGTTAGTAATGTAGGCTGTATTTTACGTTTTTTACCGGCCGTGTGGCAATATTACATGAATGTTAACATCTGTAGCCAGACGGCGCATGCCACCACGCGGTTTGCTCTACTAGGCATTGTTCGTAGAAGTACTGTACATTGATCTGTCACGGCGGGATCGATGCAATGGTCCAAGCACAAAGTTCAAGGAATCTCATGTATTGAAAATACTAAGCTAGAGAGTAGAGGAGAAGGGAATGCCTCGACCTTTCATGGTCCTTCGCCGATCTCTAGCTTACTTGCTCGCTTCAGCCGCGTTTCCTCCCATGTGATATTTGCGGCAGATTATGCGGGTTTGCCAGCCGTCGCAGATCTCACACTAAACATCTCTTTTCTTCAAGGTAATGAAGTGCCGGCCGCAGGGCTCATCAAGCGTAACCTTGCGGACATTTTCCGGCCGCTTCTCCAGTCGCACAAAGTCGTAGTCCAGAAGCAGATGCGTGAGCGTCAGCTTGATCAAATTGCTCGTAAAAAACCGGCCCGGGCACGCCCCTCGGCCGAGACCAAAGTTCAGAAAGTCCGGGGAAATGTCAGTCATCTTGGGGTGCTCCGGGTTCTCTATGGAGCGGCGCGGGTTGAAGCCGCCCGGGTAAGCCGCCTCGTCGCGTTGGTAGGCCTTGATCGGGGCTGCGAGCAGGGCGCCCTGCGGAACATGCACTCCATTGGAAAAGGTAAACCCACCCTTCTTCTCGACGGCTCGTTCGAGGCCAGTCTCGCCAATGGGGTTGTAGCGCATGCTTTCGCGGATCAACGAATCCATGAGGTCGAGTCTTTGAAAGAAGTTGTGAGAAAAGCCGTCGCCCTTGTCCATTTCCCGCTTGATCTCCGCACGTAGGTCGGCCACCATGGTCTCGAAGTCACCTTCCGGCAACGAGATGAGGTCGAACACGAGGTTTGTCATGGTGACGAGGTTCGTGTACGACTGGACAAAGTTCAGAACCATCATCCTGGCCACGATTACCATAGGGTCATATTCAGCTTCTGAATTATTGTCCTTTTTCGCCGCCACGATGATCGCGCTCAACATGTCATTCTGAAAATATTTCCTGTCAACTTGAATGTCTTCTATAGTGGAAGTCGATTTTTTGGTACTCACCGGCAATTCCGGCTCGATGCCCTTCTGCTCGGCAGCATCGATAATGACCATCCGTTCCTTGATGATGGGCGTCGCATGCTTGGCTGCTGTCTTGATACATCTCATCAGTGGCCGGCACAGGAGAGGCAGTAGCAGCCTAAGAAGTTGACAGTTCAGTAAAATATCCCATCTCAATGGTCATGGTCTAGGAGGAAAGAGGACCTAGGATATACTCACGGGCGAAGAAAAGGGGGGATGAAACGGGCGTACAAGGCCGACGCGAAGAACGTGGCAGCGTACTGTGCCGTGACATCACCGTACTCTTGGTTATCACACAGAGGATAGCCTGAGATGATGCGGTTTGCAGACCGGCTCAGAATGCGGTTTGACGTATCCCACATGTTGATTTTGGCCTCGCCATTTACCCCGACCTTTGATGCGACGGCGTCGTCGAGGGCCGCGGTCATTTCCTCGTTTACCATGCCCATCTTGTCTGCGAGCTTCTGGTAGAGCTCTTTATGCACAACACTCCTGTAAACCGGGTGTGCTACGATGTGCCCGCCCAGCGTCGTGTAGTCTGGCACGAGGGCCTGTAACGTGTATCTCTTGAGAGAGATATCGTTCTCAGGCTGGCGGACGTATTCGTTAAGCAGCTGTTTCGGGACCATGAGCATGAACCCCGTGCTACAATGCGGGATAGGAACCAGATGGATGTTGTCATGGTTGGCTCCGAGGATCTATCGCAATCAGTTGTCTGCCTCAACTTCCTCGATTGCTGCTTCTTGGGGCGGTCTCACTTTGCTATGAACTTCCGCGAACAGCTCCTTGGACTTGAACGCAACATCCCATGTAGACTTGAGAAATGACCCAACCCCTCTCTCCCCGCTGACCCAGCTGAAGTTGCGATAGTCGCGTGAGAGAGCCGCCTCCAGGGCGGGCCGCATCAGATGATACAGCCATGCTACCAAGGTACCGAGAATCGTGTATAATATGATGCGAGGCAGAAGCGCCCGCAACCCATCCGTGAATCCAACTTCCATCGGGGTAATGGACGTTGTCAGGGTCGACTAGAAAGGTTTTGAGGTTGCCAAAGAGGAAGTTAGAACCGTGGTCGGGCTCTTGGCGACGTAGTTGATCAATGAGGAAACCGTTTTGTTTCTCGATGGTAAATTTCCCATCGGTCGTCTTTCTCTCCTCCACCCATGGAGCTACTACAACTGTAGGATCCCGTTTTTGTGACGTCGAGCCAGATCCTGCTCACCCGGTGCATCCACACTTGTCGTGTGGACCTAAGAAAATAGATCGAGGAGAAATGTTGCTGCCTGGTAATGATTAGATGGTTGCTGCATAAGAAGTAAGGATTCAGGAAGTTAGTTTACTACGTATTGTGGGTATGTAAAACCCCGCACGAGGTAGACGCGCTATGCCAGGATAATAAGCCAGGTATTCTGGCAGGAAGACTCGGGGTGGTATAACTTTTCCACAACCAAGATATCCATATGTAGTTAGCATGGTACCTAACATACTGTAGGCAGGCGTAGATAACAAGGGAGATGAACACAGGATGGGTAAGTATTCCGTAGCCTAGAAAACAAGAAATCTCTGCTGCTTCTCCCCCCTCCCACCACTCCCAAAATATAACGTAGCGTGGCAAACCTGGCATGGCCGTTCCGGCAGAAGTGCACGAATCGGAATGGCCGTGCCCCTCCTTGACCTTGCTACGTTTTATTTGGTGGGGGTGGGGGAGAGTAGAGAAGGGTAAGGATTTACGTGAGACCATAATCTCACGTTATCCCTGCGTCCGCTAAGACATTGCCACGCTAGCGGCCGCACGCGAATATCCCTTGTTCGGTTAAAATATAACAGTCTTCTCCAATCAGGCTATCCGCATTTATGCGACCGCTAGTGCTGGCAACATCTAGCGGACGTAGGGATACTGTACGAGTGCAGTGCTTACCGTGTAACCCCAGGAGAATGCTTTAGTGTACCAGAGGCTAGTTGGCAGCAAACCTGTACCACAGTAAACTTCTAGTGTGCATATTCCCCCATCCTTCCGTGCGGACTTTAGCAAATGGATCGAGGAGAAATGTTGTAGCCTAACAATAACCAGGTACTTGCTGTATAAGAAACGAGGATTTAGGAACTAGTTTATGATCGACTATTTAAGAGATCTTTACTGGTCTTTTAGCCAAAGGAACCTCACTTACTATAGCGGTGTATTAGGCGACACTATTTTACTTAATCAAACTAGGTGGGTATTTAAGACAGTTGCAGTCTCCTAATCGTGTCTTGATACCCTGGATCTGGTATATTTTTGAAGCTGCCTTTGCAAGCGGAGCTGATATTCATCGCCTTTGCCTGGAATTCCATACATTCATTTTCAACCACCTGCTAATCTTGTTCCTGGCTCTATAAAACACCCACAATGTCACGCACGGACACATTCTACAGTCTCGGCTTGATGCCCGCCTTGATGGGCTTGGGTCATCTGGCACCATCGATAGGTGCCATACAGACAGCCACTGGCTCGTACCAGTTTCCTGGCAGACTTCTTGGGCTTATTGGCACCATCTCGGCTGTTGTGGACTGTACGTGACAAACTGACAAGGTCCACTGCTCCGTGCTTTGTGGGTAGTGATTGATAATTGCGTTATACAGCCGTCGACACATATAAAGATATCCCGCTGTCAAGCAGGCCTTCAAAGTGGATTTGGAAGATCTGGGTCTATGGTCTGTGGGCCATTGTGCTTGCATGCACTGTCTTGTCGGGCATGCCGACAGCGATCGATATATATCGATTCTTGCCTCTGGGCCTGCTTTGGGGTGTTCCTTGTATCCCGCGATTCTCAACCTCAAAGAGTCTAATTCTGGCCAAGCCGAAAACATTGGTAAGTTCCCTATCAGCTCTCGGATCGCTGAACTACCGCTGAACTTTGGGCAGCTCATCGAGGCAAAATCACTTGTTGTGGCATTGTGTATGGCCAGCGTCTGTGCAGAGGCAAGCATGGCCTTCTACTGTCGACAGGCGGAGTCCCAATGTAGTGACAGGAACCTCCGGAGGAGAAGTTTCTACCTTGCGGTCTTGTATGAATTCTTTCGGGAAACCTCTTGTGACGTGAGGGACATCGCCGAGGATGCGAAAGAGGGCCTAAAAACACTGCCGGTGAGGCTTGGGAAGCAGAACACGATGCTTCTCATGACGGTTGTGGGGTTGGTGCTAGACTCGATCTTGACGCAAAGTATAGCTTTCACGGCGAGTGGCATCATCGTGCGGTCTCCGCAACTTGCTCATGCAATCCTGCGAATGGGACTGACAATGACTGCTTACTGGCAGATCTTAAAGTATCCAAGAGACAACTACTGGGCTTGGGGATGTATGTCGCTCTTTGGCCTTGTTCCTGTACTGTTTGCACAAGCAGCCTTGCACAGCTGATGAGGAACTTTGACGGAGCTGGATTGGCTGTTTGCGGGACTATGGGCCCGGATGGTGGTGGAAAACGGAGGTGTATAGAATAGAATATGTGCTTTAGATTCTCTACAATAGAATGAAATGTCCCTGGCGTCTCCAAGCGAATAACGCAGTTTGTCAGCTAATACTCAATACTCCAGTCATCCTGTACATAAAAGCAGAGAGCAAAGGATATGTACATGACAGGACTCTCTTGATTGATATGAGCAAGAAGTTATGAGGACTGTGTGGATTCTTCGTCGGAATTATTCACAAATGAATTCATGCGAATCGCTCTAAGTAATCCATCAAATCCGACCACATCTTGCCCGGTAACGAAATGGAGAACCAAGTGTTGCCGTCATAGTCCTTTCCCACGACGACAAAAATGCTCGAAATGACCAAGACCGCATTGTGGGATGGGTCAGATGCGTGATAGTACACGGGATGCCCTCGTTTGCTCTTTCCTAGCCCCGGAGCCGCGTCTCGCACGACCGCTGGACTGAAGTCCATCTTCTCGGCAAGGTTACCTTTGGTCCAGTTGGACATGAATTGGGTGGCCATATTCTTGTCACCAAAGATGACCGGCATCTTGGTTGCCCTCATCGACTCCAAGGAAAGAGATGCGGCTGCCTTTAGCTGTTCTTCCGCGGCCTGGGTTGCTATGGCCTCGCGCACCAAGCGGGCCAGCTTACCCAGCGGCAGCTCGAGAGCTTCGTTGGCGCGACAGAAGAAGTAAATATTTGTTGGCGAGTTTTGGACGTATGCTGCGTCTTGACGGAAAACCGACCGGGCGCGACTTCGAGGGTCCAAGGCCATGATGGTCGCCAACTCCCGACCCGAGCCGGGCCCGTGGTACTGCGCCAGCATTCGGCAGGCCACAGCGGTCAGAACGTCTCCTTCGCTGATGAAGGGCTTGCTGGACCCCGAAGAGGTAGCATCATCGACTTCGACCACGATGTGACTCCTCGCTTCTTGCATAATGTTCTCCATCGTGTGCCTTGGGACACACAAGGTGCGCGATTGCACATCCGGGCAGCGCCACGAATCATACAAGCTGCGTAGTCCCCAATATTTGAGGCGCCACCCGTCGAGCACCTTGTCCGCCAGAACATGGCGTTGCTTGGGTGCCGGGTTCCATAGGCCATCAAAGGCGTCTTCGCGATATCCCACCATTGGAGCCACAGCTTCCGGCTTTCCGGCCAGAACGAGACTCCATGCTTCAAGTATGGATGCCAATCCCATCAAGTCGGTTGATATGTGAGAGTGCGTGACAGATACGAGAGTGCCGTCTGTGAACGTCTGCACATGCAAACAGAATTGGGGTTTGCCGGAGAAGACGAAGTCATTTATGTTGCGAGGCGTCCCAGGGCCTAGTCCGAGAGAGCAAAACTCCCTGGGGCCGGAATAAGTAGTAACTTGACCCGTTGGCCGTGGCAGCTTGGCGGCCAACGGGTGCTCCGTCATGGGGCTATCATGGTGTTCTTTGGTAAAATGCACGGCCGGACGCTCCTCTGAACAAATATTTGGGACATGTATCTCCAAACTCCCATCCGGCTATAGCCCGAATTAGCGGCAAGAAGAGGCAACCGTTGATGAAGAAAAACATGTGAAAATAGCAAAGCGGTGCCGCCGCTATCTTACCCGATACCTGAACCTCCCACTGAACCTCCGCCACCCATCCATCTGAAAAAGCTGCGACAAGGCAGCATGGAGCTTGCCAGGGTCCAGGACATCGTCGAACTTGTATGTCCACACCAGTACTATCCCGCGCGCTGCCGCAGAGTCGTCGAATAAGTGCACAGGGATGATGTCATCGGTTTCAAGAAGCTCCGGTAGTGGAGGCTGCTTGTTCTTGAAGAACGGCAGATAGGTGAGGAGACCAGACATAACGACGTGATGTTCAGGCTGCGAAGAGCCACAACAAAAGTACAGTTAGACAGAAGAGTGATGAAGTGGCAGCCCGGGCCTTGGCAGGATGAGCACGGGAGGTACTTCCGTACCCCGCACACTGGGGACAAGTGGGGTGACAAGTGGCGCTTACTGTACTACTTATACTATGTAAGACCGCAACAATGCGCATCAGCTGCGGGACCGCCCGGGATTTGGCGACTGGGGGCCACCTGGAGTACTTTGTGCCTGTGTGCACTTCAAGTCGACATGCCCAGTCCTGCATTCCAAATGGGCCTGCTATAGTATAGGAGATGCTGTACTAACAACTTGAGAAAACCAAGGCATATATCTACCATATGCTTTGTATATACATAATGCAATCAGTAGCTCGTAACTACATTATTCGTAATATCAAGTAACATGCATTAGGGCTTATTAGTGCTATTTAGGTTCAGTCTAGGGTAATGGTTGTCCTCATAACCCCTCGAGGTGCTTTGAGTAATGCATGGGCCGACTGGTATAAGATTTGGGAGGCGGGCCACGCTGTAATCGGTTGCGCTTGCCATAATACTACGACCACTACTCTGCCACCAAGAGCAATCACTTGTCATCATGGTTACCCGGCTCGTCCTCCTCGGTGCTTTGCTCGCTGCGTCTATCGCCTTTCTCTTCTCGGAAGGAAACACGCCGCAGCATGATCCGTACATCCAAGGCAAAAATAAAACAATCCTCTTCATCACAAATAGCGAACATGGCCTGTCCAATATGCACCTTGCCACTTCGTCAGCGCTGTTGGAGAACTACCCGGACCTGGACGTCCACTACGCCTCTTTCCCGGGCGTTCGGCGCAAACTGGAGAGTATCTCATCATTTGCCTGGGCCAAGACCCCGGCCGCGGGCGACATTGTATTTCACGAGCTCAAGGGGTTGACCTTCGCCCAGGCGATTGCGAAAGAAGGCAGGAGTTTCATCTCTTCCCCGGGTTGGACCAGCATTACCTCCCTTGCAGAGCATATACAGCTCTGGATCTCGCCATGGTCCGTCGAGGATCATATAAAGATCTTCGAAGAGCTCGGTGCAATCATTGACGAGGTGGACCCGGCAGTCGTTATCTTGGATTCTTGGTTTCGACCTGCTATAGACATCACCCGCAACAAGAACCGCCAGCATGCCTTCATTACGCCAAACACCCTTGTGGACAATTTTCTGGGTAGCCAGCCGCTCCGAAACATGTTCTGGAAGTACCTTGCGTAAGTCTAGTATCTTCATTTGAAGGGGACATTTAGCTCACAGCTAAAGACCCTCGTCAGGCTTTTCTTTTCCGGTCCCTCTCCGAAATATCCCCGAAAACATCTACATGAATATGCGTTATGTTTACGCTGCGATGACGACACCAGACTTATCTGCCAAGAAGGCCGCTCTCAGAGAAAAGGGGCTTAAAGATCCCATCAATCTTTTCGGGATCCATCGCCCTGACGCCCCATGGATCACTCAAACTACCGAGGGTGCGATGATCCCGTTGGACTTTGTTCCACCTAACATCACCTGCGCCGGTCCTATCCTTCTTTCAGGGGCTCCGGCCTCTCAACAAGATCCTGAGCTGGCCGCCTGGCTGAAGAGAGCTCCGACTGTACTTATCAACCTTGGAAGCAACCTTGCCGTGAGTCGCATCTTTTATAGGAGGCCGATTTCGAGTTCACTTCAGTGACAGAAGTTAACCTGAACTGCATTAGTACGACGAGAGACGGGCTGCATCAATGTCCATAGCCATAGCTGAGGTGCTATCGAAGTTTGACTTTCAAATCCTATGGAAGTTCAATAAGATGGGCGAATATCCGGATGACGGCTTGCTGCCTCTCAAGCCATACCTCGATAGCGGCCGGATGAGAATGCCGAACTGGCTAATTGCCGACCCATCATCACTCCTCGAGACCGGGGATATTGTCGCTTCTGTCCACCACGGCGGGTCTAACTGCTATCACGAGGCCATTGCGTGAGTCGGCACTTGCGAGAGTTACCACTTTACTGCTGACATATGACTAGCGCCGGTCTCCCTCAGGTCATCCTTCCACTCTGGGCCGACCTGTATAACTTTGCCGCTCTGGCCGAGACCATTGGTGTGGGGGTTTGGGGCTGTAGGGAGACAAGTCCGGATTGGACGAGTGAATGTTTGACTAACTCCCTTCTGAGAGCTCTGGATGGGGCTCGGGATAGTGTTTCCTTTCGCAACAAGGCGAAGCAGTTAGGTGACAAGGTGCAAGCAGGGGACAAGGGACGCGACATTGCAGCTCGGAAAGTCGCCGAGCTGGCGTATGTGAGATAAATTTTCCTTAGGATAACGCCGCTGGGTTAAAAAGTTTGCCAACATAAACTGATCGACGCAATGGCGTTATGAGTCTGCAGCCGCGAGGGTAGTCGTTTGTTTTTAGACCTTCCATGCTTCAATGAACTCTAATTGTTTGAATCCTCGGATAGTCCTTAAGATCAGGCGTTCAGGCAAAGAAATATGTCAGTGTTGTCTTTATGATGTCTAGCTTGGGATTTCCAGGAGAGCCTACAGACTATGGTATTCCCTGGCCGAGATGCGTTGGTCCGAGATCACTAGGTAGGACTGTAGGAGGTCAGCATCTTCTCTCCCTAGTCTCACAAGGCTGGCATAGTTATATAAGAGAAGGCCGAGCGGTAATTTTTACAAGCTGTTTTAATCGACTTGAGAACTAATTAATATATCTAATGATAAGGTAATTAATAAGGAAACGATCCGTTTTAAGAGAACAACGAAAATAATAAAGAAAAAAAACGTTTTTAAGGAGCTATAAATAAATGCTCCTTTATTTATTAAAGGTTTTAGTATATTTATATTTATAATGAAAACAAACCGTAGTATAAATGTGGGAATATAATAGCTTAATTATTATTACATTATTAAGTATATTCAAATTCATTTCTTTTATTATACGTGGGGCTTTCCTTCTTTTAATAGGGGTTCTCGAATCTGCCTTGGCTAGTAATTCGCTCTAAGCCTCTAACCGAGATCGTGTATATAATAGTGCGGCTGCTGCAAGAGTTCCAGGCCATAAAATCGTGCGACGACTCTCCCTGGCAAGCAAAGTGGTTAATTAACTGCAGTGTCAAGTCCGGGTATAATATGTGCTTGGTGCCATAATAGCCTGTAAACAATGCAATCCGATCCCTATTACCTTGAGGATTATTGCTAGATTAACGGGCAGAGTTATTCAACTTTGTATCCAGGGTTGTACGTAAAATTCTATATGGTGCTAATCGAAGTGAGGCTACGATTAAGCTCTTAACAAGTCATCACATTTATTCAGGTAACGAAAAGATGCATGCGTCCCTGTCTTAGTATTGCAGCCTACCTACTCTCTAAACAGTAAGCGAGCATTAAAAGGGGGGCCGGGTTAGCGACGAAAGCACTCCTTTTCGCACCAAAGATGTGAAGGAGATTTTCATTGGGATTTCCATTCACAGACCACCGCCACAACTTCTGGACTCGTTGCAACGACTGAAACGGTAGTAGACTTGAGATGGTGCGGAGCGAAAGCAATCCATGTGCTCAATCAAACTAAGGATGCTATCTAATCTCATCATCTTCGCAATTGATCTCATCTTGCATCTCATAAAGAAAGCTATCCCGACCAAATCCCAACTCCATTCTCCAAAGCAACAGAACGCTGAACTCTCCACAAAAGATTCTCGTCCGGCCGGTACCACGTAGCAAACATCCCTCATCAATTCCAATTCCGACATTAACTTGCTTGCACATTACACCATCCTCCACCTCCCGCATTTCCTTGGTGAAGCAGAGGAGATCAATGGAATATGGGGGGGAGAGAGGCAAAAATATCAGCCCCCTCCTCCCCGATCCTCGTAATCCCCCTCTCGCCCCCCTCTCTAAACCCCTGGCTAAGCCCATGTACTGGCCGACTCTCCGCCGTGCTCCTGCCGCCCAAACTCTCCACCATCGCGGCTCCCTCCCCTTTCATATCGCCCTCCTTCTGGACCACCCGGTTCAGATTCGGGGTGTTCGATGTACTCTGGACTGTGGACACTTCCTGTGCGAGAGGCGAGGAGTGGACAGGTGAGTTGGAGTGCTGGGATTGGGTCTGCGAGTTGTTTTGGGTTTGCGACTGTGATTGAGAGGGCTTGGAGCCGTCGCCGCCTCGGGTGGAGGTGCGGGGGGAGACGCGGCCGGTCTGAGGAAGTAAAGGTTAGTGAGGGGTTGGGAAGGGATGGATGATTTGTGGTGAATGAAAGAGATATTGGAATGAGGTGGGGAGGCAGAGTGTAGCGGAACGCTGACATTTACTAAGCGCAGCAGGACAGGGCGAGCAAGCAAGACAGAGCAAAACGAAGTGATGTGACGGCGTGGGTATAGAACAGAACAGAACAGGCGAAGTAGCCGTGGCAATCGAAAGTAATACGGCATCTTGCCTCGTATTTTAATTTCCCTTCTCAAATACTCTTTTCCGCCGAATACGTAGCAAATATCGATAGAAACAGTAAAGCAACCGCGATGGTGGTTTTAGGGGACGGGTAATCATCGAGCTGATTAACTTCGAGATGTGGACGAGTCTGACTGGGACAACCCCTTATACGATGATCGTCGGACGGTTCTACTGTGATCAGAAGTACTTCCACTCACCTGTTTGGCCCACCGCAGCCCGCAACTATTACACAGGTCCCTGTTCCCGCTCGGCCCTCGCCGCCATTCGGGTGTCACTCGAGTATGGCAGTTCGCACAGTCGCGCGTCGTCGATCCTCCCTTGCGCCGTTTTCGCTTCTTCTTATTCTGTAGCAAGGCTGCGAGTTCTTCTGCTAGGATTCGATTGCTCTTCTCCATTTGCCGGAGTTCGAATTGCCAGCTTGTGCATCGAGTCGTCTTCAGCTCGTCGAATATGTTGTCTTCTGAAGCCAGAATGAGATCTTGGTTCCCAATGGGAAGTCGAGTACCACCAGCTTGCGTGACAGCGCCCATCATATGCGAAGAAACCATTTGAGATTGGGTTGGGGTTCCCCCATCTGGAGCAGGCGCTGAAGATAATCCTGAGGGATGGCTGAGAGGAGTTCCATCATCAGAGGGGTGATTGGCTATCGAAGTCATGCTTTTTGAACTACCACTATTATGGGAAACCAATGCAGGTGCGACAGAACGGGAGGAAGTCTTCAACAAGCGTGTTTGAGCGACCAGGAACGTAGGTTTCTGGCCTTCCGCAGCATCTCCCGGATACAAGGTAGTCTGAGCTTGCAATACTAGACCTCTTTTGTTAAGAATCTCATGCTTGTGGGTGACTCGCTTTCCAGTTCTCGCCTTCTCCAAGGACCGGCCAAATTCTACTTTCGATTCGGGTCGCATGAGCGCTTGAATGCTAGTGCCGACGAGATCATCAGGATTTCGATCCAGCAGAGTTCGCACATTTGATGAAAGGAACAGGAACATCCCGGAAGTCGACAATTTCGTCCACATCTCGCTGTCTCCGATACCGCCAGCAGCTTCCACATCATGGCGAGCCAATGCATAGACAGGTCTTTCTCGGCCAACGAGGATGATGCACTTTCGTCCCTTGCCTTGCTCAACGCATAGAGATCCATGACTCTCGAACCATGTATAGCCACTCTTCTTCCGCCGTATTCGAAAGACGACGTTCACAGAAGCTCCAGCAGATGTATCCTTCAGTTCTCGAGTGACAGGAACGATGTCGCTGGGGTGGCAGACAGATGACAGTGCGGTACCGACAAGTTCAGAAGAATCGTACTCCAAGACATGACGACTTGAAGGCGACAGATATAAGAAGAGACCTTTGAGTGAAAGGACGTGAACAACATCATCCGTGTTCTCAAGCAAAACCTTATCCCACATCCTTTTCGTCAACTCCGACTCCATGCTTGTGTTGATCGAGCTTAAAACTGTGGAAACGTCGTCTCGACTAATCGTCCGGCCACCGTCTCGTGGTCGATTTTGTTCGGGGGGTTGCCATATATATTTTGGCAAGTTCTCTTGCGAATAATCAACAGTATAGAGACCGCTCACACCCTTGGCGGCGAGCGCCTCCGGCTTCAGCATCAGATCAACCTGAAATCCGACGATGTACCTGATCTCCTTATCATCTTCTCCAGTAATAGGAACCATACTAAGCATATTCATAAAAGGTTGCCCTCCTTTTCGATAGTTGATTATACTCTGCTGAGCTTCTCTGCGAGCCTCTATCCGTTGCCGTAAATAGTAAACACTATCATTGTTGACGAAGTTCCGATATGCTCCAGCCTGGACCTTCCCATTTGGGTCTTGAAGAAACCGACAGTTCTGGCCAATGATTTCGTGTTTCCCATACCCAGTCAATCGTTCGAAAATTTCCGAGATGTAGATAATCGGGCAATCGTACATTGTGATATCGCAGACGACGAAAGCGCATGACAGATCCACCTTACCCAAATTGACTTCCGGGTTCTTTCGGTTCGCAACCTTCATCAAAGCACCTAGCATATCGAAACCACTCGTAGAATAGATCCCAGAATAATCTGGCTTCTTCTCTGATTTCACAGTAATTTGTGCATCATCGGCTGGTGGCGATGGCCCGACGAAAGGTGTTTCTTGAGCTGGAAGAGCCGGCATATTGGCCGTAACTGGAGAAGTGTATGCCATGCTCTGGCTCATGGCCATGTTTTGAGACGAATTGACCAATGAGGGATTGGTAACATTAAGTGAAGGCATCGTCGGTATCATTTCGTCACTCTCTTCAGGAGCCCTGCTGTCACGGTGTGGTGTCAAGCCCTCTGGGAGATTCTGAGGCATCATAAAGTCGTTCGTCATCGAATCCATGGTACCGGGACCGTAAGGTTGTGAGAAGCTCGTTGGAGAGAACATGTTCATCGCGTTTGAATCCTCTTCTGATATTCCCTCCATTCCCATTGGCCCATAACCCATTATACCATGTACCATATCCGCAGACATCCCAGGAAACTGAGCATTCGTATCAATCGACAGAGGATCCGAGACTATAGCCCCTGAAAACCCCATCTGTTGACCCGGCATGCTCATCCCTGGCCCCATATTCGCCATATTTCCATACGCACTCGCCATGTCCAATTCGCCCGTTGACTGCCGTCTCAAATTCGAGTCTCCCGACATCGAGGTCGCCGGGCCAAACTGAAAAGCACCCAAATTCTGATCAGTCGAGCCGAACTCCATCATCGAAGACCTGCGGTCGATATCTTGGGCGTATGCTCTGGGTAGACTCTGCCTGCGCTGCAGCTCTTGATTATTCTGCATTATGATATCGTCCAATGAATCTCCGCCACCCATCATCATATCCATCGTGTCGTCATTGCCTTGCGGTTGGGGTCCTGGGACCATCGACGAGCTGGCCCTGTTCGGCGCATTGCTGCGTCTCCTCTCCGCCAGCCGCTGCTGCAGATCCTCCTGCGAGTACTGCGTCCCAAAGAACGAGTTCATGGCGCCAACATCTACCCTGCGGCGCGTCCTCTATCGTCGGTGTGCGGCTTTCGTCGTGTTGGACTCATGGGCGTGTTGGAAAAGTGCCTCGAGTGCGAGCGGCGTGTATCATGGATGGGATGTCAACACAAGCTTCGATTCCCGGTCGTGTTTCTCTGCCTTGGGCGGTAAGTTGGGATCGGAGTAGGTAAGATTGGATTTGTGTAGCGTTTCTCGACAGAGGCAATTGTGCGAGGGTGCGGTTTGTGGGGATGCCACTATCACGCTGTTTGGAGACTGTGGTCAGCCGTGTTTGCGCGCGAGCTACCCCTCCAAGCTAACTACGAGCTGCAGGCTTGAGAGATGGATCTGGACACTTCGTGGATGAGGCTCCCAGTGAGGCAGGAAGTTCGATTTTCTTGCGTGGGTTCTCCAACGGTTGAAGCGGCAATCCAGGTTTCTTTTGACGATGGCTTGTGTGACGCGGGTGAAGCTCGGGATAGGTCAATCTGTTTCGACGTCGTACAGCAGCTCGAGTCGGTGAGACAGGCCGTGAGCTTGATCTGCCGGGTTAAATTGATGGAAATACCTGCGTCCGGGGAGGTAAGCTTGTGGTTTGGGCAAACTGTTTGCTTGATACTTCATGGAATGGAAGTGGTCGCCGGACTTGCGCTGATCATGGAGCTAGTGGGGTCTCCACGCAAAACGATGCCTCCACTCCACTCCACTCCCGCCTGAAACAGGACAGTGCGGAAGAATCGGATTCTGCAGAATAGCATCAAGGTACCAATCGCATTCAGTACGTCCGGTATAAATCGCAACCAAGTTGGTTTCCGAACCTCTCGGACAGCTTCCAACAATGCCACCTAGTTAAGAGCATCTGGCCCCCCTTTTGACTTCACCCCAGGGGAAGATGTTTGCGTTCAATTTCCCAGCCGCGGAGCGAAGCCCCGTACCGGTACTTCGGTCCCAAGGACGGGTTCCGAGTCAAGCACAAAGGACCCGTTCGGAAGATCCACATCCACACCCCAACAATTCTGCTGAAAACCTGTGCGGCGGCGCTTCAATACCGGTGTTATATATAACTCACTTCTTATCAGAATCACATCAACCAAATAGGCACCAATCTCTAGACATTTATCTGGGAATTCCATTGTGAAGGAGATGGCCCACATCGCGGCCAAGCCACCACCGCCATAAAAGTGCCGCCAAAGAGTGCATTACTTCTCCCATCAGATCTCGCTATGCTAAAATCCGGCCCCAGAAAACAAAGGAAAATAAGAGGTGTAGCGCGTGTGGTATCAAATCATTCTATGAGTCGTCAATCTTGTCCCATCCATTGCCGTCCCATATCCGAACGTCCCATCCCGCTTGTTGCCCAGTATTCGTAAATGGTTTCGTTCAGCCAAACATTGCCCTTACCGTCTGTTGAGTTTCGATCGGCAGAGATGCAAGCACGGTTTGGGGGTCGAGTCCAGCCACCTGCAAAAGAACCTTGCCCGCCTCGACGATTCGTTGAGCGGTTTGGCCTTGCAATGTTTCCGCTTCCAAAGCTTGGGCAATAAAGACGAACACCTTCCCAGCTTGGCCGATGACAAGAGGGTTTCGTCTGGATTCGTCAGCTCTACATTCTCCCAAAAACGATTCTAGACTTACTGGTCGATCAATTGAGCAAGGTATGCATAAGCATATGGTGCAGCTTCTTCATCATTCACAACCGGGAGAATGTCGATCCACTGACGAATCACCTCTTCCTGGTTGGGGACGCTCGCAGCATTGTAGTGCAACACCTTGGCAATCGCAGCACACGCATTTTCTGTCGCATAGACATCATCATCCCCTCGGGCGTTGGGCAACCGAGTGACCTGGAAGAGCAATTCGATTGCTGGGCCGAAGAAGGCAGACCATTGGGGGCCACCCTTGTGAGCCGCCACCCCGATACCATACGCAGCAGCTTGTCGATTAGCTGGTGCCGTATCTCTGCAGCCGGCGATGAGTGGTTCAACAATGTAGTCCTTGTACTTCCAGCTCTCCTCGCCGCAGAACTCCAAAACATCGTCCATGATGCATAGACCCCACTGTCGCTGGGTGCCATCTTGGCTCTTAAGGAATTGTTCGTAAGTGCTGTGGAGACGTTCCCATGCTGGTAGGAAAGTGACTCCATGGTTTTTGAAGATACAATGGAATGCCTTGTTCATGTCCGAAAGAAGCGTCTGGTCATCCTCAATGGCGAACAGCATATCCTCCGACTCTTCTTCGCCTTCTTCCACCGCATCGCCTTCTCTCTCTTCGGCACGGACCGCCACCCGGTCCTTGTAATCCTCCAAAGCTGAATGTGCGGAATCGATGAACGTCTCCATGTTTTGTTGAGTGAGGCAGTTCTTGCCCATGACCTCAACAGATTCGTAAAAGCATTGATACATCTCGGCCAGGGTGTCGACTGCTGGTTCCGCACTGAGAACCTCCAAGAGCTTCTCAACTGTGCCTCTCCACAGGGTCTGCAATTCATTGGATGGGTTCCCGAAAGCCTTCTTGTATGAATTCAGGAGTTGCGGTACACACTTCGCTGAAACAACTCGGACGGGATCATGGAAAAAGAAAGCCAACCCGGGCAAAGTAATCTTCTCCATGACCTCGAGGACATAAGGTGCGAATGAGCCTTCCAGAACTTGCGCATAGACAACCAAAAGCTCGATGGCCATATGCTTATCATCAAGGGTACTTGTCTTGATACCGATGACTTTGCCTCTTAGAGGTACGAGCTCCCAGCCTTCATCTTGCTGAACTTGCTCGACCTGCTCCTCATCATCAAGTAATTGGATATCAGCTTTTGCACTGGCCAGCTCCATAAGAGGTGGCATGACGCTCGGCAAGAACGGTAGGAAATCCTGACCAAGAACTCTGCACATGCGTCCCCAGCAGTGCATGAGATACTGTGCTTGAGGATCGTCCGGATCTGTGATTCCTTGCTGAATAGTAGCCAGAAGTTGAACCAGACTCATGGCATCATTGCCCAGCCTCTCCTTTCCGACAGCCAATGCAATGAGGGTTGCGCATTCCATCGCCTTTGCTCTGAGGAGACGAAGCTCTTTGGTGTTTTCTTGTTGCAAGACTTGGAAGAGCAACGGCATCAGCGTGTCGTAATATTTCGCAAAAGCTGCTTCAGCTGAATCTGCGATTGTCGCGATCGTTGAAAGGGCCTGCTCTTGAACATAGCGCTTCGGACTTTGCAGGAGTTGGAAGAGGTGCGTCAGTAGGTCGTCAAGATATGGTTCTAAAATGGTCTTCTCAGCTTCCTCGCAAAAGTTCACCAGCGCTGCGGCTGCATGAGCCTGAACTCTAGGTTCGGGAGAGTCGAGAACAGGAATGATGGCAGGAACCACAACTGTGTGATATTTCTCTTGCATGGTCACAGCAAAATCAGTGCTCATCTGTCCAAGGGCATTACAACCCGCCCATCGGACCCGAGGGTGTGGATCTCGGAGTGCGGGAACAACGAGTTCTAAGACCTGGTTCAGTTCGCCAACCATCAGGTCTCTGCAACCTTCTGAAATTGCTGAGATGGCCATAAGTGCAGCGTGTCGATCCCTCCAAGCATCCGAGTTCATCATTCTCGGAAGCCAGCTGAACGTAGGTGCCAGGATAGTTGCACCACCGAGTTTGTTTGCCAATCGATCCATACATTGCTCGCCTGCAACGTGGTTCAGATCGCTCTCATCCGGATCCATATCGTCTGAGGCATTCCATTCAGCAGCATTGTCGTCATCAACTCCAATGTCTGTCATCAAACTCAAACATTGTGTGATCATATCGGTGGTGTAGGTCGGATCTTTCTTGACCATTGCTGGCGCGTAGTCTGCAAAGGTGGCCATGAGTTCGAGCGCATTTTGCCTTGCTTGATCGGTGAGCTCCTTATCCTGGATCACAGATATGCTAAACGCTACCAAGTTGTGAAATAAAGGTCGGAACATCTTTGGTGCAACTTCAGCGAGGTCAATCAGCGAAACCAAAGCTCTCGTAAGCTCTTCCGATTCCTGCTTCTCCTTAATTGGTGGTAGGATATTGAGTACTTCAGGAATGAGAGCGTAGTATTTTTGTTGGGATTTCTTGTTAATGCTTCGGAAGAACGAGGCAAAGGCCTCCATGGCTGCCAGGCGGACCTTGTTCGCGTCAGCCATTGCTTCTAATACTGAAAGGATTGGAGAGGACCTACCGATACATCATCATCCTTAAACCCCTTTGTGAAAGCTGAAAGAACTGTATCCTCATGCTGCTTCTCGATGATTCCTGGGGTTGTTGAAAATATCCTGTAGGCAATCTCACGCTGTCCAACTTCCTTTGATATGCTGAGTGTGAAAAGAATGCCCAAAATCTCGGGCCATTGTGCTTCTACTCGATGTCAGTTTGCGAACTGTGGGGGAGAAAGAGGCGGGTATTGATCGAAGTAGGAAGACGTACTGCCGTCAGAATACTCTCGGGCGATCTCTGCAACGGCATCACCGATCTTATTTCGCACAGCATTCGTGCCTTCTGCGCCTAATGCTTCCAGCAGTTTAGACCTGATGATGTAGCCCTCCTCTTGTGGCAGAGAGAGGAATAACTCGACCGTCTCTCCGTTGGGTAGCTTGCGAGCCTTGGAAGCTATTCGGCGGAAAATGACTGCAGCAAAGGAGCGGGTCTGGAATAGTGAGGAGTATCAGTGAGAGCTATGAGATGGTGGTTTTAATGTGTGTTACCGTCGGGTCATTGGATCCTTGAATCTGTTCAACCAGTCCCATCAGCAGCATATTAGGCTTGTTCGTTGTCCAGTTGTTCGCAAGATGTTCCTCAGCCTGGGATCGCACGCTATTGTCGGATGACTGCAGGGCATCCAACAACTGTGCGAGCTCATTATGCACCTCGGGCGCAAGGACTGACATCTTTCCGGCTGCAAATGTTCTTCAAGGACGTGTTCGAGGGGGTTTGCGCGTGTAGCAATGAACAAGATCTGTCCAGCAAGGGAGTCGGGTTTGCGCGTGGGATGTAGATGGGCGCTGTGTCTTCAATCACAAAAGATTGTTAGCGATCGAGAAACAATTTTGCTCGGCAGAAGAAGGGCATGCTCCATAGAAACCATGGTAAGAAGTGAATCAGCGGAGAATTTACCTCGTCTTTGGCGCGGTGTACCAACTGTAAACCTCGATATTTTGTAGCCTTGCCCCCTCCGGTCACAATGTCCTCATCGCCAAATAGCAGAAGTGGCCGTAGGAGCACGGAGAACAGGAAGGCAATGGTTATGTCGCGGAGGCTCGAGAGGGTATGTGTTCTGGGGTGGAAGAAGACGCGCTACCCTTTGAGAATATTTTTGGAGGGGCCGTTTTAAGCATTTTGTTGTGAAGACACGATGATTGGCTGTCGGGGCAGGAATAAGTGGGTCTCAAAGCATAACAACGTCGAGCATGGACAATGAGTTTATCTATTCAAAAGCTGATGGATTTACTGTTTATCCTTTTCAGAACCTGCTCTACAGGATATTCGGAGGGACCCATACAGGGAAGGGTCTCCTCCGGAGTATTTGGAAGTCGCTCGGCCAAAACCATCCAGTCCATGGACGTCCAGAGCAGATCATTATTGAATCATCTTCTGGAGCCAGGAGAATCACAGTATTTCGCCTTCAGCTGCCCTCTCTTCACCCCATTGCTTCAATCCCTGTTCAAGTGCCGCAACAAGGCTCGTGGAAACTGCGTCTTCTGAAAAACTGCATCGTCCAGTCCACCAATCCAACCAGCTTTCCACTCTGGCACCCTCTTTAGGATCCAGCAATCCAACACTGACATCAAGCAGTTCGGGTCTCTCGTTGCAGTGCCAGAAAATGGTCGCTCCACAGACGTGGCAGAACTCCCTCCAGATATCTTTCGAGCTCTCATGGCTTTTCATTGTTCCGAGGTTAAAATCTATTGGCGATCCATCCTTCTGGAAAACATTGCATTTAGGAATAAATGCCCCTAGGTAACGGGGGAGTCAGCAATTTATCGATACAGAATGTTCTGGGAGAACAGAGGACATTGTCTCGGGAGAAGGTCATGGCGACAGTCAGAAAAGGGAAGGGATTCCCCCCCCCAGCACCTACAAGGCTGAATCTCGAATCCAGAAGTGGCACGACAAGACCTGCACGTACAAGTTCCGGCCAGGTACTTCGTATCATTGCCTCGCAGCCACCAGGTCTCCTCGTTCGGATTTTCTGGCGAATGAGAATGGTAAGGTACCATCAAATCCGGGAATGGCGACTTGGCCTCCTTTGACTCTTCGTTCGGGCGAGTGATGTAGAACTTGACACCTCCACAGTGGCATTGTGCCTCCAGGTTCTTCGGATTTGTAAGAAACTTCTTCTCCTCTGGCAGGGTGTTCAGTGGAATATGGTCAGGGACCAATGCCCCACCGTTCCATTCTTGTCGGAGCCATCTCTGCATTGGCTTCTTCTTCCCATCCGGTCCAACGATTTCCTTAAGCCAAATGCTTACTCCCCCATCCAGCGTATTATCGACCCACTTCGACCCAATCCAATTCACGATGCCTTCAGTTCGATCCAAAGGACCAGTGGCAAGGTGCCAAGATTGATTGTGAGAAACTTTGACCAGGACATGTGCCCCGCAGGTTGGACAAAAATAATGCGCCGATCGATCAGTCGTCTCGTAGCTTGTCAACTTGAATTTTGTGATGTCAATTGGTTGGTTCGAGGGTACAATGATATATGAAACCCCACAGGAGCCTGTGAGTCGTCGGGAGCTATCGCAAAGGCACAGGCCACAATCGAGTGGAACTGAGTCGTTGGGGAAGTCGACTTTGAGATTGAAGGACCCGCATCCGCAGGTTGATGTTACGCTGGTGGTCATCTTGGTCTTCAAGTCGTGTAAAGTACTCAATTACCTTGGGACAATGCTGGTTGTTGAGGGTAATGAGCCTTCGGGAGGAGCTTGCAATTCCTAGCTTGACCACATCCTACCTTGGAAGACCAGCATTCGACGTGCAGACAATTTGCCCCCGGTATGTAATTCCGGGCATAAAGCTCACTGAAGGAGCATTGCTTGTCTGAAGTTGTTCTGGTTGTTCAATGGATATGCACGAAACGTCAAATCGGCCGGCCGACCTCTTGACCCGCGTCACGTGCGGGAGCGCCGAAACCGGACCAGCCCCGTTAAAGTTATCTTCGACAGCTTCCTCGGCAGCCTCTCCTCAACCTCTTTTTGTTTTATCTCTCTTTCAACAGACCCACAAACCCAAGGATACGGCGATTCGAATTTTCCTTGTACGGGATATTCCACTACCGTACCTCTCGGCCGGAAACGCTTTCATCTGTCAGATTTCTACCACAGCCAACGAACGCATCAATGACGTCGTGGCTGCTCGACGGCGGACAGTTTCCGTCTTTCTTTTTCTGCGATTCTCATACATACCCATGGCCCTGGCATACCTCTCCCCGGGAATAGCTGCCCACACGTGTGTGGCTGGGGTTATACCGGAGTACCGTACATCTCTTCCTGTTTCTTGATTACACTTCATGCAGGCCGCCGAGTCATGCCAATGCTCCAACACTTTCGGGATCAGCCACCTCCCTTCACTGGCCAACTCAAATGCAGCCGCATCCGTTACCAATGTACGTGCCGTGTGAAGCGGAAGTTTGAACCAAAATCATATGTTCTCAATTCTCATCTTCGTTCTGTTCCTTGATTTTCCGAACAGCGAGATATCCCCGTCCAATCCAAACGCCTCAAAGTATCTGAAAACAGTTTTTTTGTGGGTTTATGGCTTGGCATGCAGCTCATGTGCTATGAGGCTTTTGATATTAACTATCGAGATCTGTGCAGGGTCCGGGAGGCGTGCCGGTCATTAATATATATTGGACCCAGGCCCATTTATACAGTTTCATTGTACAGCTTCTTCATATCAGTTCTTGAGTCTTCACTTGTAGCTCTACAGTTATTTCTCGGCTTCTGCATGCTCAACTTGAAAACTATACATCATGTCGAATCCAGAAGAACAATCAGAATCGCCAATCCGAATATTCCAGTCCATCGCCGGACATAGCCCAACCTCCCCAACACTGACTCGAAAGCACACCAACGGCTCTAGAATCCATCGCACGCACACTGGGGGTTCTCGAATACACAGAACGAGCACAAATGTTTCCCACAAAGAGTCGAGGGATCCAGATCTCGATATAAATCTTCCCTACAGAACTTTCAGTGATGGCGTCAATCTGGAAGAGTACACATCGGAAAAGCCCGAAGGAGAGATGGAAGGCCCGTTCGAGCCAGATGGACAACACCGATACAAGCTCGTCACATTCGTTCCAAATGATCCTGGGAATCCCAAAAATTGGTCAAAACTATACAAGTGGTACTGGTAAGGCTCCTCCATATTGATTTGCTGTTTGTTGTTCGGGGACTTAGATTCTTGGGGCTTAGCTCCTTGGCTTCTTAGCTCTCTCGTAATATCAAGAAGAGATCTATACTAACTCGATCCCAGTACAATGGTGGTTGCAGTAACCTGCTTCGTTGTGGCCTTTTGTTCGGCTGTTATCACTGCTGGAACTGTCGGACCGGAGAAAGAGTTCCACGTTTCTGAAGAAATTTCTCTCCTTCCTATAACGGTCTTCGTTGTTGGATTCGGGATAGGTATGCAGTATCATTTCATGAAGTGGTCTTTTGCTGACACGTTCCAGGTCCTATGGCCTTCGCCCCTTTGTCAGAAATCTTGGGCAGACGAATCATCTATGGAACGACACTGTTGATCGCCGTAATCTTTATTATCCCTTGCGCCGTTGCCCAAAACATACAGACCCTGGTAGTCTGCCGTTTCATTGACGGGATTGCTTTCTCGGCGCCTATGACACTTGTCGGAGGTACTTTGGCAGATCTTTGGAGGACAGAAGAACGTGGCGTTCCCATGGCGGCCTTCTCAGCAGCACCTTTCATTGGCCCAGCAGTCGGTCCTCTCATCGGCGGGTTCCTCTTCGATGCAGCAGGCTGGAGGTGGCTATACTGGATTCAATTAATTCTGGCCGCGGTGGTCTGGATGCTAATAACCTTCACTGTTCCCGAGACCTACGCACCTACGATCCTTGCAGCTCGAGCGAACAAACTCCGTGCCTCAACCGGAGAAACCGACCACGTCACGGAACAAGACCTCGACCTTCGGCCATTCAGCGAACGCCTCCGAATCTTCCTAATCAGACCTTTCCAGCTGCTTTTCGGAGAGCTGATCGTTTTTTTGGTATCGGTTTACATGTCCGTTCTTTATGGCCTATTATATATGTTTTTTGTGGCCTACCCAATAGTCTACCAAGAAGGAAAAGGCTACACCCCTGGCATCACCGGCCTAATGTTCATCCCCATCGCTCTCGGGGTCCTCTGCTCAGCTGCATGCGCCCCTCTAGTCAACAAGCACTACATGAAACTCTCAAACAAGCACAACGGCTCTCCACCCGCAGAAGTCAGACTCATCCCCATGATGGTCTCCTGCTGGTTCATCCCCATCGGCCTCTTCATCTTCGCCTGGACCTCGTATCCACACCTAATATGGGTAGGGCCCGCTATCGGCGGCTTCCCGGTAGGATTCGGATTCATCTTCCTCTACAACTCCGCGAACAACTATCTAGTCGATTCCTACCAGCACCAAGCTGCTTCCGCTCTCGCCGCCAAAACTTTTCTACGATCATTCTGGGGCGCTGCTGTCGTGCTTTTCACAGTGCAGATGTATCACAGACTGGGATATCAGTGGGCGAGTTCTTTGTTGGCATTCATTAGTCTCGCGTGCTGTGCGATCCCGTATGTGTTTTACTTTTATGGGGCCAGGATTAGGAGGAGGTCCCGCTTTGCGTACAGCGGGGATGATAAGGAGGAGAAGATGGAGGCGGGTGGGGAGAGTAGCGGGGAGGCGAGTGAGGTGGAGTTAGAGAGGGCGAGGAGTTATGTTAGTACTCCTTGAGGGGATATTCGTAAACGTCTTCGCTTCGACATGGCGACGGAGCCACGCGCCTGTGACAGACGAGCCGCAGCGGTTTGCGCAGCGTGATAGACTTGTTGGCCATGGCGCCATGACCGGCTGGTATGGGAGTTTAGAATTTGGGGTGGCATGGATTGGACTCTGGTTGGCGTAAGGGTGGGAGGTAGTTCACTTGGTGTTGCATTTACAGGAGGTTTAGATATGTGGCGTAGACATAAAGGTAGTAATAAATAATGTCCTTCATTCTTTCAGGCCCCGAAACGCGGAACGAACTTGTCGTGAGGCTGCTAAAGTAAAGCTGTGTAACAACTATTGCGAAAGCTCTAATATCGTAATAGCTCATATAAGAGCGAAGTTATCCGTACTAAGATCCACTATCTTGTACTTAAAGGCACTAATACGCAACACCTAAATATTAACGACACCGAATTAGTAAATCAAATTAGCCAAAGTTAGAAATCTGTTCTTTGTATATCCTTGGTAGCCCACTGAATTACATAAAGTGTTATCGTACAGCTTCAGTTCTCAAATTCCTCGTCGTTTTGCTACACAAAACTATATGATGGGTTTTGTCATATTTTCAAGAGGCAATTTTGGTATGATCTTGGAGTCATGGAGTTGGTCAAAGGCGGCGGTGATAATAACCAGTTCTGTAAGAGCGCGTCTCCTATTTATTTACTTAGGCTAACCTATATTATATATTGTATTCTACGTTTTTGGATATGCCATATACAATATATACTTCCACCCGCTTGCAAAGTTCCCTGGTCTAAAGTTTGCTGCCATTTCAAACGCAAGTCAAAATCGTGGCTTATTCCCCCTTCGTCTGACAAGGACCTATCACAGATCTTCTACGCAAGAACAGTTGTCACTGGGACCTCGGTAAAGGCTATGAAAGCTCTGCATGAGAAATATGGTCTGTTTCCAAAGTCAAGCCCCAGCTGTAAGTGAGCTGAAGTTGTGTAGGGGATGTGGTTCGTTGGGCTCCGAATGAGCTTTCTTTCTTTTTTGCAGCGGCCTGGAAAGACATTTATACTTCACACAAACCTGGAGAAGTCTTCGTAAAGGACCCCACGTTCTATGTAATTGATAACAAGTATATTTCTTATCTTTTTACTGCCAAGAACATGCTAAAGTAATCATTCTCTAGACTTCGAGCAAAACAAATTGCAAATATCTCAAACCCTGACGAGCACGAACAAGATAGAAAGATGTTAGTGAGTATTTAATACACTTGATAAATGCATCAACTCATGAAGCAACTCGTAAGGGACCTATCAACTTAAAAGAATATTATAATTGGGTCACCTCCTATGGTAATCTTCCGTCCATTACCTCTTATCTCTATCTAATATGCGAATAGTGCTCGGAGAACTTGCCTTTAGCGAATCCTTTGGCTTTGTCAAGAACAGAAAGACTAATTCCTGGATTACCACCCTCCTCCAAATAGTCAAGTTAAGTGCCTATAACGCTATAATCCACCGCCTCTCCCCATGGATCTGGAAAAACATGCACCTTTTTCTCCCCCCTAAGATGACCGAAGCGGCAACCAACTGCATGAAATAATCCAAAGCCAAACTTTTAGCCCGGATAGAGAAAGGAGAGTTAGAGCATCGAGATTTCTGTTCTTATTTCCTTGAGCAGATAGAAGAGCTCGGGTTAACAGAATGGAATCTGGCTGGCTATACTCAAACTCTTATTATAACGGGAAGTAAGATTACTGCAATACTTCTTTGTATATTAACATATTATCTTTGCAGGACTCCTGAGGTATAGTCGATCCGATCCAAAAGCGACAAAAAAAAAAGTCTACCAAAATACTAATTAATATAAATCATATTAATCGGAACTATCGTATATCTTATAGTAATTATTTGCTTGGTCTCCGATTTTTAATACCTTTAATATTACAGAAGTTACAAAGCACGTGACCATTTTTATATGAGCTCGCATAGAAATTTTGGCGTTTTGTGAGAGTAAAGAATTACATCCGTATAATATACGAGGCTGCACGTGATTAAAATCATAAACTTTTTATACTTTATATTCTCTTTAGTAGTAACTCTTAAAATTTAAGCTCTTATTAGATATACTAAGCTTATAGAAGCTTAAGGAGCCTTATAAGACCTTATAAGTCTAAGTATAATTTATTATTTACTTAGGTATACGCGACTTTCGTGAAATATTTTGGCGTTTTGTATGGTCAGAAATCAAAAAAGTAAGAAACGTCCGTGTACTTCAAAACTCGATTACTAATTAACCACAAATCGCATTAAAAATCTGATTAATAGGTTTTATTCGATTGGTTCTTCTCTATAATTGCATTACTTAGTATTAATTACTCGGTGTCGTATGGATACGGGTACTAGGGAGCTTAGCTTCGCTTACTCAGCAGCCCCTTTTATTTAGCTAGATCCAGAGGCTCCCTTCAGAGCTTCTTTTAATCAGACAACCATTTATGCAAATCACTGTTCCTTGCTTTTTGCAATACTCCGGGTTGTGGTTAAAAAGTTATTATGGATATAAAAGGGCGACCGTTTTGTCGCTTTTGGATCGGACCGACTGTATATGAGAAGTTGAAGAATGAAGTGAGAAGCAGGTTTAAGACTACGGATGAGATCACGAGTCATAGTGCTACGTTTCCGTATTTGACTACGATTATCCAGGAGACTTTTAGGATTTATCCACTAGTACCGATCGCAATGCCGAGAATAACTCCAAAGGGTGGGGCGATGGTGGCTGGGGTCTTTGTGCCTGAAGGGGTATGCTTCATTTTAGCTGCGTCTTAAAATAAATAACGATTTGGCAGACAATTGTTGGCGTTCACCTGTGGTGCGTTACACATAGTCCGACATACTTCAAAGACCCAGATACTTTCCATCCAGAAAGGTGGCTTGATCCACAGTGCACAGATAATCTCGGTGCCAGTCAACCTTTTCTTCTTGGTGCAAAAAACCGTATAGGACAAAAGTAAACTCACCCTATCTTTAGTCTTCACAAGAATGAAATGAACTAAACTGAGATTAGCATGGCCTGGATGGAACTCAGGATCTTGGTTGCAAAGATGGTTTTTCTGTTTGATTTTAAGCTTGTCGATGATAATCTGGATTGGGACAGAGATGGATTATGCTTTCGTCTTTGGCAGAAGCCGGATTTGTGGACGAATGTCACAATGAGAAAACCTTCATAAACATGTGACTAATACTCCGTGATTTAGTTTTTCTTCGTTTTCTTTCTGTATTTATTTATATATTTTTTTTCTTCATGCTTAATATTTAGTTGATCATATCGAATTTTCACACAGCTGATGGTTGGGCTGGTGAAATCCAACGCCATTTCAAACCTGAGATAGGCGAAAGCTCATCGTGGGAACGATAAGTTGGTGCGTTGTATTCTGGAGTTCAATGAAACCCGTTTGGCAACGATACGCTTCAGTCATGTCAGCAGTGTTCGTTGGCTTCGGGGATATCAAGGACTACGCGGAAACGATCCGAGGCAGGAAAGCAAATATGCTTCTTCCTTGACTTCAAAGGACCAAAAATCTTCCAAAGAAAGTCGAACATCTGCTACGACTTCATCCCAACTGTTCGCTCGAAATTGCGTTCGCGACCAGACCATCGAAGATGGAACTTGCCTCATTCTAGCTCAGCCAGGGGATTTGATCAGCGGGGTTCACGGGCCCAACGAAACTTGGATCCTGCGAGCAAAACTCAATTGGGGAGATTGGACATTTCAAGTCCTCGGTACCGCACTTTTCATGGGCGATTTCGATTTCGACTGACAATTCTCAGCACACCAACCGTCCCTCGCGGATCAAAGGAGAAGAGAGAATAGAGATGTAAATGGATTCAGCGACGATCTATGTCCTCCTGGTTTAAAGGGCAAGTCATATTTTCCTTCAGGGGTTTATTCGACAAACCGTTTGGACAAGTCGCGCGTTGTGGCTCAAGTGTTGGTCTCACCTCCCTTTCTACATATACTGCTTCTATGTATTTGCCTGGTCGCCCAATTCTCAAACCAGAGGTCGCGAGCAAATAAAGGTTCTATCTACACAGCGTGCTTCTCCTTGGCCTGCGCATCCAAAACAGCGAACTCCATCTCGTTGAACTCACCATTCTCTGCCTCTTGCCGCTTTGTAATCTTGATGTCGCCAATATGCTCGCTCGCCAGAGCATCACCGAAAACCTCTGCGATCTCCTCGAGCGACTTTCCGCCGGTTTCGGGGAGGAAGAAGAAGTAAATTACTGCGGCTGCAAAATTCGTTGCGATAAAGAGAGAATAGAATCTACATGTGTCAGGTCAGAAAACAAGTCCAAAATAGCGCTTTTGGAGCTGATGAGATTTACCTCCAGCTAACATTTGCGATTGCGATTGGTGTGATCTGGGATAGGACGATGGCGACAACCGCCTTGGCGAACACGGCAAACGCAAGACCTTTCGTCCTCAAGAAGAAGGGGAATAGTTCCGATGGCACGACCCAAATCATGGCGTTGAAAAACACGGCGTAGCAGAAGGAATAGATGAAGATGAAGGCTATCGCTGCTCTGGCGCCATCCTGATTTCCACCAGCGCCGAAGGTGGCGCTGAGAGCCATGCAAATGGCGATCACGGTGCTCAGGGCAAGAGAACCCGTCCACAGTGTTCGAGTACGTGGCCACTTGTCAGCGACAACCACGAGGTAGAAGATCTGGCCAAAGATCCCCATCATCCCGTAAACACCGCTGATTAGCAGAGCCGTCTGGCCTGTGTATCCAACGGTAGCGTAGAAGATGTTTTGGAAGTTCTGGATGACAGAGGAACCGCTAAGTTGACCCATGGTAACAATGAATGCAGCTGTCATTGTACGGCGGATGTATTGGCGCGAAAACATCTTCTTGAGCGCGATTCCCCAGGACGTGTTTCCCTGCTCTCGCTCGAGTTTGATCTGTTCGCCGATTTGAATGAGTTCTTGGTCAGCGAGAAAGGTATCACGGGTTTTATGGAGCCTCAAAAGAACTAGTTTTTCTGTTAGAAAGTCCGCAGTGTTAGACATAATATCTCAGAGTCAATATGACTTACCGATTCGAGCTTCTTCATGTCTATCTTTCTGAACAACTTTAACAAGTCAGCGAATATATCTGGTGGAACTGGAACATAAACTTACGCCAACGTGGGGAGAATGGGACGAAGAGAGCAGCAATAGTTAGAAAGACTGGTACAGGAATCTGCATTGCTAGAGGGATTCGCCATTGTGCATTACCAGTAGCGTAAGAGCAAGCATAACCAACCCAGTTTGCGAGGCCGAAACCGATTGCAATCAGCATGCCTTGAAGACCGACGAGAAAACCGCGTTGCTTAGGAGGCGCAGCTTCAGCAATGTATACGGGAACGACAGAGAGGAGTTGACCGCAAGCAATTCCTCCTACGAGGCGCCCAATGATGAGCATCACGGGGCTGACGGCTGCGGCTTGTAGAATGCCTGCGACTATGGCTGTTGCAAGGTCAGTGAAGCATGCAACAGCAAGAAAGGGGTGAACTAGCCTAAGAAGCCTGCAAATGAGATGGTGTACTTTCGACTGAACTTATCTGCTATGTAACCAACAGACAAGCCACCGAGAGCTTGTCCAGCATTATAGACAGAGACAATGGCTCCTAGGAATCGAGGGTTAGGGAGGAATTGAAATGTCGATAGACGTAAGGAGCCATACCGGAGAGTGCGGGGTTTTTCCGAGATGGGCCAAACATGTACAGCTTGAAGGTGTTGTGTCCTAAAGTTGTAGCAACAATACCTGCTCGAGCCATTAAAGACCGATTCATGTCTATCTAGGTACAAGACGACATACCGGAGTCAAAGCCGTACGTAAATCCGCCCATCGCGGTCACCACCGCGACGACGAGCATAAGAAAGTTGGCCATGATAGTAGAGACTTTGTGATCCAATCCTGCAGATATGTGATGGAATAAAAGGCAAAGAGATGGTCTGGATGTGATGTGATCTGGCTTTGGCGCCGGTGGAAAGCGGAGAGCTTTAAGTGTACATGCTGTTCCACCTCCATCTCTCCCCACGTTCGATAATCCCCCCTTGACTATCACCCATCAACCGCAAGCTCGGGACATTGACGACCGGGGCAAGAGCTCTTTGTTCACGAAAGCCAAGACTTCTCCGCATGGCGCAGGGTCTGAGGGGCGCTTTGAGTGGAATTGTGCAGAGCCCCTGCTTTGGCAATCGACCGCACAGTCCCCAACCACTAGCTCGGGTTCGCGCGGGGCCTTCGCTTACCCCAACTTCGCTTACCCCGCCTCCTTTCCTCCCCTTACCCCCCTTTCCCCCTTTTCCTGCGGGGTCGCATCGAGATAGGCCGAGGCGGGACGAGCGCAGGATCTATGCTTACACAACTACTTCCAAAGTATGCAAAAGTGGAGAATGGACGAGCTTAAAGTTCTGTTCAGCGATCGGAGTAGTGCTTCCCGAGCAATACTCTATGGAACACCACAGCGAGATCGAGTTGTGCATTCTGCCCACGAAAGATCGACGGAAGAGCTCATCCATGCCAAGCAGCCTCGGGAGAATTGGTGCCGATTGGGGCAGTTGATACACAGCCATAATCAACTAGAAAATGCCATCTTCTGTTCTTATACCACTTCCCTTCTCTGACAGGCCAACTCCGCCACCGCGTCTCGAATCTGCAGCCGGTATCTCACAATGTCTTTGCCCACCATTTCCAAACCGACCTTCGAGCATCACCATAGCGGCCTGGGGCTGAGCCAACCCAAACCACGAGTCTCCTGGCGATTCTTGACTACTGGAAGCCAAGATCCGGTTCAAGATTGGGTCCAGGCCGCCTATGAACTCGAGATCACTAGCCCAAGCACGGGTACAGTAGCTCTGCATCATGTTGATAGCGAGCAATCGGTCCTTGTCCCATGGCCTGCAGCAGCCTTGTTGTCACGAGAGGCAGTCACCGTCAGAGTGCGCTGTCACGGAAAGAAGCAAGAAGACGGTGCCAACAATGGTACATCATGGACAGAGTGGTCGGAGCCTGCAACAGCGGAGGTGGCCTTGCTTCAAAGAAGTGACTGGAAAGCCTCATTTATCACCTCTTCGAAAAGGTTCGGAGACGGGCCATTACAGCCGGTTCGATTTCGGAAAGATTTCTCGATTCCGCCAGAACACAAGACGTCTTTCAAGGCAAGACTTTATATTACGTCCCTTGGTGTCCACGATGCCTACATCAATGGCAAACCTGTCAGCGACGTATGTCTTGCCCCAGGTTGGACCAGCTACAAACACCGACTCAACTACTCCGTCTACGACGTGACCTCGATTCTATCACCCGAAGGTACGAACACAATATGTGCAGAGGTGGGAGAGGGTTGGTATGCAACTAGGTTAGGGTTCAAAGCTGGGAAGAGATTTTGCTACGGAGAAGAACTTGGGCTCCTGGTCCAACTCGAGATAGCTTCTCGGAAGGCGACTTCCACATTCGAAGTGCTATCTGATGACTCGTGGCTTTGCGGCCCGAGTTCGATTCAAAGCAGTGAGTTGTATGACGGAGAGGCTATCGACATGCGACATGAACAACTAGATTGGAGTAGCATCGGTGGTTCCATAAGGCTCTCGGGGGAAACTAAGATCTTGCCATGGACGTCTGCAAATCTGGTGTCTCCTGATGCACCACCAGTGAGGGTGACTGAGTCACGATCACCAGTGGAAGTCCTTTTGAGTAGAAGTGGGAAGGTCATCATTGACTTTGGCCAAAATTTAGTGGGCAAGCTGCTTGTGAAGTCGGTGCATCTGCCCAAAGGTGCCCAACTCCGCTTCCGGCACGCCGAAGTGATGGAGCATGGAGAATTAGGAGTCCGTCCTTTGAGATTTGCAAAGGCTACAGACACCATCACTGGTTCCGGCGAGATGATAAGAGACTGGACTCCACGCTTTACTTTCCATGGTTTCAGGTATGTTCAGGTGGATGGATGGCCATCTGTGTCAGGACAGCCCCAAAACGAAGACATCCTTGCCCTTATTATGCACAGCGATCTCAAGCGCCGTGGCTTATTCAACTGCTCAAATACAAGTGTCAATCAGTTGCACAAAAACGTTGTCTGGTCCATGCGAGGAAATTTCTTGTCAATCCCGACAGACTGCCCACAGCGAGACGAGCGACTCGGATGGACCGGCGATATTCAAGTTTTCTGTCCTTCAGCAAATTACCTCTTTGACACAACTGGCATGCTGGGAAATTGGTTAGAAGATGTCGCTGCAGAACAGCTCGAGGATTGGCGAGGCGGAATCTCCGGCTTGGTTTGTCCAGATGTCTTGCCACCACATTGGCCTCACATCCCCCAAGCCGTTTGGGACGATGTTACCATACTCACCCCCAATGACCTCTATCAATATAGCGCCGACACCGACTTGCTTGAGCGACAATTTGTGAGCATGCAAACGTGGCTAGATAAAGGGGTCGACCGTGGTGACGACGGTCTATGGAATCCGGACCAATGGCAGCTCTCAGACTGGCTGGACCCCACAGCTCCTCCAGATGATCCAGGATCAAGCAGAACGGATGATGTGATGGTGGCCGATGCATACCTCGTGCATGTTACAGGAGTCTTTGCTCACATCTGCGCGAGATTGGGAAAGAGCTTACTCTCTGCCAAGTACGCTGCAGACGCAGCAAGACTGCGGATGCTCTTCCAACATAAATATATCACGCCCCATGGGAATCTGATGTCTAATTCTCAAACTGGGGTTGCTCTCGCAATACAATTTGGCTTGTATGCAACGGCAGCACACCGCCTCGTGGCAGCCAACAGCTTACAGAAGCTTGTTAGGAGAGCACGCTTCAACATCGCAACTGGTTTCGCTGGAACACCGGTCATCTTGCACGCACTAACAACAACTAAGCTACCGCAAATCGCTTATCGGATGTTATTGGAGAAGTCGTGTCCTAGCTGGTTGTATCCTATTACCATGGGCGCAACAACGATATGGGAGCGGTGGGATAGTATGTTGCCTGATGGCACAATCAACCCCGGGCAAATGACAAGCTTCAACCATTACGCGCTTGGAGCTGTTGCGGACTGGCTACACGGCTCGGTCGGTGGCATAAGTCCCTTGGAACCAGGTTGGAAGGTCGTGAAAGTCAGGCCGGTGCCGGGAGGGAATGTGACGTCCGCTGAGGCGTCGTTTGATGGCCCGTACGGATTGGTGAGCTGCGCTTGGAAGTTGGAAGAGAATGGCACCCGGTTTGCCATGTCTCTTGTGGTGCCGCCAAACTCGACTGCTGTTGTAACGCTGCCTTCTGAGTTATCAGTTTCCGTTTCTGATGGAGATGAGCCTAGCAGACAGGTCGGCTCTGGAAGCCACCGCTTTGTGTGCGAGTATATAGCAGCCGCATGGCCACCAAAGGCGATTGTCGCTGCACATCTACCACCAGCCGAGGAGAACATAGCGATATAAGGGGAAATTAACTAGCCTAGATTGTATTTTGAATGGATTTCGAGTAACGCTACAAAGTCGATGGCGCTCCATTGTGACAAGTCTGATTGACTGAAGTGTCAAACCATGGACATATTAAATAGAGTAATATTGTGGTTTACTGACTATTGTATTGAGCGAGGTTCGCTTCAAGGGCCTGACAGAGAAGTTTGCCATGTGATTGAGGGCGATCTTATTGTCGAGTTGTGCAAAGCTGGGCAACCACTTAGGTTGACTGATCTAGTGTATCAAGTGAAATTTACGGGGCTTCTTCAAGGGTAGGGCCACCAGCATGTGGACTCGGCATGCTATCTGTGCGTGCGACGGTATTCACTTGTTATGAATTCAAGATGAGTAGAATTGCGAAGATGGAGGAGATTGGATAGTGTACTTAGTTTGAAAGAGCACATAGACTGCTTTCACTTATCGTTTTTCTCATTTGCCGCGCGCGAGCCGCGACTTCCGAGCGAAAACATGAGAAATCAAGGGGCCACAGCGGGTATTGAGTATTCCGAGTTCTAGGACATTATTATAGGTGGAGCAGCATCTGCATTATGTGAGTGTGTGAGGGAGCGCATCTAAAGATATTGCAACCGCGTTGTGAGTTTCCCAGCTCCCCTTTTAATACTCGCTTACCGCTTAAAGCGGTCGCTTCGGGATCGCGATCTCTGTTCTGCAGGCGTTACGTTGGAACCGACCAGAGATCCGGGAGTCGGGAGGATGCTATTGGAAGTGCCATAATTAGCAAGAATGGATCAAACAAATTGATAAAGCAGAAAAACATTGCGAACGAGGAGAAATGGTATACTAGAACTCCTCTCTTCTCCTTGACTAGGAGGCGCGCGGCAGGACCCATCTACTTGAGACTTTCCCTTGCGTGATCAGGGCTGAAGCTACTGGATGTTGACACCGCAATGCAATTTTGGTTCTCTCGAGGACTATCGATCGTTAGAGCTATTACTGAGCCCAACAATCCCCTAAGCATAGGAAATCCTCTTCAACGGACTTTCGCCATATCGAAAATATTCATTGTTGCTTCCTTCCCCACTTGAGGAAGCATCTCTCCTTACCATACCCCGAGGAACGCATCAGAATCATGCACTTCTGCGTGGATTTTGCAACAGAGCTATTTTTGGGTTCGAATGTGGGGCATTGCACATGGTAAGGTGAGCCTGTCCTGAAATCCAACTTTATGAAAAATTGTTGGATTGATAAGTTGGAGAAAGCGAAATCAATATTTGGGTGTAAAGAAAACAGGAGAGGTTATGCAAGGTTCAAGTGAATATGGAGTCGCCCGCCAGTGATTGGCTTTGATTTCCGTTGCTGCCAGGTTAGGTTCATTCTTCCTCGCGTGATCCCAGCTGGATGGATGGAATCTCAATCAAGTCGATATTGGATCTTATGGAGAGGCACTTGCCCTCTCCCCTCAATTACAAAGCACAGGCGCCTTCCCAACCCACTCGCTATCGTCCCCCATCTCCTTCAACACCCAAGCACCAATACTCTTCCTGCTCAAAAACATTCCATCCTGTCCACTGCCCGGGAACGTCGCCGTAACTGGTTTCTCCTCACCATTCCCTAAAAACGGGACGCGGAAGAGCGTCCACTTGATCTTTTCCACGTCTTGAGAGGTTACAAATTCCCCAAGGCCGCGGAACTCGGAGTAGGCCGAGCCGCCGACTAGCTTGATGAGGACGATGGAGGCGGACCATTTCCAGGCGGGTTTGTCTGAGGGAGAAGGGAAGGAATAGGTCTCGAGGATGAGGGCGCGGTGGAAGTTGTTTTGTATTAGGAGAGGGAATAGGAGTTTCATGCCGTTGGTCACGGGCTGGAGGGACGTTAGTTAATCTTTTCATTTCAGATATAAACATTTGCATTTCGACTCCCTGTGAACACAATCCCCCATATGAATCTGGAACAAGATATACCATTGAAAGAAATGAGACGAAGCGCAAGGGAGACTCACGGTCCCACTCAACCTTCCCGTCGGTCCAGCGAACGATACAAAGATTGTAGCACCAGATGAAGCAGCGGTCTTCAACATCGCTTCATCCTCAAGAGTTCCCTTGATGACAGTAACATTCGAATTGCTGGCAACGGCCTCAGGAACTTTGGTTGAATCCCGGACATAGAGAGTGAGTTTGTGGTTGTGAGCTGGAGAGAGCGCGAGATTGCAGAAATCGATGCCCGTTTGTCCTTCAATTGATCAATTGGAGATATTTAGAGGGAAAGGGGAGGAGTACCGGTTGCACCGAGGACGAGGATGTGTGAAGGCATGAGTTTGAGAGTTGCTGGTTCGGAGCAGGTTTGCGGTTTGGCGTTGGTGCTATCAGGAAGTTGGTTGTTGAAGCCTACTCTAGCTCACCTTAGGGTGGCCTGATGTCATTCACCAGTAGTCGTCGATGAGGTATCGGAGGAGCGTGGACTCCAATACTTTCGCACGTGGAAAACAGAGACGAGAGGAATCGAATCATTGGGAATTAACGTAGATATAGCTTACAGGCTTGCAGCTAATAGAAGCATTACTAAGTGAAAAATCAAGTGGGCCTTGAAGATGCGGGTGCGGGCCCGGGTGCGGGGTGATCACGTGTACCTACCCCTATATCTGGATAGCTTCAATTTTGCTAGGAAAGGCCGACCAAAGTGTCGCAATAGAGCTTCGTGGTGAAATTAAGTAACCAAGGCAATGAGTTTTTCAGGGCGGGTCTGCAAACGGAAGGAATGGGCAAACGAAGAAGCGACGCCAGACCAGGTCATCAGCCCAGCTTCGAGACAAGCAAGCATGCTAGATTGAATTGACAGCATGGCAACCGGAAGAGGCATGAGTCGAGTATCAAGTCTTTGCAAAGGATTGGCAAAATCTGCAAAAGACTGGTTACAGAACTGCCCGAGTTTCGGGAATTTGCATTTCGAATGCATTGCTTGCATGTTATTTCCCAGAAATATCCCGGCTAAGAAATCTTAGGAGAGAAATCCAATTTAGTACGCAATGTTGATCTTCTATGCAGCTGTGCACATCAAGGAAGTTGATGAATTTCAGAGGCACAGATTGCATAGATTCTACACAATGCTGGGTATTCTTCTATGTGAGAAGCGCAAAAAGATATGCCAGTATGCCAATAATGCAATGAAAGCCGTTGCGGTCGTAACCTATAACGAAAGGAAACTTGTATAGATCTCTCTACTTCTTTGCCTTTCCCTTGCCTTTCGCGGGGCCCATAGCGGCCTCTCGTCGCTTCGCCTCCCTCGCATCAATCTCTGCCTTCTTTGCCTTCTCAGCCTCCTCTCGTTCTTCCTTCTCGGCCTGAAATTGTTAGTATGTGATAACAAACATATGAGGGGAAAACCAACCTGCTTCCGTGCTGCCTCGGCCTCTCGCTTCTCCCTAATTAGCTTCAATCTGGCAAGATCCGCCTTCGCTTCATCTGTCTTGCCAGCCTCATGCAACTTCTGATATCTCTCCTTCGCCTGCTGCGCCTGTATCGCCTCCCTCTCCCTGCGACTCAACTCCGCCGGAGGCTTTCCCTTCCCCTTCCCAGCAACACTTAAATCCTTGACACCCTCAGCAGCTTCATCCACAGTGACCGGCGCAGCCATCGCCTGATTCCTGGCAGCCTTTGAATGATTCGGGTTGGCAGGCATATCATCCTCACTCTCCTCCTCAGAGCTAGACGGCAGATCACCCGGTTGTGCGACTGTACCCTTCTTGCGAGCGATAGCGGCCTCCTTCTTCGCCTTTGCGGCAGCGCGACGCTCCTCACGGGTCAGAGTGGGCTTGTTGGCATTTTCCTCTTCGGAGGACTCCTCCTCCGAGTCTTCTTCCTCATCGGAGGATGAGCTTGCGTCGGGGTTCTTTTCGTTGATCTCGTTTCCGTCGGCGTCGAGGGGTCGAAGGTTACGGGAGAAATGCTTGCCGCCTGGGAAGACGTCAGATGCTACGCCAAAGGTGATGAGGCATGAAGGTTTACTTACCACCTCTGGTGAACTTCTTGAATTTGCCTCCGCGGCCACGACCTGCGGCACCTGGTGGTCCTCCTGGAGCCATTGTTTTGTGTGCGAGGTTGAATGATCTGTGTGAGATAACAGTGAAGGTGCTGGCTTTAAAGTATCTTAGGGGCAAGAGAGCGTGAGACTCAGGATTGTGTGATTGTTCGTGAAGAGGAGGACGGTTTGACAAGTGGGCAATGTATTTCAAGGAGTCAGTCCGAATACCCCTCCAGCCCACATGAGATGCCGCCCGACATCATTTAGGACTACAGTCGGTCCGACCCAAACACGACAAAAAAAAATAAAAACCACCACCACACTAATTAGAATAAATCGTATTAATTAAAACTATACTATATACACTAGGAATCAATTCTATAGTCTCAAATTTATAATATCTTTATTACTAAGGAAGTTATAATATATGTAATTAAGCGAGCAAATATTTTTGCGCTTTGTATAGTCATTTTTTACTTTGACTATCACGTGACTGCCCCCCTAAGTTAACCGCTCGTCTATAATTATATTAATATCTCAATAACCACAAATCCAATCAAGTGCCCCTTTTGCATACTTCTAATAGCTACCTCTATAAGCCTTCAGAAACGCAAGCGAGCTAATTCGACTCTTGATTCAATTACAGTTCTCACCATAGCTAAAGAAGCTACAATCCAAGTAACCATTAACGAACGGCATAGGAAACCCTCTAATATAGAGGATAATTCTAATGAATCAGATATTAAACAAAGCAACGAAGTAGAGCTTAAAGATTCGACTCTCTTTTGGGTTCAGCGAAAGCTTATTATTAGTAGTAATAAGACGATTATTTTGGAGAAGCCTATATTCGCATAGCAAGAGCAAAGACTTACGGTACAGACTAGTAAGTTTCTTATCTTTATATTATAATATAAGTATACTAATACTATTTCTAGCTTCTAGAGGCTCGTATATCTCCAAATTAATAAAGAAATCAGCAAAGCCATTAAGAACTCAACAAAAGCATATATATAATTAGAGGGCAAAAGATACTCAAGTCGCTAGGCTCAAGACCCCTATAATTATACCGTCTTTTAAATAAAAGAAGCTATAATTCGGCATTATTAAGGGGCTAATTAATATCCCTAGGGATATATAATTAAGAAAAGAGCAAAGGCTTGAGGATAAAGATAATGGAACAAACGAGCTACTTATGGATGCCCTTATTAGAAACGCTTGCGGAGATAACGAAGCTCTAGATATACGAATAACTTATCAGGAAGTCCTTAATAATATGGATATAAAGCTAGTATAGATAAAAGACTTATATACTTCCTGTATAATCGCTAACTTATACCTACTCCGGCAATATACCTAATAGCTCCTGAAACCAGGGCAGTATTAACTAGGGAGAATTGACGCATCGCTCTTAGTAGCTTCCAGTAATTACTGCTTTAATAATGAAAAGATACTAGCTCGGCGAATTAGGGAATTATTTAATTACTATTAATAGTGGCATGGCATTTCACTAGAGGCTAGGGGTAGTAAAAGAGATAGTATCTCCTATCTGGATAACGAGGACGTCTTTTTAGCTTGCCATACTTGGTTAATTAATCAAGAGCTTGGAATAATATTACTAAACGATTTCCTAAATACCATTAATCAGGAGATTTTACCTCGATTATTATTAATAATCGAAAGGCCAATCTCTCATAGCACAGCTTACTTATGGCTCCCTAGGCTCGGCTTTTATTACCATAAGACTAAGAAAGGGCTTTATATAGATGGACACAAATGACCTAATATAATTTAGTATTATTAAGAGGTATTTTTACTATTAATAAACGAGCTTTTATTATATATAGTCTAGTACGAGGAGGATAAAACTAGTATATGGCATACGATTTAACCTTTACTCCCAATCGGAGTTCAAATACACGTAATGTACTTCTATAATAAGAGCTATTTCTATGGTTTTAACTATAAAAAGAGCCTCTAGCTAGCAAATAATTAGCAAAAAATACCAGGAAAGAGCAAAGGGAGGCTAATTCACGATTCTGAATTCGTGGGGCCTAAGGGACATATTAGGGTACCAAATAATAAAGGCATTTTTATCCCGGACAACCCCGATTTGGATACCCGTCAAATTATATATCCAGGCTCAAATAGAGATCCCTGGTAGGATACAAAACAGCTACTAGTACAGCTTACTAGGACGCTTAATATATTTGAACAGAAGCACCCAAATTATATAGCTATTCTAATATTTGATCAGTCTTCTACATATGCTTCGCATGGCAAAGGTGCACTGAATACCTTTGGTATAAACAAGACACCAGGAGGGGTTAAAAAGGGTAATATCAAGCCCTATAGGAGAGATACGTATTTCCCACCGGAGTGTATGATTCCGGGGTTACAGGGCACTATATAAGTACTTTGGCAACTTAATCCGAATAGAGAAAGAGAGCCTAAGGGCATGGAACAGATTCTTATTAAGCGAGGGTACAATATACCTGGCTTAAGATTTAAGTATCCAAAGGGTACTAAAAGTACACTACACCCCTTGAATACCCTCCCGCTATCGAACAAACGTACTGTTTAGCTCATATACTCTCGAATCACAAAGATTTCTTTGAGGAGAAGAGTTAAATTAAAGAGCTTATTACAAAGCGGGGACATAAGGCTATATTTCTACCGAAGTTCCACTGCGAAATTAACCTAATTGAGATATACTAGGGGTATAGCAAAACTCGATTTCGTCAAGTAAAGAAGGTTAGCTTCCCAGATACTAAGGTTAAGGTAGTAGAGGCACTTGAAGCTTGTTTGATTGAGACTATACGGAGGTTTTGCAACCGTACGTTCCGCTGGATAGATGCATATTGGAAGGGATTGAGTATTAAATAAGCTGCTTGGTGCGTAAAGAAGCAAAAACGCTATAGAACGATATCTAAAAAGGTAATGGACGAATGGGATAATATGCAAAAGGATGGGAAAGAAGGTAGCTAAATAAGAAGCTAGGTTTATAGATTTAGTTCAGCTAAAAGTAAGCTTGAAACCTATATAATTATAGCCCCACTATATATATAATATATATGGTACCAGAAAAAGCTATATTTAGTACTTAGAAAGGTTCCATTAAGCTTATAGGGCTTAATTATTATTATTTTATTAATAATAAGGCTAGTGAGATGCCGCGATCTCTCCCTGAAGTCCGGGATCACGTGACCTTAGCGAGCAAATATTTTTGCGCTTTGTATGATGAAAAATCAAAAAAGTAAAAAGGGTCCGTGCACTTTAGGCCTTAATTATTAATAAACCACAAATTATATCAAAAATCTGATTAATAGGTATTTTTCGCCTGGTTCTATTCTATAATCGCATTACTTAGTATAAATTAATTAGGGTTGTGGTTGAAAAGTTATTATGGGCGTAAAAGAGCGACCGTTTTGTCGTGTTTGGGTTGGACCGACTGTAGTCCCCGCTAGGGTTGGTCACATGACAACTTCGAAAATTTCCGCCTCAAATTCGAGCTAGATCTCAAACTCTTCTTTCCTCCTCACATAAAACTACAATCCTTCATATTCACTCTGGCTTACGTCTACTTCAATGGCAGGTCTTGGAGGGGAAATTGGAGGAGAGAGGAGAATTATTATCGTTTATACTTACCCTCCAGCCTGTGGCATGAGAATGCGTTGGGTGGGAGAAATATGAACAACGGGACATTCACCATCAAAGGGCTCCCTTGATCTGATGAGCAAAGGCCAAAGGAACACTGGAAATGCAAGTCGCTGTTGGGACTGCATCGAATGCTTATTGCCTCTACTGAGGTGCTTCTTTTAGGTACCTCGGACAAAGGACCTGCCTTTGTTGAAGATTGTTAGGAGCATAGTCAATCATTGAGATGCATTTCTCTTTACCAAATACCATGGCTGCATTCAGTTATGCTATCTCTTTGTCTACTCACTATCTTCACATTGGTATCTCCAACGAACATTAATCATCATGATTCACAGGCAATTTCGAGCAAGAAAACCACCCGACTTGTGTCCCAAGCTTCACTTTGGCAGTTCTCAAGCCTCATCTCCATCAGAAAAGAAAGCACGATCCACTTCCTAGATACCATGGCTACTTGTGGGCATGAAGAGTGTTTCGTTGCCACTCCCCCGACTTTGGCATTCATGCTCGAAAACTTCCCTGTAGTTACACTAGATCCGACCATCGACCACTCGATTCCGCGATGCAGACTTTGCGACCTCATTGCAGCAAGAGCACGAGAAACGGCCGCGGTGTACCCTCCTCCAACATACTCAAGCGCCATTGAGAGGCTCCAGAACCATATTGCGTCGACGGAGCAGATGATTGGTGAAGGTATTCGGAAAGAAGAACTAGAGGCTACCTTGCCCTCGATGAAACAAATGTTGGCAGATGAGATTTGGGCTACGGAGTTGAGGATGCTGGAGGCATGGAAGGGGCATTGGGCAATTTGGGGACATGGGGAAGGACCTGAGATGCCTGATGAGTATGTGCTTGTTGAGGAAGAAGAGCCAGAGAATGTCGTGGAAGAGAAACCTAAGTCTTTTGCGGGGAGGAAACGTAAGGCTCCCATGAATATCAAGGGGAGAGCTCTTGCCAAAAAGGCTAAACGGGCCTGATCGAAAGTTGGAGTTGTATGGGTAGTGTTGAATGTCCCGATTATTCCGATTGTTCCTGGTAGAGCGGGTCAATCTGTATAGCAACTAATGCCAGACTTTACATTGACCGGACACCTCCTTTAATTTTGATGATGATCAGTGAAACCGTACTTGCAATCCTCACAATTCTTGATAAGGAATACATTAATCACCTTCCAGGGATACTCGAGATCGTCCAAATCACGTGTGGGGGCTGTGCAGCCGTGCAGCCGATGACGAAGTTGGGACAACATTTCCAACCTCCCTTTGCGCTTTGCAGCCCACCAACCAAGATGGCAGGCTTCCTACGCGGAAAGCAAGCTGGTATCCAGCATGACCTTTCTGCGGCAATACTTCCAGGCCTATTTGCGCCAGATGACCAAGCTCGATTCGGAATCAACTCGCAGATTGGGTATGTTGGAGCTCCAAGGACCCCGCCGACGCCCCGCTGACCGTACTTCACCTACCAGATCCTTAGCATACGATCCCGTACAATCCCTCCTCGCGATAGGAACGAACGAAACAAGCTTTGGCAGCGGACAGATATACATATTCGGTCAGAATCGCGTCCAAGTCGTCCTCACGCTACCCCGCCGAGCTTCAGTCAAGACACTTCAATTTGTCTCCGACCGCCTCATAAGTCTCGACTCGAAGAACGAACTGATAATATGGGACCTCGCGACGGGGAAGAAGATTGCCAACTACTCGCCGCCAGGCGTAGTTACGGCGCTGGTGACTGATCCTATGCTGGACTGGGCGTTGATCGGATTGCAAAGTGGAGAGGTCATTGCCTATGACATCGACCGGGAGAAATTGGCACCTCTCCGGCTGCCAAATTTCTGGAGGGAGCGGAATCCACGCTCGAGATTACTGTCTATTGTTTCTATGCAGCTACATCCCCGGGACATTGGCCAGCTGTTGATAGGGTATACTGATGGTGCTTGTATCTATTCATTCAAGCAGGCCAAGCCGATCAAATACTTCGATTATGAGGTACCGGTTGGGGCACCGGGTGGCGATTCGGACCCTTTGGCAGCTGACAAGGCACGGAAACCACGTCTTACGAACGTCTTCTGGCATCCTTCAGGAACATTTGTTGGTACTGCATATGATGATGCGAGTATGGTGTTTTGGGATCCAAAAGATGGCAGAATCGTAATGGCGAGAACCTTGACGGACTGCCATGTCGACAAACCAGGAACTACGTCAAACGCCTTTGGCAACACACCGGGAACCCTGGCTATCAAAGAGCCATTTGCGAGGATTGCATGGTGTTGTAAGGACAATCCTGATGATACTGGTATCCTGGTCGCTGGTGGCGCACCAACTACCCTCCCACAAAAGGGATTGACCTTTATTGAGCTAGGGCCGACTCCAGTGTATGCAACATCAACTTGGCCAATCCTGACAGATCATTTCCAAACCAAAAAGCAGCATTTCCTTCCTACTCCCGAGGGTGCCGAGATCGTAGACTTCTGTCTCGTTCCTCGTGCATCGCCTCATTTTGCTGGAGCGCAAAATCCTATCGCCGTCATTGCTCTTTTGACTTCAGGAGAGCTAATTACATTGAGCTTTCCTTCTGGATACCCCATCTCACCTACAAATCAACTACATCCTTCGGTCTGCTTTGTTCATCCTTTCGTAACACACATGGCTGTCACACCTGTGGATAGAGGCAGATGGCTGGGCATGACTGAGAGCCGTCAGCAAGGACCTCAGTTAGTAAAAGGTGGTGCCGAAGCCACACACCCCATGAAGAGATTTGAGGCTCGGAATATCATTCAGATGGCCCACGGCGATGGCACAGTTCGAATCTGGGATGCTGGACATGCCGATGAACTCGAGAATAGCACTGTTCTGCAAGTCGATGTTGCTAGAGCTCTAGCCCGATACGGCGATGTCAATATTACGACCGTGAGTATGGGAAGCAACACTGGCGAATTTGCAGTCGGTACCGCTACTGGCGAGGTTGTCATTTACAGGTGGGGTGGCAACAAGCTATATGGCCGAGAAGCGCCCCAAGCTGTAGAGACCGTGCCTGGAGGCATCACGGATATCTCTACTCGTGCAGAACCTCCACTTAAAGAAGGTCTGCAGCCTTTCGTCCTCTACGATATGGCACAAGGACCAATCACTACACTCAAAATCTCTGACGTGGGTTTTGTTGGTGTGGGATCAGAAGGTGGAGTCTTCTCAATCATCGACCTCCGTGGGCCCGCTGTTATATTTAAATCTTCAATGGCAGATTTTGCTAAAGCGGATAAACGAGGCAGTTTCGTCAAGAAAGGTAGCGGTTCAGCGTCAGGGAAAGATTGGCCAACGGTTATCGAATTCGGAGTCATGACCCTGGAAGGAGATAATTACTCGAGTATCGCTTGCTTTGTTGGCACGAATATAGGCAAAGTCCTCACTTTCAAGATTCTTCCTCAACCAAATGGTGGTTATACTGCTCAGTTTGCTGGTGTTACTGCACTTGCGGACAAGATTATCTCCATTGCGCCGATTGTAGCAGATACTGGGAAGCCTGCTGCTGCCACGGGCCCAGCAGTTGCTGCACTTAGAAGCGGCCAACAGACGCATGGTACACTCGTAGTTGGCAAGTAACAGTGGCCCATTTTTCTGGAGACACCACTAACGATCTTCAAGTCACCCAAACAGAGGTACGGATCTTCAAGCCAGCGACAGCCAAAGGTGCGCACAAGTCCTGGGACGACTTCCTCTGTGATGCTGCCACCGTCACAGAGTTTGATGACCACGGCTTTGCCCTCGTTGGTGTCTTTGGCGACGGCACAACAAAAGCCTATTCCCTCCCAGGTCTAAAAGAAATCGGCGTCTCCAAACTCGGCATGCTCGACAGAACAAGAACAACAAGCACAGTTGTCACCTCATCAGGAGACATAATCGGCTGGACCGGTCCTTCAGAAATTGCCATGATCAGCGTCTGGGGCACCGGCCAACCCCTCCCTAAATCCCAAGACAAGCTCTACAACCCCCAATCTGTCGTCCCCTCTCGCCCAACAATCTCCAACCTACAATGGATTGCCGGCACTCAATACGTGAGTCCCACGGATCTAGATCTTCTCATCGGAGGTCCCGACCGGCCGCCGAGCAAGCGCATGATGGCTGCGGCTGCAGAAGAGGATCGTCTAGCTAGACTCGGCTCTCCTGGCTCTTCGCGAATACCGGGATCCCAGTCAACTGAGGGCTGGGGAGAGTATATGACGAGGCAACTGAATGAGAGGACGGAGAAACTGAATATTATGGGGGATAGCATGGATAAGGTGCAGGAGAATAGTGCCGGGTGGGCGGATGATGTGAATAAGTATATCTCGAAGCAAAAGCGGAATCTAGTTCTTGGAGGGATTACGGGGAAGTGGTTTTAGAGTTCTGGACTTGGCGTTCAGGGAAGGCGCTGCGGTTTGCTTCGTGTTGGGATCGGGGATGGGAACTGGGTGAATGAGGAGAGATGAAAACCTCACTTCTCGGGAATGGTATGCATTTCAATTCTTTCATCAATGGCCAGGCTGTTATACCATCTTTGTTGTTATTTACGGATTTCATTGATCAGGTGGATTCACTTCTCAGCGTAGCCGGGCCAGAATGTTTTCAAAAAGCATCCACCCCGCTTGGCCTGCACTTTTATATCTTGTCACTGACTTTCCGCACAATGTTCAGACGATTTCGTCACCTTCCCCTACTAAAATCCAATCATGGCCGCTCTTCTTTACAGCATTCAGATTCTCCTAGTGACTTCTCCCAACATTCACGTCCTGTCACCACCTTCTCCAGGAAACCAGTGACATATCCGCGTCACTTTCATGCGCTCTCTGCGATCGTTACAGACAATCTGGACACCACGGCTACGTTGATCGAAAGACTTCTCACTCCGAGTAACCTCCTCAGACTGTTTCTGGCCCTGCCAATACATTCACTCTGCTTCCGATCTCTTTTCGTGGCTTTCTTCAAGGCGCTCAGATCCTCTCGTCGATTCTCCAGACTCCAATCAAGCAGTGGCATCTGCTTCCTGCCAATAATAGAGCACTGTACACATCAGGATAACATAGTCTGACATCTCCATCACAATGAACCCGGTCGATCCACGTCACCATCTACGCGCCAACGGCGCTGAGCCAGTCACTGACGCGTGGTACATCAACACCTACACCCCGCGCACCTCATGGTCCAAAGAAGCCATCTACCGCGGATTCGATCTCACCCCTGACGAATACATCGCTGCTAACAGCCTCCTCATGACACTCCTCAAGACCAATGACCTGTTCGAACTAAAAGGCACGGGTCAAGAACGGATCGTCAAGCTCTGGCCTGTAATCGTGAAGTTCGAGGCAGAGTGTGAATTCTGGGGAAAGGGGGAGACGAGCTATGGTGTTGAGATTCCTGGGTGGTGGAAGAGGGGGGCCTTGGACGGATGGATTGAGATGGCTGCGCAATATATGAGGAAAATGAGATTGCCGCCTCTTCTGCCTGATCCAACACCCTATCGGGTTTGGGACCCACCGCCGACGGAAGGGGGACCGACATTGCCTCCAATGGTGGAGGGAAGAGCGATGGATATTTGTGGCGAGGGTGACTTATTGGAGGGACATTTGTGGGAGAATTGTGAAACACCATTGGGTAAATTGATGTATGGAGTTTCTTGGGTATTGAGGTTAAAACGGACAAGTTCAGAGCTGCGCTTCTTGCTCTTCAAAATGGTAGAGGGACGACGTTGAAGATGCGAGTTGTGAAAAGGACAAGAGAGCAAAGGACAAAGAAGACCATGTCAGACAAGAGCTGCTAGACGTAGCAATCGGTGGAAGGCTTGGGCTTGCTTAGGATTCGGTTGGGCTAGATGCCGGGAGTTTGGGGTAATAACAATGACTCTAGGCTTTCTAGCCTCCCGCTCAAGTGGTATGATTCTCTCTCTTTGACGAATTCAAAACATTGTGCGCGTAATAACCACTGCACTGTTTCGCTTTCGTTCTTTGATCAGGTGGCTTTCCCCTCTCCTCCAACAACTTTCATCTAGTAAGATTGCTATTAATTCCTGCCTGATTTCGAATTGTTACGTTATGAGTTTGGCAGGTTTGCAGTTTAGCTTACCTTGTCTTGAGATTGTTTGGAACTTGGGTGAAGTGGAAAGCGGACGTAGTGATTGCTTCTAATTGGATACGTTCCCTCAATGAAGCGCAAATATTCTCAGCTTATGTTCCCATGCCACATCCACCTCCCTCACTAACAAACACGACCCGACAAAATTGAAGTAATCAATGCTTGCATTGTCCAACGCCAAGCTCATTCTGCCTCTCAGCTTAGAATAGGGAAACCGTCATCTGTCCACGAAAGAGAAAAACAATCTCGCTGTCTATTTGAGCAAGAACCGTTGCTTTGAGGTCCGGATATGCGCTGATATTTGTATTGGATAGCTCCCTAATGACACGAACTTTTATTCCTGGTCCTGAGCCGAGGTGACAATTATGTCTCCTGCCTGAGCTGATCTTGGGACACGCGCGCATGTCAAATTCCGAAGCAGTGCAATTTTTTAATGACGATAGGACCAGTCCCCACTGACATCTTTGCAGAACCTAATTGCCCTATTCAGGAGTACTTGGCTCTCCCTTTCTCTTTTTTTGTTCCAAGCTTCCGCGTTCCGCAAGAATGCCGGGTTTCAGCCCAGATTTTCACTGTGCGACTTGTGCTGCGAAGATGGCGGAGAACTGACTCGAGGCTAGCGGTGATCGCGAGCTGTTTAAAATCGATATGAATCCTGCGGGTATTGTTTTCATTTCTCCATACATATGATAGCGTTATGTAATAGTCGATGATCTCGCCTTCACATTGACTGAGAGTTGATGGGGTGATCACGATGTCTAGTGATGCCGTGAGTTGTGGAGAAGGTTGGAGAACGATGAGACGGAAGGCATCAGGCTCGAGTAGCCTTGTATCCTGATATTGGTCTGACATGGCTATGTCGCTAGACGTACCATACTTGAGATGAAGTGTACGAGTTCTTACCACCAAAAAGATGTAAAGAACAGTCTGTGACTGGAGAAAGAGGTTGCACAATTGGTGGGTAAGAAATTGTTACGCGCTGTGGCTGAGCAAACACAATAATGCTAGCAAAGGCAGGGGGGTTTTCTGCCACAAGTGCGCAAATGGGAGGGTTTCTGCTTCGAGAGAACCAGAAGGATATTCTCACCAAAATTCGGACTGACATTTACTAATAGATCGAAGAGGATTGCACAGATTTCGACAAACAGTTTGCCCCTATTCGAATTTAAGTTTCACTGATCCACCACGCGAGATGCCTGCGGCTTGCACAATCTCACCATATTTGGTCTAGTCGTGCAAACCCTGTCGCGGGTCGTCACCTCCCTGCCGCAACGGGACGTTAGGCTGACACTTCGTTGAGCTGAGCCTATGAGAGCGCTGGGACCCGCCCAGCTGAAAAGCGGGCTTACACCCCATTTCTCATTTCGCCCCGATCCGGCTGAGCCTCTTCTCACTTAATACATAAGGATGAGCCTGTCCGTCTTCCCCCTCGCCATGAGGCAGTCGGGAAAACTAGAGTCCACATGACGGGTCCGGAGTTTGTGATCGCAGTATCTCAGTCTGCAAGATCCAGAGGATGAACACAGAGCGAGGAGAAATGGACTCGCTTCCAGAGCCGACAGAGTTTGCGTGGCTTGCCGATCTTCAAAAATGTAAGTTACTTCTTACTCTATTTGGAATTGGGCCATTTGACAGGTTCTGATCCTCTTCTTCGAGTAGCTCAGTCATTTACGACTTGTTTGGCGGACCATCCCGCCAAAACGACAGATTTCGGGTGTGACGGTTACACAGCGTCTTTGAGCGACTACCATGAACTTCTTCAACTCACAGCGCCAGATGACCATTGTGGGATTGTGTATGTCAGAGGCCATTTCCAAAATACTCCGGATGCAATTCTAGCCAGAGCTCAGAGACCAGATGTGTCTGGGCTGAAAGGGTCTTTTGGCGTTCAAATCCATCCTGAGTCTCTTTTTGAACTCGGCGAGAAGCAAGCGCAGGGTTTCGTCAATCTTCGGTGGCCTTACATTCAATATGACCTCAGAAAGAAGGCCGCTTTTGACGACGGGAACAGCGGCTCTTTCGAAGAGATATCCTTTGTTAAAGATGGCACACTATTTCAGATTGCACGTATCAAGTGGGGAAGGGGAGGCTCACTGAGTGACTTCGACTCGGCAAATACTTTGGAAAGTGAAACCATCAAACTGAAGAGTGGAGGGAAAATCCAATTTGGGTGTCCTTGCTCGAATGGAGGGCCTCCAATTGCCGACTCTTTTCGACTACGTTTTGAAGAGAATCAGCTCAGCTGCATCAGTGAACTGTACCAGAGGCGCTTGGATGTTCAAATATTTGTGAATAATCTTCCACAGGAACTCGGACCGTCGCAATTGTCTCGTGCTTCCCACGAAGTCCAGGTACCGGACCTTTCAAGAACGCATGACATTGACCTCTACGTTGGCAGGCCGACAATCATTGTGTCCAGGTATGCCTTGCGGGACGATGCCCCAATCAATCAACCTGGTCTTTCTGAGCTTGATGGAAAGTATTTTGAGGATATCGAGAACTATTTGGGAACCTCCAGCACTTCCCTGAACATGACGGACAGATTATGGACGGCACTTTGTTCGACAAATTACGAATCCAGTGAAGCGGTCGAGTTTTGCGTTGTTGGAAGATGTGTTGAGCAGATTCTTTGCGTCTCTTCTGTCCCTGTCCCCGACGACCCTCCAATTATCGCGTCTGCATCGAATATCCTTTCATCTGCCGCAGGAGAAACCTCAACCCAAGGCACGCCAGAAGATGCAGAAAAGGAGGTACCAATTGCTCTCGTTCGAAATATAATAACCTCTCAATACGTGGACGTTCAAAGCAGTTTGTAAGGCTGTTTAATCCTCCCTTTCTCTGTATCCTGCTGACATATGACTCCAAAGTTGGCAAATTCGCTTACTAGTGAAAGTCCACGAGTTCATCCGAACAAGATACTTTGAACCCGACCTACTGGAGACGCTTTGCCCTTTGGATGAGATGCGAGCAGCTTACCTGGCAAAGTTGCGACGACATATCCGTGCGATTCTGATTTGGCTCATAGAGACAGACCTCAGACCTCGGGAACTACTGCTTCCCCTGAAGATTGAACGAGGTCCAGAAATTTCCAAGAGTCATATTTCGCCCGCAAGAATTCAACACTGTCGGGAGCAGAGAGAATCTGTCAACGTTGACCGATCCTATAACCAAGCCTGCTTTGCATCTCTGGCAGTTTGGTATGCCATGAGATATTGTCCACGGGCAATAACAGAGGATCTCAAATCTGAAATCCTTTTGCCGCAACTCAAGAAAGCGTACACATCAGTCGAAAAACGGAGGACTCGTGGCCAAGAAGATCCCACTCCGAAGAATGACGTTTTGCAATGGTTTCACTTATGCTGCCTGCTTCTGATCCTCCGCGAGCCTGTTGGTCGGGACTCAGATGGGTACGCAGCAGCGGGGCTTGAGAGGGATGCCGTGACAAAATCACAACTCAAGTTCCAGAAATACGTCACCAGGCTTAAAACAAAACAGAACGAGCCATACTCGTTGGAACACGAGGAGATGGACCGTCTTGTTTTATTGGGGGAGGAATTGGACTTGCAAACACTGCAAACTCCTTTCACCGCAAGTCTGGCAGAAGCACGAGCGAAGCAAACACGAGCAAGAATCGAGGAAAGAGAGCGAACGACGAAATTCAATCCAGGCCCCAAAGCATGGAAGACATCAAGGATTACCTCCTCAGGTCCGTGGGAGCTATCGTTTCTCAATCATCACAGCTTCCTGCGGATAACGAAGGGGGAGAATGTTCGCTCGAGTAGAGATAGATGCTTCGATTTTGTGCTTGCTGACTACACGTTCATGACCTCTTGGGACCGTGCTGACTTCAACGTGGTTGGAACGTGGTGGGATCTTGAGCCTCTGAGTGTCTTCTCTGCAACAATCCTCGATCTCAAGACCGAAGGTAATTATAACTGTCATCTTGTACCAGATCTAGGCTAACTGAATGATAGGAAGGCTCAAGTCTGCCAAGTCAGAGGAGGCCGTCGAGAAACTTGCACAATCGGTCCCTGACGTGCCTGTCGAACACCAGCCCACCACTAAGGAGAAACGCGAAGAAGACCCCATTAGCGACATTATCTCTCAAATAAAGCAGACTTTAGCAACTACTGGCGATAGAGATCTGGACTCCCAGAGCAAGTTCTTTGACTGGATCGGCTGCCACCCTGGTCATTCTTTCTATCCGGTATATTTATTCGCTCTCTGGAATGTTGCTTGAAGCTTTGTCAAGCTAACTTTCCACCAGAGATACCAGGTGCAGTCTATAGAGGATACCACACGTGCGATTCAGACGAAATATGTCCCACTACGAAAAGAACTCTACAAGTATCTTGAACACAAAAAGGCGAATGACAGGGATGAAGAAGGAAACATCAAGACACCGGACTGGAATCTAGAGAATATTCAGGAAGTAGTTGCGCCTGAAGATATGAGATACTTTAGTGCTTTCGATCTGTTGTTGAACCCCGAATTCGAGTTTACTTTGACGGCCGTAACTCTCCACGATTTTATGGCATCTCTTACACATGTACCAGTCGGCTATCGTGCAGCTGGCTCACGCATTGGGACAAATATAGATGAGATGGCTCGACTCTTCAAGTATCCTAAGTCATACACGTCTGAACAACTGGAACAGTATCAGAAGAAACTATTCAGCGTCCTGAATAGGAGAGTGGGTTCCCCGACCACAGGCCAAGCATGGATGAAGTAGAGTTCGCTAACTTGGAGAAGCTTGTTGACCTGGGGGCAAAGCACCGAATACTGTAAGCAATCCCGAAAATGTGATAAAAATGGGCCTTCAAAGCTGACTGCACTTGCTTCTAAGTTTCACTCAGAAATGCTGCCCTTCGCTAGTCAAAGGCTTTGTATACCTCTGGCACCCTGACGCCCTTGACACCTTCGATGACTACTTCGGCTCCACGTCCAGGTTTCAAGAGAGAAGAGAGGCAGTGTGGACGACTACAATAACGATTTCGTATTGGTGTGTTGGATCCAACGACGAAAGAGACTCCCATCAATTTGCAGAGCCTAGAAAGAACGGCGATTTTCCTCCTGCAGGCATCGCAATGCTGGGTGGACCAACAAATTACACACGGACGGCCCCGACTTATGTCATGGAAGAGCGCTCCTCATCATTGGTTATTACCGGTGATCCTTCTGGATATTTTTGGACCTGCTCCATTTGGTCCTCGCTTACAGAACATAAGCCAGTATCGGGACTTATTGAAGCTCTGCCACAAGTACTTCAACGATTCATCAACCAACAAGTGAGCGGACGATGTCTGGTGTTCCTAATTCTCCTTGGCCATTTCTCAGAGAAACTCGCCGAGGAGTATGATTCCATCTTAAAACAATTGGATAGCATTGTTGAACTTGGGGTTCGTAAATATTACCTTTACTTAAGTTTCCGACTAATTTTTGTTCGCCATCAGGATAGAGTTTTGTTACAAGGTCTTGAATGGGGAAGTAGCAAAGCTGTTGACAAACTGAAGAAAATGTTGTGGGGTTTAGAGGCTCTCCGTGTCTTTGACGACAGGTTATCAGCTTCTTTGTCACAGATACAGAAGGCACGGGAGGCAATGGAACGCACAATCAAACAGGTAGGTCTCAGTTCCCACAAGCATCCCTTAGCTAACACGTGGTTCAGGAGTCAGGCGAGCTGCATATCGATCTTCTCCAGGAATATCTCAACGTCCTAGAAGAATTCGAGAAACGATGTGGGATGTTGTCAGATGTCCAAATAAGAACGCAGTTGAAGATCAGGCAAGTGACGGGACTGAGGGACGGTGTAAGTAGTCTCCGGTCCTCACATTCATCAGCCTTTGAATCACTGACCTTTGAGGCAGATCTCCGCAGTCACCAACGTCGAAGACAACCGCACAACCATCAAACAAGGGAACAATATCAGGATTCTCACATATATCACAATCGCATACCTACCTCTTGGGTTCGTCAGCGGTCTGTTTTCAATAAATCACGCCACTTTTATGGACAATGCTACCAATGCTCTATACGCAGCTTTAACTGTCAGCTTTGTGGTCGGCACATACGGCCTAGCGCTGAGTTTGGAAAATATTATGGATTTGTGGATAAGTTTCAGGAGCGGAGAATGGCGATCTCGACGTCAGCCTAAGGGGGTCCCAGATCTAGGGGTCGAACTTCCATCATGGCGTGTGGGGGATCCTTTGACATCAAGGCGGTCCTACGAGACAGACGAAGCGATATCAGGTACATCCTGAATATACGCATTATTGTCTGTTTTCACAATTGTTAAATGACCAGTCCAGAGGCGAAAAAAAAGTTTATATTGGAGGCGTGATATCCCTGTATAGTAGGATAAACAGATTCTAATGCCCAAGGAGTACAACGGCGACTCCAACCGTGTTCGTAATGATTGCAAAGTAGAAGAGCTTGATAGTAAGTTTCTTTTTTCATAATGAGCAATGCAGGTAATGGATGATAGCTGCAACGCTAAGAGTTGACGGTTGCTGCTTTTAACCTCCAAGCATTTGCTTCCGCCTGGTTCGGGGACAACTTTTTGTGGGAGGGGTGAGGGGAAGAAAGCTAGGAAGTGGAGAGGAGAGGAGGGAAGAATGAACGACAGAACTCATTCTGGGATCTTGGGGGCTCTAGCCTAGCCAGCATATACCAACAAAGAAATGCCCTCTTCGGCCTACTCAAAGCCAAATACATCAAAAGCTCTTTCTATCTCTTCTACTAATAATGAGAACGGCTATTGGTGAATTTGTACTTCTGTCTCGATTTATCTGCCGTGCAAGACTAACTGGAAATCGTGTCCGTGAAGATCAATGTACCAGAGATCACGGTACAGTATAAACAGATAGACAGCCCCAAACTTCCTCTCAAAATGGCTTTCTCCTCTAAATAAGAGAGCAAATCGAGGTAAATTTCATATCTGCGGGTCTGCCGATCAGCTTGATCCAAGAGCTTCGCAATGGAAAAGCGAAAGACACACTGGCCCAACCTGGAAGCCCATAAAGTTTCCCCATCCCCCTCCTAGTACCCTAATCCTCAAGACACATCACGCCCATTTTCCAACATCTTGAAGCAGACCAAAAAACGTCGTCCCCAAGCAACATCCTCTATCAAAAGCAAAATGCACTTCACTACCAATCTCCCCTCTATGCTCTTCCTATTAATTCATATCCTCTCCCATGGCGATAAAATCAAAAACCTCCCTGATTGTTCCAAAACTTGTATTCGACCATGCCATAGCGCAGAATGCGTCGAAACTTGTGTTAAAAATGCTCGTGGTAGTTGCTATGGCGACGGCAAGTTGATCTTCATCCAGCAATGCAGTCATGCTGATAGATCTGTTAGTTGCAACTAAAATGTATAAGTTTGTGTGTGGTGAAGTTTGAAGCACAGGCTTCATCTATTTCGGTAATAGATCTTGGCGGAAGGTATGAGGGGATGAGTTAAAAGATCATATGGATGGAAAGGACCGAAGGAAGGAGAGGGAAGAGAGATAGGGTCTCCAGTTTCAGATTAGCACAACAAACCAAGTGAGGGCCTTGATCTGATCACGCAAACATGTGTATGAATATTTGTTTCATTTTCTTCGGCCCTGCTATGCCCTGAATGACCATTGTGTCGTGACTCCATGTCTCGTACTCTCCGTATAACTTTCGTAATCGCCGTCGTGTCCTTCCCCAAAATGGGCCTCTTGGTCTCGAGTGTAATAGCGGTAGCGCGTATCGTGAGTAAAGGGCAGCCATCCATCGATTAATGGTTCCCATTTTCCCCAACGCCCATATTCGAAGAGAAGGAAGCTTTTATTTCGTTGCCCCAGCGAGCCGTGATCCTTCGGCATGAATTTCAAAATAACTACTAGACTCCCACAAATCTCTCCCCGTCTCATTATCTTCTCAAATCCACACTCGATCCCCTGGCAGAATCGATGCTCGGTCTATCGATACTCGGTCTAATCGAGCTGCTTGAGCTTCTACGTCTGCGTGCCCGTTGATCGTTAGGGCTTAATGGATTCAGTCCGCTTTGTCGTGCGAAAAGGTTTAGGATATCGGTGAGCGAGATGACGCCTGTCAAGCGGCCGGAGATTCGAGCACCAGGCAAGGCTGCTGCTGAGACGGCGGGGAAAGCGGCTTGTAGGGATGGAGAGGCGGGAGTAGAATTTGCGGGAGAAGAAAGGACGGCGTGAGTGATGGAGGGGGTGGCTAGTGGTGTTGCTGGCGCGGAAGGAGATGGTGAGGCTGCTTCGACGACCCACATTCGGTGGGACCGTGTGGCGACTAGCTTTGCAACTGTATGCGCCAGGGTAGAGTAGGGGTTGACGTGGAATACTATTTAGGCATGAATTTGGTTCTTTGAGGGGATGTTGGAAACAACTGCTTACCTGGGAAAGAGTCCTTTCCGTCACCAATTCCTCGCTCACTGAGGATAACTGAAATAAAGTGAATGCAGCTCGACTGCAAGAGAGGTAATTTGCTGCTACTCGTGAGAAGCTTGATATCTGCCGTAGAGATATTTCCAACGACATTAAAAGCATTATCTACCACAGCAATGCTGGTCAAGCCCTCGTTGCTCATAACTTGGAGGGCATCCGATAAACTTCTGTCACCACTATGATAATGTTAATATGGTCGCCTCTGAAAAGGTCCGCAGACTTACTTGATTGCAATAGTTTGAGGAGTCCCAATGCTCAAATCCTTCAAAACCATAGGGTAGAAAGCATCAATAGCAGGAAAGCTGCTTCCATTGTCCCATAGAAACTTGACCAGCTTCAACTGGCTCAATATCCCCACAACCTCTGTAGTCCCATCCTTGCAAACCAGTATTCTGTGAACACCACTTCCAAAATGCTCAATGGCTTTGGACAGATCTGCTGATTCAGGGAGTGTGACTAAAGGCCCTTTCTTCGCCAGGGTTTGAATTTCACGAAGTGGAATCGACTCCCTATCACGGGTCTTCTTTGCGAGCGCATCGAAATCCACCAATTGGGCTTCTTCTGGGTTCGCGAGGCCAACGACAACCAGCAGATATGCATTGAGATCGCTGTAATCAAACGTCCCGCAGGCGGCGGTATCTTGAGCTTTTTCGCGGAGGAGGATGACATTCGGTGGTCCGGCGTCAATCAACATCTAGACTCTCGTCAGAATATGCCTCCCGATGAGGATTCATACAGATAATGTACCTTCGTAGCCTGCTCAACTCCCACATCAAGCTCAGCCCATCTTACTTCGCTTTTCTCCACCAATTCTCCGACGCGTATTTGTCTCCAGTCTCTACCCACAAATCTCGGATCACCGGCCTTCGAGGGAGGAGGATGATTGAGCAGCTCTTGGACCGCCGCTTGTGTGAAGGAAGGATGTCTTTGGGAGCGTGGTGAGTGTCTAAGGTTCTCTGCAAAGCTCGAGCGGTGGTTGATTGTCTGTCCAAGGGCAGGGGAGGGACTGGAGTGTCGCGCTGGAGCTTCAACGGGTGGAGGGGTTGGCCCTGGCATTTTCGGAGTTGACGCGATTATTGTTTGGAGAGGTGATTGTCGAGGAGGATCGAAGAAAGATCATGGATCTTTGTCATGCATGCAATTGCTGGTGGAGAAGGAGGAATGTAGGCCGTGGTGTTCTGAGGAAAAAACAGGAGATTGTTGTTGAAGGCTCGAGATCCCGTCGCGTCATGCGGGGTTGTGAGCGTGACACGTGATTTGGAAACCAATTAACCCTTATCATTCTCAAATTGAGCCTGAACTCCAGATATCATGCGTATTATCGTCATTACGATGGATCGTTTTTCGCTTTGCCGCAGAAAATGTCATAAATTATCTAGGAGCATGCAGGAGCTCTGCACTGGTAAACCCTCGAGGGGGGGAGGGGTGGGAATGGCGCTTCCCTGCTTCGTGCAGTCACTATGCTTTCCTTTCAAAGACACGATTTGAATATTGATAGCTGCATCTATAGAAGGGGACAATGTTGCTTTAGGAAAGTCAAATGCACCCAAAACCTGCGCCATATCGACCTCGAACTCTCAAGCATTTGTCCTAAAGAGGGAAAGCAAGTTCAAAACTGATTTGAAAGAAGTTCGAAATAGCTGAAACAGTGTTTAAATGACTTCCTACATCTCTGATTGGTCTGTGAATCCTAACTGAATGCTTTCGCTGTGTCACTGTGGTCTCTCCGCAGTGCTTCACACTCTTCATCTGCAAATGGTAATAAAAAGGCATATAATAAGGTATATCTCTGTTAATGATTCCCAAATTGGGATGTCTTACTGGTTGATCACGCAATGCCGTCGCAGTTTGTTGAGCATACTCGCTTTCTATTATTTATAAAGAGTTAGTGACGTCCACAGCTTTTACTTTACTCTTAACCTTTTACAAGAACTATCTATTGTTTGCTTAAGTTAAAGTGCGACCCAGTATTAACTCTTTTTATTAGAAGAACGAGTTTACTGGTTTTCTTTTGATAACTATACAGGATGTTAAGACCAACTTCTTTGAAATTTAGGGGGTTTATCTAATTTATTTTGCTAAGCGAGGAACAGAGCGCCATCGTCATCACTCACCTAATGAGTCAGAACTCCCACTCACTAGACCTTGGCGGCATCCAGAAGAGTTACTTCTTAATTATTACTAGTTGAAACTCGACAGAAGAGATGTATGGAAGGGAAGTGTTGCCAAGTAGCCCTCGCTTATTTCCCAAGTCCCTTGAATTGAATTTACTGTTTTCGAGTTGCACAGGTTAATTAATGTCACTGTTGTACCACGATATCTGAGAAGAAGATTTGACGGTTGTTTCAAATAGAGTTCACACGGATAGATATCTCATAAATTCTGGTTTGAAGAGAGTTTGTACGGGAAGCTTAACCAACATTCTCGACGAAGCTGATACTGATTTCTGAAGGTACGAGGAGGACCACAGCTCCAAGTTTCTGGTGGGGTGCATGGCGGAGTCGATGCTAATATTCGGTGTACTTTTGCTATATGAGCCAGTACCCTGAGTACGGGGCTAAGAAACGCCTATTTGGAATTGCCGATAGAGATTATGAGGCAATAATATTGATGTGCTTGAGGCATGGAAAGGATGAGACGGCGATGGCAAGGACCACTTCAGTGAGGGACAACATAACTAGGAGAAACCAGAAATATCTAATATTGCAATTACTTTTGGAACGAAACAATAATAAATTATGTCTCAGATGCTCAGAGGGTTCTCTAAGAGCTTGCACTTCGCGTTGTTCTCGGTGCCTCGACTATACAGAATATCTTACCTAGAGTTCAGATGCCACAAGTATGTAAGTTTCGTCTTCTCATATTCGGATGATCCAGACCAAATGAATCTTTATAAAGGTTTCCATTTGAAGAGATAAGATACGAACCTGCGTTGGGATCTCACCTTTGAGCGCAGCCCTTATAGAATACGACCCGGCCAATCGCCCAAAGCTCTCAATTGCCTCTACAGGTAAGATTCTGAAAAGTGGAAACCAAATAAACTCAATGCTTGTGTGTATATTTGCGCGATTTCGCCCCCTTTTTCAAAGCCCGCTAACCGGGTTGCCTCGGAGACTCGAAAAAGGGGATCGAAATGACCTCATAGTCACGTGGTTGGCTCCAACGAAATTAATTTATCCACCATCTCATAAAATCGGTTTAATCCTCCCACTTTCACCTCATTTCTGCCTCACGTTCCATACTGTCCTTTCCCGCCTTTCGGATCTTTCTTTTGTTTCTGACACCGACCGGTGGTATCTGCATCTCAGCATGACCTCAATTCTCACTTTGAGAAGGCATGGTGGCCTCTTCACACGCGCTAACAGCCGGGAAGAGCGGGAGAACGACAACACTTCAACTACACTATCCGGTGATGCTCCACATCTCCACCGCTTCGAAGACCTGCCAGTCTGGTATCAAGACAACCCCTCCATCCACTCTGGCTACCGACCAGTCTCCTACTCCTCACACCACTGCTTCCACTCCTGGACCTTCCTTCACAACGAGACAGTAAACATCTACACCCACCTCATACCCGCAATCTTCTCCATCTTCGCACAACTCTCTCTCCAAGTCATGCTCACGCGCCACTTCCCCCATGCGTCAATTCAAGACCGGCTAATATTCAGCATCAACCTTTTTGCCGGAACCACAGCCTTGTTGCTCTCTTCCATGTACCACACATTAATGAACCACTCTTTTCACGTCTCATCTCTCTGGCTTCGGATCGATTACGTCGGAATTCTAACCCTCATACTGGGGAGTTTCTTCTCGGGAATTTACGTCGGGTTCTACCACGAGCCGATGCTGTGCTGGGCATACTGGTTCATGATCATCAGCCTGTCCCTCACCACCGCAATTCTCGTCATCCATCCCAACCTGCAAGGTCTCTCCTACCGTAGCCTCCGAACAGCAGCATTCGTTGCAACTGGCCTGTCGGGATTTGCTCCAGTTTGCCATGGGCTTTGGCTGTATGGATGGGAGGAGATGTGGGTTAGGTCTGGAATGCCGTTTTGGTTCGTCGAGGGAATAATTTATGGCGTTGGAGCGTTCTTCTTCGCGACTCGGTTCCCGGAGTCGAGGTGGCCGGGCAAATTTGATATCTTTCTTTCAAGTCACCAGATATTTCATGTCTTGGTGGTGATGGGGAGTGTGGTGCACTTTGCGGGTGTGTGGGATGCATATCGCTGGCATTATGAAACGTTTACCCATTTTTGAAGGGAACTGATAAAGTTTGGGGTTGCGGGGTTGCGGGGTTGCTTTGTTGTTCGTTGCATTCTTATGCTACTAGGAAGATGTATGAAGCCATCGTTGATCACTTGTCAAGCTCAAGCAGGTTGCAAAAGTGGCACGTGTGCCCTGGGATCTTATCCCGATAGCTTTGCCACCTCCGAATTTCTGGACTTACGTTTCCCCTGCATAACCCATTTTCGCACGCTGGTGTCTCCGACTCGGATCAGCTGCAGTCTTGGGTCATGAAGCGCCTCAAAGAAGCCGCGTGGATTTTAGAACGTTTCTGAGAAAACCACACCTCACTGCAATCATTGTTCTACCAAGTTGGTACAATCAGGGGGTATGGTTGTAGCCCGTCATACGCCGAATTTCGTGAGCTCTGGCAAACTTCAATCCCTTGCCTTCATTTCCAACCGCAGGCAAATAGTCTGAAGAGGGATAAATGCCGTTCCTCTTATCTCTCTTCATACCACCCTTATTCACTTGAACATTTTTATCTCGTCTATTTCGGCAAAACTTCAACCGAAAACCAAGATTTTCACCTCCAGTACCTAAACAGCACTGTCATCTCGAATTCTCTATAATATTCAGACAAAACCGTTACGAGAACTCACGTTCACACCTTCATCCCTTTAATCTACTTTTACATTTTTCATCTCAACAAGACCCAACCAACAATACCAACATCAGACCAAGCGGCGATGGCGTGCGCCTCGCGCCTAAATGCGTCACTAAAGCCAAACTCGACGATGCCGCTGCCGCTGCCAACAAACGCGCCTATCGAAAGACAGCAAGGAGTTTCAAAAGAAGGCTAACGAGAAGATGGAACTTCTAGAAAATAAATGCCAAAGCCAAGTCTGGCCGAACAGTATGCGGGAGCACATTTGCTGCTTCTCTTCAGAAACAAGTCTGGGGAGAGCCTTATATCAACGCCGAAGGCTCTTTAGTCAAGGACGGCGCCTTTACCAGCATCAACCATATTGAGTCATATTTTTGGTGCCTATGGATTGGCCAAAACACCAACACACCCTTCAAGGCACCGACAAGCGCAAACACTGAACCTTCTTTACGCTCAGCTCGGCAACGCCAACCTTTTGACATCGCCGTAGACAACGGAGGAAACATCGTTATCACTATTTTCTGGATACTATCTTCAGAATCCCATTTAGGCTCTTTATAGATCATCCCAGATCTGGCGAGGAGATGTTGCGGGATGCACATGTTGACCGACTTGAAGTCATGATGCACAGGAAGCGTGTCCGAGAGCGTGGATGATGACGAGGATTTATGAACCAACTGAACCTGAAGGTCCTTATATAGGACAGCGCTTCGTAACTGGGACGTTCGCTGGATAAATGTTTGCTCAAGGTGCATTGGATGTTGTTTGTAGCCTTCCCAGCTTTAATCGTAACGAGCCTGACCTCGTCCGCAGCTTTGTCAAGCGGATCGTACTTGTAGGCGTTCGTCGCCATGGTGGTATCGTTGTATCTTTCAGCTCCTAGGAATGGAGCAGAAGAGGGCCCTCGGGTCAATCACACTGTGAAGCTGGACTGGGGTGGTTGAGGGGAGAGAGACGATGAAGGAGGATTGATCGTGAGGCTGTGCATCTCGCCAAATTCTCTCGTTTTGCACACTCTCCACAAAAGTTTGTGCAGCCGAAACATGCAACTGCAAAGCCAATAACCTCTCCTTATTACATTCAGCCTGCATCTAATCTGCTTTCAACTAAGACTTGGGACGAAGGTTGTACCGCCTTTAGCGACAGCGATTCAGTGATTGAAATTCAGAGATGGACTCCCTGTATTCTATTAAAGAATCCCTATAATTTAGCAATTAATACCCTGGGCTAAGCGAAAATATAAATATTCTTCTGTATCATGAAGCCTAGATGACCCAGGTCTTCAGGCCCTTACATGAAAGATGGAGCTTGAAGAATCGGAAGAGGCTACGCATTCACCGTTTTAAAATATCTACCTTCCGAAAAAAAAAAAGGGGGGGTGCAATCGTATGCCTTTCCGACCGGAACGACTATAAGAACTAGCAAGTCTGCTTTTCACTTAAATACTTGAAGCGAAGCAACGTCTCCATTCGAAAATCCAATTTTTTATCCTCATCCGTCTCCCCTGTTCGCTCGGTCTAGGCTCCCTCAAAACCACCCTGTAGCTTGGGGTAACTGTGATTAAAAACCCGCTATATCCATGGCCCTCTGCCAGTACCAAAATCTCAATATTGTCTCCTCAGAAACCCCTCCCTACTCAGTTCCACAGTAAAAGATATCTGCCGATCCATCATTAGATTCCGATATTCGGTGTTAAAGATCGCTGTCTTGGCGTCGAAATGTCCGCATTCCATAATTGAGTATATTTACGCAATGCCTTTTACGAATGGAGCGATGTCGTAGAAGATAAATGAGGAGGTGTGTTGAAGAGGGCAAAGTGGCCGTAAATCCTCGAGGAGGACCCCGCACTGAAATTACCTGTAAAAGGGAAACTGATATAGACCGTCGGGATGCCAGCAAAGTCTGTGGATCTGCAGACGGATCTCCTTAGGCAGATGGGATTGGAAGTGTTCCTTTGAAGGTTGGATGATGGCGTCGAGGTATCCTCGAACTCAGAATCTAGGAGGAGTTCTAGTGGTGAGCGTATGTCTCGGCCTTCTTGGTCCGAGTCCTCTCTTTGGCTCCCCTCCTCGCCCGGCTACTCATCCTGATCATTTGAAAATGCCGTATCCCAGTAGTCTTCGTCAAAATTATTCAGATCATCTGATGTTGCAGTGCTGGTTTCTACTTCATGCTTGGTGAATCGTTATTATTGTCTCTGGACGTGTCTTGCCCCGCTGGTAGCGCCATTTTCGCTGCTGTTGATGGTTTTAAGGCCTTATGGAAAGGGAAAGAATTTACATGGTTGAGAACTCAGGGGGAACTCTAATTTTATGCTAACTATTAAGCCCTAGTGACTCACAAGGTGTGGAATCCCGAGGGTTTGGTAGTCTTGTCAAGTGTGTTCTGATGTTTTCATTTTGTGGTTCTCACGGGAGCCCGCTGAGATTAGACAGAAGCCCGGCCTGATTAAGATCACTTGTTGAAATGTTGCCCCTCCCCCAAAACTGGCTGAAAGATGGCGCATCATCTCGGCAAGGCGGTTTTACTTGTATTCTAAGTTTTTAATCAGAGTAATGCGCAAACCCATCGCATGTGAGCGTCAGTTGCGAGGTCAAAGTGCCTCCAGCGCTCGCTTAATCTATAGGGGTTCGCTTAGTGGTTTCAGGGGCTGAACCACAGAGTTGTGGTGACCGAATAGAAGCTTCAATATCGCCGCATACGCACAGCATTGCCACTGAATACATAAATTGAACAAATTTGGGCCTCTCCGCAGCTCTTCTATGCAACACCTTCCGGCCCAAGAGAATGCCTCCTCAATTCATTCCGTCCGACATCGGGAGTTGCACAGCATTTCAATTACTCACGTGGCCTCTCAATTTTTCAAGTTATCTTTGCTTTTTTCCCGATCGTTTAAAGAGCGGCCTCACAACAATTTGTTTGGAAATTTTTCGCATCTATTATATTCATAAAAGAAGGTTTATATAGTCACTCCGAATCTTCAACTACGTCACATGTGAAACTAGCCTCTTCCGCTTCTGACGAAAATCTGGAATTTCTTAGCTCCGGCTGCTAGAAGTTTGCCTCCCCGCTGGACCTTATACGACAAACAATAAATCGCGCCTCAACAAACCCCTCAAAACACTGGGGCTCGTTGACGAATATATGCCTCAGTACAGGACTTAAGTGTCAGTGATTCTTGCCTTCATCAACCCCACTTACGACCCTGAACACTTTCCCCGGTCATATTCAAAATGCCTGCCGAGACCGGAAACGGCTCATTGGCCGTCAATAGCGATCTGCATGAGGAAGCGGCCAAACATCCAAGTCAAATCAACAACGAAAACAAAGTTCCTAATGACGCCCTCCCGGAATTTCAGGCCTCGAGGATCGGGTTATCGGTTCTCAATGGCGGGGAAGCATCTTACAAGACGACTAAATCAAAACAGACCCCCGTCATTGACATCACAAAGGACTTGTGGGCACTCGTAGCCCAGCAGATGCGAGCAACACCAAATGCCATTGCCCTGGAGGATGAGACCACGAAATTGACCTACAATGAGCTGGACCAGCGAGTCGCTGTCCTCTCCAACCGCCTCCGGGATCATGGAGTCGATCGTGACAACCTCGTCGGGGTACTTCTGGGACGCAGCGCAAACTATGTGATAGCTTGCCTCGCGGCTCTTCGTGCGGGAGGAGCATTCCTAGTTCTGGAGCTGGCCTACCCTCCCAACTTGCTGGCTGATGTTATCGACGATGCCAAACCGACGGTGGTGATCACAAACACAACTCAGGCCAACCAAATCAAGGCAGAGATCCCGCTCATCATCCTCGACGAAATGAAGATGGGTCATTACACCCCGCCAGGAACTCCATCCCAGAAAGAACTCTCACCATTACCTGCTGAGGATGACCTGGAACGACTTGCTTTTGTGAGCTATTCATCCGGGACGACGGGCCGTCCGAAGGGGATTGCCAATCCACACATGGCACCGGTGATCTCGTATAATCTGAGGTTCCAACTGAGTGATCTGTCTCCCGGTGATCGCGTGGCTTGCAATGTGTTCTTCATTTGGGAGATGCTCAGACCTCTTTTGAGAGGAGCAACTGTAGTTTGCGTCCCAGACGAGGCTAGCTACGACCCTGTTGCACTTGTAGATCTGCTCCGCAGTCGACATGTTACAGAGACTCTCATGACACCGACTCTGCTTGCTGCGGTGCTTTCTAGGCACTCAAATATTCAGAAAGACCTCCCAGACCTTCATACGTTGTGGTTTAATGGTGAGGTGGTCACCACCGATTTAGCTCGCCGCGCCATGAAGGCGCTTCCGAAGACACGTCTACTGAATTGTTACAGCGCCAGCGAAACCCACGAGATTGCTTGTGGAGATATTCGGGCCATCATTGACAACGATGCTCCGTACTGTCCGGTTGGCCCTCCCATGGAACCACACAACATCCACATCCTTCATGAGAGTGGCCGGGAGGTTGACATTGGTGTCCCTGGGGAGTTGTTCGTTGGTGGATCTCTTCTTGCTCGGGGTTATCTCAACCTTCCCGACACTACTGCCGAAGCTTTTGTACCGAACCCCTTCGATCCAACGCCTGGATCCCGCATGTACAGGACTGGGGATCTTGCACGTATGCTCCCGACAGGAATCTTAGAGATTACTGGCCGCGTTGGAGCTATGATCAAGGTCAGGGGCTACAGCGTGGTACCTGGCAAGGTTGAAAATGCCATTATTGAACAATTGGCTGTTAAGCAATGTGCGGTGATCGCTCATGGCGATGGGCTTGACAGACAACTAGTCGCCTATATTGTCCGTGACAAGGAAGAACCAGGCGGCCGCCCCGTCCCCATCATCGATGAGGCTGGGTACAGTCTGGTGGCTCGAAGAACGCTGTCTACTTCGCTAGCACAGTACATGATCCCTGCTCTCTGGGTTGAGCTTGATGAATTGCCCACCAACAGAGTCTCTGGGAAAGCCGACCTCAAACGGCTGCCTCCACCCGGTGTCTCCATCTCAACTATATTCAACCACACGAAGACGGAGCGCGATACCAGAATCACCATCGAGGCCATTGCCGAAACATGGGGTGCAGCCCTCAATGTGCCATTCAGCTCCGTGACAAAGGAACACACATTTTTCGACCTCGGAGGACACTCCTTGACACTTGCCGATCTTGCTACCAGGCTGTCTAAGACATTTGGCTTTCCAGTCCCAGTTGGGCGCCTTGTTGTGAACCCGACGCTTGAGGGTCACTTGGAAGCCTTGTGTTCTATTCGAGATGGGCATACAGCAGCAGTACAAGCAGACTTGCCTGCTGTGCTCCGTGCGGATTCTACTCTCCCTGAAGACATACAGCCATCTGGCGCTGCTATATGCCCACTCAAGGATGCTAGCACGGTTTTATTGACTGGTTCCACGGGCTTTCTTGGCGCCTTTCTTCTTCATGATCTCCTGGAAACGACTTCGGCTCGTATTTTGTGCCTCGTGCGCTTCAGTGACCCGACAGGGGACGATGCCTCCGCTGGTGTTGCAAGAATACGAAGGAACTTGCTTGATTTGGGACTGTGGCATAACTCGATCCTAGATCGCCTTGAAGTTTTGCCCGGCAATCTTTCTCATAGACGACTTGGCCTTGCTCCGGACGCTTACAAAGAGCTCGTGAACAATGTCCAAGTCATCATACATGCTGGAGCCACGGTCAACTTGGTGTATCCCTACGCTGCTTTGCGGGATGCTAACGTGGGCGGCACGAGGGAGATCTTGCGCCTAGCGAGCCAAAGCGGCGCAACGCTACAGTACGTATCGTCAAACGGCGTCTTGCCACCATCCAAGAATGCATACCCCGAGACCGCCATGATTTCAGTGGGCGATGTCCCGGAGAAGCTGGTCGACGGTTATGGCCAGACGAAATATGTCGCCGAGCAGCTCGTCCATGAGGCTGGTCGTCGTGGGATGCCGGTGAGAATACTGCGAGCAGGGACTATCAGCGGCCACAGCACTTCGGGCTCAACTAACACTTACGACCTCTTCACTGCATTGATCGTGGAATCGCTACACATCGGGTGTTCCCCAGATATCGCAGGTTGGCGCGCTGAGATGACACCAGTTGACTTTGTCAGTATGGCCATCACTCACTCTTCCAACGATATTCATACGAAGCAACGGGTGTTCCACCTTGGTGATCCCAACCCTGTGGATACCAAATCGCTGTTTGACGCCCTCACCGAGCTCGGATATCCAACGCAACGTCTTGGCTGGGACAAATGGGTTTCGCTGTGGATGGAGAAACGAGGATCTGCGAAAAGAGGGGCTGGCGCTTTCACTGCTGATATTCTGCGGGGAGGGATGCCGACGGTCGAGTTCTTGAGAGATATCACGATTCTCGGCGACGAGGCCACCAAGCCTATTCTTGGCGATTTGAAGCGGCCTAAAATCGACGTGAAGCTGCTCGAGACTTATGCACGACATTGGTACGCCAGAGGCTGGCTGCCAAGGCCACCTTTGCGTCTGAATCAACCTTCTGGGTCTGGCAAGAAAAGAAACAAGGGAGCCTTGTGTGGACTCGTGGCTATCGTAACTGGTGCGTCTTCTGGAATCGGCGCTGCAACTGCTGCTGCTCTTGCCAAGGAAGGCGCCCATGTTGCGCTGGCTGCCCGGCGCACCGAGGCTCTCGAATTCCTGAAAAAGAAGCTCGTGTCCCAGGGCAGTAAAGTCCTTGTCAAACAAACCGATGTCACGCAAAAGGGGCAGGTCGAATCACTCGTGCGTGCCACGGAAGCTGCTCTCGGTCCAGTCGATATCCTTGTGTCCTGCGCTGGTGTCATGTACTTCACTATGATGGCCAATGTGCAAACCGACGAGTGGGAGCGGACAGTCGATGTCAACTGCAAGGGTCTCCTTCACTGCCTGTCCTCTACAGTCCCTTCAATGCTTTCCAGAGGCAGCGGACATATTGTGGCCATATCCTCAGACGCGGGCAGGAAGGTCTTCCCCGGCCTGGGCGTGTATTCTGCGAGTAAATTCTTCGTCGAAGCAACGCTTCAGGCCTTGCGAGTTGAGACTGCTGGCACCGGCCTAAGAGTAACGAGTGTACAGCCTGGAAATGTGGCCACGGAGCTTCTAGCAATGTCGACGGATGCAGAAGCACTGAAGAAGTATGGAGAGCCATCGGGAGCGACGGTCCTTGAAGCTGAGGATGTGGCAAACTCGATCGTATATGCCCTGAAGCAGCCACAGCATGTTGCTGTGAATGAAGTGTTGATTGAACCTCGGGACGAGCCGATTTGAAATATTTTTTGGATGCAGGACAATCTTTGAGGCGTCGCATCGGGTCGCATACGTTGAAGAAGGATTGGGAAGGTGAGGAAGGATACGAGGCAGGTTCGGAGAAGAAAACAAGGAGGGCGCACGGACTAAGAGTTAGCCGAGCACTAGCGAGTTTCTCCTATTTCTCGGATAAAAGGACTCTCCCCGGCGCAGCAATTCCATCAACCTTTTTGTCCCCAATTTCCACAATAATCTATCTACCTGGCCTAGACTCCTCCCTTCTCTACCGCGCGTCTCAATTGTGTCCCGAGGCAACTTAATACGTCTCACCATTGTGCACACGTGTGGCAAGGACTGGTGCTACACGTGCGCAGTGTTTTTGAGCATTTTTGCCTTTCCGTGATAATTAGGATTTAAGATTGTGTGTCCGCTTTCAGTTCTGGAATGACACCCAGGTTTTGGCACTTCAAGTTGAGGTCAACAACCCGTCTTTCTAGGCAGCATTCTGTTCATAGCTTCATTTTTGCCGTCTGGCTACCCGAAATATTCCCCTGCTTGAGAGGCATATTCGCATTCGAGTGAGTCTTTCTTTGCCCTCATGCAGCAAGCTCAAATGTGTCAAGAAAGCGTTCTTATGTGCACGTGCGGTGATTTGGCTAAACCGTGCCGGTATTCACCGCTAGGGAGCTTCCGTGACAGTTTTAAAGGCTCTCTGAAGGTATTCTCGAGGGGAAGAGGTCTCACTTCGATCTCGAATCGCGTCAATATCGAATGTAGCTCATTTATTTTAGCCTGAGGTGGATTCTTAGCCACTTCCTGCTAAAACCGTCTATGTACGTGCGGGTCTTGAAAGCGTGCAGACCTGACTAAAGTCATAAAGATGCACGCTTGGCATTTTGCCCTTGCACAAAGTCAATACTCCTTCGACTATCGCCGTCATACGTTCCTTCTCTCAGTTACTTGTTGCTGCTACGGTCGTTACTGGTGTATTCGCTCAGTATGATGATGGCTATGAGACGGTTACTCTCGCGGCGGATTCGTTACAGATCCATCTTGCCTATCAGGGCCCGACTGCGATGATGGGTACGTAAGCAGGCAATGTATTGCCATATAAATCCTGAGTAGTCTACTTTCACAGATTCTTGGAACACTTTGGCCCAACTCTCCAACCCCACTGTCCCTTACAGCACTGACCCAAATTGCCCCACCCAGACCGCTTCGTCTTTAGTCTCTGTTACTGACTCAACTTCTTTGACGTACGGTACGAGAACCACGTTGATTTCAACGTTTTGTTGTCATTCACAACTTATCACTACCTTCCCCAATGCAGCGATGCTACAACGCCCTTTTCCTTCATCGCCGCGCGGCCGGCTTGCGATTCGAACGCTTACACGGTTGGCGTTGTTGTCGATATGGGAACATTTGGCACTCCGGATTTAAGCACTACGGTTGGATCTGGGGCGGCAAACCCTTTATCAGCCAATGAGCCAATCAGCATCACTGCATCTTCGGTCTGTCCCTTTCGAAACCACCAAAGTCTCCGTCTCAATTGAGACTGATGATTTCTATTTTTCCTACGCTGAGACCAAGAAATTATCCTATAAAACGACCGAAACTGATAATTTCCACTTCGCGACAACGGCTACCCGGCCAACTTCAACCGTCGTTTCCTTTCTCCCCGCCTCAACCGTGGCTTTTACCAAGTCAGGCTTGATAAGGAAAACTACACTGCCCGGTTCTAGCTATACGATTACAAGGCCAGTTTCCATTATGATTTTCATAAAATATGGCTCTGTTCTTACTACTACATGACTTTCTTCTACCCATGCATACGCTCCCCGGCTTTCTTCCCAACTCCGAGGCAGTTTTGCTTCATCCCATATCCTCGCAACACCCAAGAAGAGACTCTACTGTTCGATACTCTCCTGGAACATTCTAAATTAGGAAGATACTGACTCCGTGAAGTGGTAGGGTGACCCGCGTGTCAACGGTGCAGATTGTTTGCCACTGTAACGACCCGATTTATGTCAAGCCTGACGCGAATTACGACCGCCACTCGTAGCACTGCGTCCTAGATGCTAGACCTTGGTGGGGTTGAGCTTCGTGTGCTAGTTTTGAATTAATTTTTTTGGAGTTCGTGGTTTGAGGCTTTTTTACGTTGTACCAAACTTTGACGAGCTTGTGAATTTTGTTGAGGTAGAAGCTAGTCCGTGTTCAAATGTGTAGAATTGAGAACACTTGCTGATAATTAAGGTGCTGAGCTCGGAAGATTGAATTCTCGACTTGTGTTGTTGTGGAGCGCTATCGAGTTTATTAATTAATGTGCGCAATGTAAATTCTGTGCTATTATCAGAACTTAAAAGCATGCTTTGGCTTCAGTGAGCCAAAAAAAAAATTCAACAACGACGGCACTGGCTTCATTCTAAGACGCGGAAGTTTGAAGTCAAATCTTTGGCTCGCTAAAATGACAGGAGCTGGCGAAGTGGCTCAGTAATTTGGGCTAAAAAGGAGCTTCTCAAGCGCGAAGCAGAAAATAGAGGAGCTTAACGAGCAACTAGAGAGAGAAAAAGAGTCCGGGGCAGGAAGTGATTACGCCTATTTATTTTGCAAGCCACTTCCTTCCTTCAAAGACGACTGTAGCATTCAGAATCGTTTCCTCGTCCCCCCCGTGTAGCACCCACCTGCATGCCGATTGGTAACTTCCCTTTCGCATCATGTCCAGGTACTCCAAAGCTACGTCGAACCTTCATTGTAAGATTCATGTGGGGTTGGAAGAGGAAGTACAGCTCGAGCATTACCTGGGCAGGCTCGAGTGCACGTATCACGTGCTGGGCCAACTTCAAAGGGGCACGCTTCCGCAGAATGTCAAGCGAAAGGCGTGGCGCCAAAGCGACTTACTGTGCAGTAACGAAGAACTTCGGTCCACACCTTCTCTCCTCCTTGATATCGACATCAAAATTCTTTGCAACGTTCATGCCGGTATTGCGATTTGGAAACTCAATATGGGATCAAAAAGCCCAGAACACCAGCAGACTTCCGATGGTATGGTTTCGCCTTCCAGGCAAGGTAACCAATAATTCTCATCTGACCTTGCGACCTAGCCTCCAACTCCGTCGAGCTCAAGTCAGTCAATCCCGACCCCAAAATCTCTCAAAGGGGCTCAGGCTCTGCCGATTTGGATCGCGGGGTTGTCGATGACGACGATGACGATGACGCCAACGAGGAACCTGGGATGAACAGCTCCCTCAATGTCGGTACGTTCCGGTCTTGTCTTCGGACATCCGACCCACCCCAAGGCTCATTACATTACTCTTCCCACTAATAGTCTGACTGTTCACAGAAAAGAAAAAGAAACGCAAAAGGTCCAAGAAGAAGAAGGCCAAAACGGGAACCATCCCAACGACGGAGCTCAAGCAATCAATTCCACCGCGTGTGCTGCTCTCAGCCCTATTCCCGTCCGAGTATCCAGCAGGAGAGCTCGCCCCGTACGAAAACACTTCTCGCATCACCGACGAAGAGTCGCGCTACACTTCTCGTCTCTGGGACGGAGCCTTTCTCTCCGATTATCGCCAGGCTGCAGAGATCCATCGTCAGGTTCGCCAATATGCGCAGGAAGAGCTCATCAAGCCTGGAAGAAGTCTTCTCTCAATTTCTGAGGGTATCGAAGATAGCGTTCGTGCGCTGGCTGGCCATCAGGGACTTGAGGTTGGAGATGGTCTGAAAGCGAGCATGGGGTTCCCCACCGGGTTGTGCTTGAATAACGTTGCGGCCCATTGGACGCCCAATCCAGGCGGCAAGGACGTTATTTTGGAGAAGACTGATGTGTTGAAGGTGGATTTTGGAGTGCAGGTGAATGGTCGCATCGTCGATTCTGCCTTTACAATCGCGTTCGATCACACGTACGACAACCTTCTTGCTTCCGTGCGGGAAGCAACGAACACTGGCATCAAGGTACGTCAATTTACTTGAAGGTGCGGATCTTGAATTGAGGATCGTGGAGCTGATACATGGATAGCACGCCGGCGTTGACGCAAGAATGAGTGACATTGGCGCCGCGATCCAGGAAGTGATGGAAAGCTACGAAGTTGAGATTGCCGGAAAGGTCGTACCTGTGAAAGCGATCCGAAATATTACGGGCCATGATATTCTTCGATACCATATCCATGGCGGCAAACAGATTCCCTTCATCAAGAACAACAATCGAGACAAGATGGAGGAGGGAGAAGTGTTCGCCATCGAGACGTTTGGGAGTACTGGCAGAGGATTCCTCAGGGATGATGTAAGTACCCGATTTCTTTCTCATCTCCAGCTTTTTTGGTCAATGTTCTAATTCATAGCAGGTGGGGGTCTACGGCTACGGACGAAATGAGCATGTCTCAGGTGCCAACCTGCATCTCTCATCCGCAAAAGCTCTCCTCAAAACTATCGACGAGAATTTCGGGACCCTAGTCTTCTGCCGTCGTTATCTCGAACGCCTTGGAGTGAAGAGCTACCATCTTGCAGTAAGCATTTCAGAATACTATTGCGTATTGTACAATAATTGATTCAAGGCGGCATAGATGAGAAACTTGCTGGATAATGGAATCGTCGAGTCTTATGCTCCACTTGTGGACGTGAGGGGCTCATATACTGCACAATTCGAACATGTGAGGTTCCATCTATTCAACACCTCTCTAAAGCGCTAATCATTCATTCCAGACGATTCTACTTCACAGTGGTGGGAAAGAAGTTATCAGTCGTGGTGATGACTATTAGAATTGTACGGCGCTCAATGCTCCAAAGTTTCCTCGTAAAATTTGATTTCAACGTTAAAAGAATGTCCCCAAAGTTCCGGCACATTTAGGCAGTTTCTCTTGCAATCTGAGCTTTCATGATATTATGCCTACTTCTACAAATTGAATTTTTGCTGTACGTAAAAAAGCAAAGCCTGCTTCTACTCCGCATTGTAATCTTACAAGCAAACGAGAGACAACAAACCATCCTTCTTGCATGGCCATGCCTCATTGTTCCACTCCTTGCTCAAACGGACGGAAACAAACGTCTTACTAACGTGTCATACCTTTGCTTACATCCCTTCATGACATAAGTATTGACCGGATTGACCCCCCTCTCAGCGTAAGCAATGCCTTCAACGATTGTGCCTCGAAACTCTCTATTCAACGCTTCAGTAATCGCCTCAAAGTCGTGAAACCTGAGGGGCCTGTTGAGTAAGAGCATAGCTAGCTCCATGAGCTCGAAGAGGTAATTTTGATGAGCTGTAGCCCAGCTGTAGCGAGGTGTCTTGCCACGTGTTGCGCCAGGCCTAGTTGGGTTCTTATGCGAAGGTTTGATGATTTGAATGTCTTGACGGTTCGCTACGGGCAAATCAAACAGATCTTGTAGACTCTCATTGTCGGTGACTAGAGAACGAGACGGCATGACGCGTGGGGGTCTGGCAGTATATGTCGGATGATGAGGTGCAACCTGCCGAGCCCATTTGGCTGTTCTTAAGACCCAGTCGCCAATCTCGTACTATGATTGTCAGTCAATGTCCAAAACATGCTTGCTCATTGTAAACATACAGAAGGGATCAAGATTGATTCTTGGTACACAGTGCCATTCATGACCTGGGTTTTATCAGCAGAGGAATTTCTTCAGAGCTGAGATAAGCTTACCACAAACTGGGGTCCTGCCTCATCGACTTCCTTGATGTCGTGATCTTGTTGCTCAAGTGGGACTACAAACGCGAAGCGGACGCGCTGAAGTTGAACCTGCAGACAGTCAGGAAAGGGGTAAACAATATTTGTACAATGAATAATAGTAGCACACCAATTGAAGAGATGTCTTCTCATACAAGCGTCCAGCAAATACCTGTGACGCATTAGCAAAGCTGAACGAAAGCGGTTACCTCTGGCTCTAACTACTTACTAACTGTTGTGGATTGCTATATCGGGGATCACCAAAAAACTCTACTCCTCCCTCCATGCCGTGCACATTGTCTGCTGGAAGTCCATGCGAATAGTGAGCGGTACCGCCGTAAGGAGTTGCCAGAAATGGGTGACGTCCGGCTCGGCCAGGCAAAGCGATACCATCGTGGGCAGCTTGGGAGGTATCAGAGGAAACTGGACGGGACAAAACGATACCAGCATGAATATCGACTTGGAAGTGGCTAGCTGTGGCTGGATTTTGCGAGGCGGTACCGTCCTGGATGCTGAGAGCGGCTTCCGCGATTTGTCCGAGACTGGGTATCTCGTTGTCGATCTCATAATTGTAGCAGTCCATCTTGTTACCTTGAAGACAAGGGGAATGTCCGAGAAGAGACTGCCAGGTTGCTTGAAGGAGGATGTCGTGAAGCAGAGGTCCCGTCGCTTGAAGGAGGGGTTTGAAGTTGTTTATGGTGTTGGTTATAGGAAGACGAGGAAGAGATTTTCGCGGCAAAACAACACGTTACCATTTTGGGTCCTGAGGAAACGGAAGGACACTAGGAAATTCACAAATCCGCCTGCCGTTATCGGTTCTTTGAGGAAGATATCTATAGATGCCGAGTCTCCGCGACTAGTTTATCGATAGCTAGCAAAGACAAGGCGGTGAAGTCGCGTTACACCTTTATTATGCCAGTATTTCAATATGTATTCTTCCTTGGGAATGGGCCGAGAGCAGTTTCTTTGTATTGAATGAGGGATATTGGCTCATATAGGACACCCCATTTGAAAGGCAAGTTGTCGACACGATGAGTCTATCTAACTGAGCAACAAGCAGCAAGCCAAAAGCAAGTCACAAGAGGCAGTAAGCAGGACACAGCAAGTCCCAGGTCAAAAAATGCAATTAACTGCCAGCAAGCCACAACAGGCAAGTTAAAAGCAGGAATCAGGAAGCAAAGGGGAGAAAGTAGCAATCAGAAGGTCAGGAGATGCAGTTCATATGAAGCAAGGTACGATCCACACAGAGTAAACAACAAGCCATAGGCAGAGTCAGACTCGACATTGGAATAGGTACAATTATTGTAATAAGGGTCTCAATTACTGATCTCGAGACGGCCCTCATGAGGGAGAAGTACGCGATCTTTAACTATCTCGATGCGAGACATGCCTGGAGTTTAGACTGGAGGCTTTGAATCGCCAGATCCCTGGCCGATTACATTGTCCTCACTTTCTATTTGATGATATCTGGAACAAACTGGGCACTTTGCTTTAGTTAGGCATGTATCCCTTGTTTTGGCCTCGTCTTGTCTAACCAGTGGGGAACTTAGTCTGGAAATTGGCAGCTGACAAGGGCTCTACGGCGGCATATCCTTGTTGACCAAAGAAAATCAAACACGAGGTCATTGCCTTTCCGTCTTTTGTCTATCTCCAACGAGTTGAGCTCAACATCGAACTATAGTTCAATTTTCTTGACGACTTGAGGCTCTCAATCCTTTGCAAGTCTCTAGGCCGACTGGCGTCCTGATTGTCGTGCAAAATTCATATACGTTGTGCATACAGACAGTATTCTCTCCATATTCTTCGCATTTCTCATCCTCGACTTCACCATTGTCTACGAAGCGGTCAAATTCTATCTCCATGACTCTCTGTTCCAACGTCCGCACCCAGATGATCCTCCGAATTTCGATAGAAAGTCGAAGGAAACACACAAATGCTCGTTCTCAGGTGGCTCGCCGGGTCTGGTGATGGAGCTTGATGGCCCACGGTGCCTTGAACATTCTCTATGGTCTAGGCTTTTTTGAATAAGATTATAGTAGAAGGTGGATTGAATCACGAAAGTGTGGCTATTAAGAGGGAGATGAAGTCAAGAGAAGCGTGCTAACTCTACCCTTGTTGAGGTTAAAATACAGGCTAAGAGAGAGCAGGCTTGGCAATAATACCTGAAGTATTAATACGGTATTAATGCTGGATGGTATTACTCAGGTATTACTAATATCGATATTTTCTAATACCAAATTGAGTCTCATACCACTCTCTACCCCGCACCCTTTAATTTCTACTCTCTTTACTTCTCTCACTTCATATCACAATTCTATTTAGATCATACTTTCAAAATTTCTTTTTTATATAAACTAAACTCTTTCTTTCTAGCTTTTTACTTTAATAAAATAAATTACGACTTTCTAGAGTTATATAAAATAAAAATCCCTTATTTGAAAGCCCTATTATTTTCTTATTAAAGAAAAAAAAGCTTATTTTTATTATACTTATTATATTAATTTAATAAAATTATTATATAATACTTTTATTATAAAGAAAATAAAGAAGTACTTAAGAAATTATTACTAGATTATTATTAAAAAGAGTTTAAATAAGAATTAATTTGTAATTAAAGTAATATTTCTCATAAGTTATTAAAAGAAGCAAGAAAAAAAAGCTTAATATTATAAATAAAAGATTTAGGGCTTAGAAAATACAATTAAAATATTTTTATTTTAAAGGTTATATAATCTGGCATTATATATAAATAACTTAATTAATAAACTTTTAATCAGGCTTAGTAAATTTAGGGAAGAAGTTATTAATATTATAAAACTACTTTTTCTTTTTTTAAAATAAACTCAATTATTAATTTATATAACTAGTATTTTATATATATTATATAATAATATTATATATTATAAGTAAATTAATATTAATTAATTTATATATATAAATTAAAGAAAAGAATTTAGTTATACTTGCCTAAAATTTAATTTCTTGAAAATAAAGCTATTATTTTAAATTAAAGAAAGAAAATAACTATTAATTACTTTACTTATAATTCGGTTTTATAAAAAGAAAAGATACTTATTTTTTATTAATTAATAAGTAATTAGCTATTTAATTATTTAATTATTCTTTAAAATTATTTATTTACTAATTATTTTATTTATTTATATAATATTCTATTCTCTAGAACTTTATTTTCTGAAATACCTTTAAAGCACTTTAATGTCACTTTTAAATTAAATCTTTTAAGCTTTAAATTCTTTCGAAAATATAATATTTTACTTCTAAACTTTTTATTATAATTGAAAAATTTATCTTAAATATAATATTCTATTATCGAATACTTTATTATAAATCTTATTATAAATTATTTCTCCTTACTTCAAATTATATATATATACTAGAAAGAATCTAATATTAAAGATATTTGAGAAAATAGCTAATATCTTTTTATAAGTATTAAAAGGCCTCTAGTTATAAAAGGTTTATTACCTATAAACATATACTCTTTCCTTTCTAGGTATATTAAATTTTGTATTTAAACCTTTTATATAAGTACTGTAATTTAGTTCAAGATTATTAATACTATCTCTTCGTCTGGTGAGACATGGTCCGTACTAGCAAGGGGGCCTGGCTCAGACTGTAAAAGCGTCTCCTTGCTTATAAACATATTATTCATCTGTCGCCTTTTTGCCCTGAGTCAGGCCCCCTCGCTAGTACGGACCATGTCTCACCGGACAAAGGGATAGCGGAATGGCCGGTTTTCAAAGCCTGTCCGCCTTCGTAAATCCAAAGGCAGAAGGACCAGTCAAGATAATGAATGAGAGACTTCCTCCTCCTTTCCTATAGTTTATATAATGAGACTATTCTATCAAAAAAGGCATTTTGCTTTGCCTTCATTTCCGAAGACCGGGCCTCGCCAATCTAAACAGACGCTCCTGGCCCATTACCATATAATATACAGAATATTGTCATGACTTCTAACCAAGAACCCACAAAACAGCGTCGGTATATAACAGGCTTTAGAGAAAACACTTTCTAATTCTATTTTCATTGATACGTATATCGGCGAACAGGCTCGGCAAAAATACCTGAGGCATTGATACCGGCATTGATAGTAGAGGTATTTTTCAGGTATCGCAAGGAATCGATAGTATTAATACCAGAATCGATTCTTACCCCAAAAATTAACTTTTCTTTTATTATTTAAATTATATAATAATATATTATTGTATAATTCCTTTAATTTCTAGTCTTTCTATTAAAAGAAATACTTACTATTATTAATAAAAGTTAATAATATCTTAAATTTAAAATAGCCCTTGTATTCGGAGAATTAAGCCCCGTATTCGTATTTCTTATCAAGACGCTAAATATATAAGCGAGCCTCACGAAAATCTCAAAAGCTCATTTTTACTTAAAATAGCCGCATTGAGATAAGTTTTGGTCTAAAATATAAGATAAGTAGCTAAATAGAAAGCCTAAATCAAGTAGAATATTTGCGCTACCAAAAGTTTTCTTATAAGAGAAGTGGTTCTAAAGTTAATTGCAATTAAAGGGGGGAATTGGGTTCGGGGAATCGATACCTTACGATTCTGGCATCGATACCTATCGATACCGGAAATTAAGGAATTTTTGCCGAGCCTGTCGGCGAATGAATTAAACAAGGATTGATTATGGTCAAACTAAAACTTGGGAAAGCAACCAAAATTTCTCCCAACCTCATGTTCGTCCCACGGAAAGACAACCAAATCATTCAGTGCTGCAGGTGCAGAGCAATTTCCTCAACCATTGTTGTATTCCTCGCATGGCTCCTTCCAAATATAGCCTTTGTATTCTCGTATGACAAAACAGTTCCGGACTCCCGAGGGTAACACTTCAATCTGGACAAGGTATCGTGCTACACAGAGCGGAGTAGCAGGCATTCCGGCAGGGAGGAAACTCATGATAAGTTGCGGGAGGTACTTCGAATCGTTATTGTGCAGGATATCGTACAACAGCCAATGTAGCAATGGCCTTTTGACGTACCTTTCTGCCATGTCTGGGAGTACTTGACATCCATACTTTGAGAGCCGACTTCAAAGACTCTTTGCGCATCGCCAGCCGCTGGATCCGGGTCTCCTTGAGAGGTAAGGGCGCATCGTGCAGCTAGATGGAGCCTTGAAAGGACATCGTGGTATGATTTGGGGGTTTTCGCAGACTAAATTTGGCGCATTGCACTCAGATCAGCCTAATACTCTCCCTGCGATATTGAAAAGCAAAAACTGTCGTTACCGATGTGTGCGATCGGAGAAATGGTACTGGCGTTGTGTAGAGTGGATCTCTGATCAAGCTGCATCTCCATCCCAATGACGTGAAATGATTTTGCCGGGTCTGACCGCCTCCCAAAATAAGGTTATGGTATAGCGCTGCCACCTTCGCCACAATAAGTTGGCGCCAAGAGGGAACACCAGTTTCAATCTTCAAGCCAAATCAAAGGTGATATCACCTCACTGCTTCACGGAGATGCCGGGTATTCAGTGGCACAGTGAAAGAGATGAGTGCCTCCGAAGTTGAACCTATTTGCTTGCAACGACCGCGCACCTGGTACATGTATGAAACAGTCTGCTATCTTCCCTCTCATGATCTCATCTGTGATCTCTATTCCTTTCGACCTCACGTGAGATAATCGATAGCTGACAATGGAGGAAGATTAGAAAATGGCGGTTCTCGACAGGAGCTATAAGGTATGATTCTCAACCAATATCCTGTGCGTTTCTGACGTGGGCAGAGAGCCATCGAGCTCGCTAAAGCTCGGGTTCGGGAGCAAAGGCCCAATGACCCTGGAAAATCTACCCCTGGCATGCGATCTATGCCACAACTGAATCGGGGGGCTCATTTGACCGGCCTGCCAAGCATTCATGGGATGAAGGAATGGCTGGGTGAACTTGGTCATTCAGTATTCTCAATCTTCCCGCACCTAGATCATGCTAACCTCAACAGGCCGAGGATATCAACCGTCTGAACGTGATTCACGTTGCTGGTACGAAAGGCAAAGGAAGCACATGTGCATTCATCGAGTCTTTTCTACGAACCCACGGCAAGAGGACCGGATTTCCAAGTAAAACAGGACTCTACACCTCACCCCATCTCATCTACCCGGAAGAGCGAATAAGGATCAACTTCCAGCCTCTATCACGAGACCTCTTCGCGAAGTATTTTTTTGAAGTAGAAGATGTTCTTTCGAAAGGCGAAGGCAGGAGACCCCGCTACCTTCAACTATACTTTATCTTCGCCCTCCATGCATTTATACGAGAAGGCGTCGATGCAGCTATCATCGAGGCCCATCACGGCGGAGAATATGACTCCACGAACGTCGTTAAGAAGCCTATCGTTACCTGCGTCACAACTCTTGGACTCGATCATGTCGAACAACTTGGATCTTCCCTGGAGAGTATAGCCTGGCACAAAGCTGGTATCTTCAAGCCTGGCGCCCGAGCTGTCGCAGCTCCAGCTGTGCCCGAAGCGACATCTATGCTTCAAAATCGCGCAGTGGAAAAGGCCTCCACGCTAGAATTCGCAGAAATAGATCTTGTGTTACCAGATGGAGCAATCCAGATCAAGCCCGATACTCTACGCACAAATTGCTCCGTAGCCATCTCAGCAGCCCGTGCATTTCTCGAGGAAACGACAGGCGAGAAACCATCACCCTTGAGCGATACAGATATCATCGAAAGTATCAGACAATGGTCTTGGCCCGGGCGTTTTCAGATTGAGGTCGAGGGCCAAAACACCTGGTATCTAGACGGAGCTCATAACGACATCGGCCTCACTGCTGCAGCTGAATGGTTCCTCTCCCACGCCCAATCTTCCGCCTCCCCCAAGATCCTCATTTTTGCTCAAATAAGTCATGTTCGAAAAGGTGGTCCTGTCGTCGAATGCCTAGCTCGGGCTTTGCAAGGAAAGGTAGACCATGTAATTTTCACCACCTATCGACGAAACCAAGATTCCCCAGAAGGGAGAAGCGAGAAAGAATTTAATATTGACGGGTTGCAGAAGGTGTATGTGGAAGCATGGAAGCAGATACACCCTGCTACCGAGATTCTGGTCCAACGTACGATTAAGAGCGCACTTGACGCTGCGAGGAGGATCGGGGAGAGTGGTGATGGTGGGATGCAGACTCTCATTACTGGAAGTCAGCATTTAGTGGGACCTGCTTTAGCGCTTATCAGACCGCCGCCAGCGGAAGAAGTGGTATAGCATATACATGAAATCAAATACCTCCTCCAGAATGCCAAAGGCTGATGCGTATATACTTACTCTCGTGTGTAAGTTTCAAGTTTTTGTTACCAATAAAGGTGCATGCATCATGTCGTCATAATCCATTGCCTTTTCGAAACTCCATGCAAACGGCGCCGGTCGTTCCATCCTGGATTCAATTCTCTTGAAATCAGAAAGAAATCTAATAGTCGGACTTGACGTCGCGCTAAAGAGGCCCTTCCCTTTAGTAGGGGAAAGCAAGATGTCCCGCACTAAATAAAATCCTTAATAACTTGAAACCTTAACCTTTTTAAATAATTCTAAGTAATAGAATTAAAAATATAAGCCTCATAAACTAGATACAATTCTCTAAATCTTAAAAAAAGAAGCGAGTAAAGAGTTATTAAGGTTTTCATAATAAAATCGCGAGAAATACAAAAATTATAAGAATTATTTGTTTGAAATTATTTTGCGAGTATTAGACCTATAACTTTTGCTTAATTATAATTTTTTATTCTTTTACTTAAAACTTTAGCCCTTAAGTATGCAATAGGTAACTATAAGATCGCGAATGAAACATATTAATTAGATTTTCTATAGCTAGTTCCTAATATTGTTTTTAGAAGGCAAAAAAGGCTGGTGCGGGAGATATGGGCGTTGGGAATGGCTTGACAGTGAACGTTCCCCACCGCATGGCATTCTTCCGAATGCGGCTCTGGCTACGGGGGGATGCCAAAACAGATTTGGGCGTTTGCTGTAGAGAAATTTACTGAGCATCAGCTTCCACAATCGGGCACACCCTTCCTGCCACCGCTCAGGCGTTCATCATCCTCTACTCGACCCTCGACTCAGCTAGCTCACTGGAGTAGCCTACAACGTGAGTAAGATTTAATATAAATAAGCAATAAGAACAATCTAAATTTTATGTAATTTATACAAGCTAAATTGTTTTGATTTAACAGAATATTACATACTTAACTATCGAAATCTAATTTTCAATGGTTACTACTACTCCTACTAGTTCGACGGATCTCCATGCTTGAATTCCTCGTCCCACGGTTGCTCGCACTAGGTGTTGGATCTCTCTGCAAACCAAGTCTCTGAAAACGCTCCTCTGCACCACGATAACTGCCACAAAATGCAGTCCAGAAGTCATGGTCAACGACCCATCGGCAATGCTGTCTATCTGGAACGTGGTCGTTTCTTCTCATATAATCCAGGAGAAAAATTATATCCTGCGCGTCGCTTGCCTTTTTCTGCTGCATGTCAGGGCCAACGCGGGTTATATACGAGTAGGCTTTTGAGTTCAAGAGGAAGTCGACGGGCATGACCCGATGTTGAGTTCGTGTCGTTCGGAATGTCTGGCCAAGAGCTCTGTCTGATGTGATGTCGAGACCATAGCAATTCCCATCGGAAGCTAGATAGCTAAACTTCATTATTAGCAGTGTTCAGTGACACTAATATAGATTGCAACAAGGAGATTAAAAATGACACAAAGTGCCTTCGAATACAAGGCGCACGCAATAATAAACTCAATAATGTACTTACCCTATTCCTCGCTCTGCCGTGCGAACCATCCCATGGCGGAGTAAATGACCCTCTACTACATCTATTATATTGTGCGGAACCATGACATCTAGATCTGACGTCGTCCGCACGTTGCCATATTCCGCTAAGGCGGTGCCACCAATCACACCGTACTCCAGGTGTCCAAATGCATCCTGCGTGGCATTCAAGAACTCGGTCCTTATTTGCTGCGTCATCGCCCTTTCTGTTCGCTGGGGGTACTTTGAGCGTTGTGTACTTCTCGCAGACGATGAACTGGTATTTTTCAATGGAACTGAAGCAGGCCTTGGTGCTGTCGGCCTGCTAGAGCCTTGTTTTGAACACAAACAACCCATATCGGACAATACAGGGAAAATCAAGTATATAAAAGTAGTTCGGAAGAAAGAGAAAGATATACGGTAATTGAAGAGGAGCCAATATGGAAGAAGAGGATCTATGCAAGGAAGCCGCCAGAAACTTTAGAGCTGAGACAAGTCGCCCAGAAACAAGCTTGAAGGGGTGTATATATATGGTCCCCTCCAGCCGCAATCAACCATCCTCGGACATTTAATTTAGCCCACCTCTTTGTGTTTTTATTTCCATCTGCTCCGACGTAGCGCTCGCCTAGTGAAACCTGAAAGCATCTGTAGCCGCTAAGACTGGGCTCTTTTTGTAAGGATATGGACACATTTGGCCTCATGTGGCGAGAAAGTTCGGGATGAGAAGATCTCGGACGATGGAGACTACTATTTTTATACACCCTTGTGTTACAGGAATGAAGAATGGCTCTAAGATGTTGTGATGTTGGTTGATTTGAAGTGAACGAGCCAACGAGACAGGGGACTTGGTCCGACCCTCGAGCGCTTGAGCATGAGATCTAATTCGTTGAAAACATATGATTAAGGCCCGCCCCAGCCCGGCGCTTACTGCCCAAACGTAGGTCAATTGTCACCTGTTCACAGGGGTTTCATCGGTGAACTAGCCAGGACCGCAGGGCGGTCCGACCAATAGCCTGTCGTGATTCCAGCCTTTCTTGCTATATGCAGTTATATATTGGTTTCATTTCAAACACCCGGTGCGAAGCACACGAGGATTTGCTGAGATGGCTTTGCCACGTGTTCGCTTAGATAGAAGGTGTCACTCACCAATCGCCCACACCCACTTCCCGCTCAACTTGGATTTTGGAGACCTTAACACTACAATTTCGAAGAATTAATACAATATTCACAATATTTCGAGTATTCTCTATAATCCTGAAAGTTTTCAGAACTTTCCAATGACTTTGAAAATTGGTGGGGTAGGCGTGGGCGGGAAGTGGGTGACCCCATTCTAAGGTTAGAAGGTTTTACTGGCCAACCGCCCAGACCACCCAACCGCCCAAAATCGCTGTTTTCCAAAAATCATAATTCAACACCCACATAATATTTTACTATCAAATCAACTGTTTTCTAAAGCTTTTTTAGCCCCTCAACATGTCTGTAAAGGAAAATCACTATACCGAATTCACGAACAATCCCAACGAGCTCTCAGGAAGCGTGCGATTATAGACGGCTCATGACGATATCTCGATTACAAGAAGACTAAATCCATTGGGGAATGCGCGAGAGAGCATGGAATTGCATACGAAACCCTTTGAGATCGAATTAATGGAGCAAAACCAAAGGTATAAGATGCAAAGGCAAGATAGCGTTTATTAGTGAGGCAAGAAGCAGCTAGCTAATTAAAAGAAGGCATAAGGTTTACTAGATAATTGCGAATTCGATTAATATACGAGCTTTTATAATTGAAAAATCGAATAGCACCTAAATTATAATTAAATATTTATATAGTATGGGCGTTTCTTTGCCCCAAGAATTAGGTACTTAAATTTAGGCTTGTTACCCCACTAAACGCAAGTCACTAATTCTTACCCCAAAGAAAATTTAATAAGAAATATTATTATAATAATGCAAAAAACCTTCTAATATACTCTCTTATATTAAGCTATATATTAAGCCATATATTACTAAAGAACTTAGAACGTTATATAAGATATTTAATTAATTGTATAGGAATTAGTGAGGGGTAGAGATGGCGGGGTAAAAATCAGTGGGAAAATGCCAAAAATGCTACTAAATAAATAATTTTAGCAATACCACATAGTTTTAAGTTAATATACAGCTATTAGGTGGTTGTGAATACTATAAAGTATTAGTATTTAATAGGAATTATAATTTTATTAAGGCGTTGATTAAATATTAAGATTTTTAGGCTGGGCGGTTGAGTAGTTTGGGCGGTTGGCCAGTGAACTCTTCTAGTTTAGCTTAGTCATCCACTCCATTGAATGTTACCCTGTTTTTGCGCCAAGATAAATTCATCATCTTACAATTCTGGGAGGACAAGCTGAACTAATACATGCCAACTCCTGTGGACATACAATTCAACGAAGATTGCTCAGCGCATAGTGAAGCCGTATAAGACTGTGCGGGACCAGGTATTGCGCACGCCTTTCGTTCCAAGGAATAAGATTGACTAGTTTCGCCTCAGATTCCATTACTAGCCAGCACCCAAACCTGCACCTGTCTCTATGGGAAATACCAAATCGACACCCAGACGGTTAAAGCAGGCTAGTCCGTCTATGGGCAACAGCCGCTACGAAGCTTGCAGGCTACTGGCCGACAAGCAAATCCCCAACGTGATTTGGCTTGAGGATCTCCTTGCTCTCCATGGTAGCAATACACAAGTTTGGGATCTTCATCTCTTGGTAGAAGATCCGCGTACGGCAGCAAAGATCCTTCTCGATAGTGGCTACGAAGAAATGCCACCAGAGGCCAGGTTCGAAAACGACCCCGAATTTAGTAAACGAGCTATTCGGATTGCTCGTTATCGATCTTCGACGGGTGTAGTATTGCACATGGCTAGAGAATGGTATTATCAATTGGATGATGGCGTGCAAGACTTCCTCCCGCCACTTCATAGCTTCCTCGACTCAATGATTGAGTTTTGGCTCAATATTTCCTCTCAGGACTACGTGGATCGATTAGGATTTGCTCTTTATATTGGCTGTTTGATTAACTACTGCTATTACCTACACAACTCCGAGGGCGAACCGGTCAAGAGTCTCACTTACGCCGAAAATCTCAAACCAGAGCATCGAGAAGTTCATTATAATATCACCTCCGCGGACCCCAAAGAAGAGAGTTTCACGACTACGAGCCGACACATGTATCATGTGAGGAGAAGCAGAGAGATCAAGGAAGGCATTTTTGTGTCCAGACCATATGAGAAAGGAGTCTTTAGGGCTCCTTTGGCCACAGTTTTGGAGCAATAAGGATAAATTGAACTGTCGTGGTTGAGGCTATGGCTCAGGTCTGCAAGACGCGAGAGCTGGGTGCTGGCGCCGCCTGCGGATAACAGGCAGCCAACAAACTGTTTTGTAGCATTCCACCGTGGATATTTTCTTGTATTTCTGTAGCAATGTCTCGTTCAAATATAAATACCAAAAATAGCCTCATGCCTGCCACCTGTAACAAGTCTATTTCCTCGTGGCCACCTGCCATTCGTGGGGCCTCCTGCAAGTCTGGATCGCCAAGAGATCATAACCTTCTAACGGCTGACCTAGGCTTCTTACGAAATTGGCCTTAGAATATTTGTTCAATTTAAATGCCGTCCTTCAATCCACTGACTCCAATGAAGACATGTCTCTCGGAGTGATGACCGAATTTCCTTCTGGATTCCACTTATCTTTGACCTTTTGCCTCTGAATCGAGCAATGTTTCGACCTTGACCACTTTCGACGCGTCAAATGTCTCCAATTCAGACCTACGATAGCCTTTCTGATTTGCCACAACTCGCTTCTTCGTTCCCAGATCCACGAAATCGCAATTAAAATGAGTGTGTCCAAACGCCCAGAGCATGACATTCGCGCTAGTCCAGCATACCTGATCAGAGAGATCTGTGACGAACGCAGACCGCACCTGACCAACATCTTGCAGCTGTCTAGGATCATTGGCTGCCTCAAGCATTGTCGGGCTGTGGTGAGTGAAGACCACAATCTTGCGATGCGGCTCGTATCGTGCGATATTCTCGATTTGCGAATTCAACCAGCCGATATCAGACTGGTGTGCAGAATTGTGAGCATCAACCGTCCAATCTTTTATCTCGGAGAAATCCGAGCAGAAGAGCGCCGCGGATTCTCGCTGTTCGTTGGAGATGCGCGAGAAAAGAGTACACCCCAGCACGGTCATGGAATCCGTGAGATCAAATCTTGTCTGATCCAGAAATATAAATCGCCCCATAGTCGATCCTGGTAATGAGCGGAGCTCTTCTATTTCATGTTCAAAAGCACGAGCAGTTGTTCGGGCTACCAGCACGGTCGTTCCATATGCCTCGTGGTTTCCCAGGATGTAGAAGACAATTTCGAACTTTCTCAGCTGGTCTTCAAGAAAACTAAACAGCCGAGGGTCCCATATACTTCCGATGTCACCAAGAAGAGCCAGATACTGACATTCTGGCTGGATTTTGAAGTCCTCGTATGTCGGCCTTGCTTGCGGGGTTTCAAGATGGAGATCAGACACGAGCTGGAACTTTACTGAATCGACAGCGACGTTCATAGTATTTAAAATTTTGAGATACTTTGTTGTCAGGTCAGAGGAGTGGACGTAATATTCGTATGTATCGAAGAATGAAGGTCTGCAAAGGTCAAATAAGCATGGCCACTGTAAGGGTGATATCGGAGATACCACGAGGTGTGATTGGAAAGGGTAAAAAGGACATAAGGTTTTATTTTAAGGCTCGAGCGGTCCACATAGCATAGATCCGAGCGAGCTGACTAAAAGCTGACAATGCAGCTTACATACAAAAGCGTGATCAAGAATCACAGGGCTTATCGAAACAGCACGTGATTTGCGGAGCGCCAGCCTTTGCTCTCGGTAATAGTGGGACTTAGAGTCACGACTAAAGGGGCTCTTCCCTTTAGTCGGGGAAAGCGAGTTGGCCCGCGATCTGAGCACGGCACTCGGAATCGCAGGAGCACAGGAGCTTTTGAAATGTATTGATTGGCGGGAACCAGGCTCCCGATTGCTTAGTCAGCGCGTTCCAGCAACTGGTTGAGCAAGAGAGGAACCTCCATCGGGCAAGGAACACCTTGCGGGTGTCCTGTGAAGTAGGAAAAGAGAGCCTGGGACTCGCCCTAGGACCCCACTGTGTGGGTGACCATGTCGGGCAGTATCTAACCAACTAACAAGAAACAGCTATGTACAGGAAGTGGTGCAGGGCACCAGGGTAAGGTGGGTGGGTCGAAAAGTGCCCTGAAGAGAGTGCAAGAGTGCATGAGCAAGTGAGGAGAGCAGAGAAGGGGCCGGAGGCCCCTTATATGCTCTTCCTCGCTGGCGCTCAGACCCCCTCCGATCGAGAGTGCCCGCGCCAAATAAAATCCTTAATAACTTGAAACCTTGACCTTTTGTAACGTGCGAGGTAGATTAAGCTCGTTATCGCACTGCCAGCTGGGCCAAAAGGCCACAGTATTCGCAACCAAGTCGCGACCACGGTTAATACCATACATATATACGTATTTGTACGTCACGTGCCCCGCAGTTCACGTAACGCACCTCACACCTTTTTAAATAATTCCAAGTAATAGAATTAAAAATATAAACTTTATAAACTGGATATAATTCTCTAAATCTTAAAAAAAAAACGATATATATAAAGAATTATTAAAGTTTTAATAATAAAATTATAATTCTTTATTTATAATTCTTTTATAAATATTATATTTATAACCTTTACCTTAATTAGAAAATCTTATTCTTTTATTTAAAACTTTAGCTTTTAAATATATAATAAATAAAATATTAATTAGTTCTTTTATAATTAGTTTTTATTAGAATTAATTCTTGGAATTAATTATATTTATAAGTATTATTTTATAGCTTATTTATTTTTATTACTTATATAATAGCTAATATAAGGGTATAATCTACTAAGAATAGAATATCGGAAATAAATATAAGACGAAGCTAAGCCGGAATTACTTAGATAAAATAATACTAAAGGTTAAGGTATTCTTTCTATTTTATTCTATAGCTTAGTATTTTCTAATATATAAGATTCTTTAAACTTTAAGCCCTTAACTATTATATTAATTCCGCTATTATATAATATTAAGCTTACTTAACTCGGCCTATAAAGGCAATATAATACTACTAGTAAAGAACCTGTATTTATTCTTAAAAAGCAAAAACAGAATACTACTTTTAATATTTAATAATCTTCTTAAACTATAAAGAACTAGAGAGCTTAACTAGAAGTATAATATTCTCTATAATCTAATTAATCTCGGAGCCCGATTCTTAACTAGAGTAAATAATATTTCCCTTCTAATAATTAGTTCTTTACTAATATAAAAGAAGAAAAATATTATTTTCTATAATTCGGTTAACTTTAAAGCCTAATTCTTAACTAGAGTAAATAATATTTCCTTAATACTAATAAGAATAAAAGAACCGGCCCTCTTTTCTAATATAGGAAGAATTAGTAGTAATTTACTAATTTAAAATAAGAAAAATAATAGATAGTTTTAGTCTATTAACTTAAAACTAGATAAGATAATAATTAGTTATAGTTTACTAATATTAAATAAAAATAACTTACTTAATACTTATTTTTATAGCTAATACCTCTTCTAAAACTATTATAAATAGCCCGGAACCAAATACTATTATTATAGATATATTAAATAAAAGGCTCTAGTATAATAAAATAGAGGAACCAGACTTTAATATTATAAACCTATATTACTAGGAAAGCTATTATAATACTATTCCGGAAGAAGATATTAAGAAATAGCTAGCTAATTTAGAACTTAAATTAGTATAAATATCTCGAAAATAGTTAAAGGCTAGTAGAAATTACTTATATAAAATAACCTTATTAATAAATATTACCTTATAACTAATAAATAAGCAAAATACTACTAGAAATTCCACTTATATATTAACTAACTTACTAAAAAAGTTAATAAGCTAGAGGTAATTACTAGTTAATTTTATATAGAAAAAAAACTAATATAAGAAGAAGCTATAAAATCGAGATTCAAATAAGTAGATATCTAGAAATACTATAGATCTCTATTAAAAGAACTATATAGGGACTAATACTAAAGTTCTTTTCTGCTTTTAGTTTATAGTAATTAATTATAGTTTATTAGAATTAAGAATTCTATCTTATTTATAAGTAAAGATAATAATTAGATTAATAATTAGATATTTGATATAAAAAGTAACTAATATAGAATTTTTCTGAATTCGATAATAAACTATTAAAAATTATTTATATAATATAACTAGTTATTAGAAATACTTATAAATTTATTTATAATTAACTAGAACCTGAATTAGTTAGATAGATCTCGATTATTAAATAGATTTTTAAGATTCTTTAATAAGCTTATAATAAAAATAAAGGAATAAAATACTAGAAAATAAAAGAGGTATACTAGTACTTAAAATAAAGAAATAAGCTATTTCCGGTATTCTAGATAGAATTTATTTATTTAATAATAAAATTGAGAAAGTTATTAGATAATTAATATAATAATTTAATAAATAAAATAAATCTCGAGCTATTTAAGAGCTTAAATAATAAGAAGTTTAATATATTTAGGGACCTTACTAAATAATATATAGAATAAGAGAATAGGCTTTTCTTAATTAAAAATTAGTAATTCTAGAAGAAATAATTAGTAGAAACTATTTATTATTAAATACTATTTTGGCTAGAAAGCCTACCGGAATTTAAGAAACTATAGTAATTCTATATCTAGCAAATTAATCTTAATAGCTAGTATTCTTATAATTAAAGGAAATAATCTATTAAGAATTTAAGAAGAAATTAAACCGGCTAGAAAGTCTTTATTATTATAGTTTTAGAAAGCCTGAATAATAAAAAGTACTTATTCTAACTTTAATAAGATTATATCTATTAAAGAGAATTATTTAAAGAAAGCCAATAATTTAGAAATAAATAATAAGAATACTAACTTTTATTTACTATTTAATAAAGAATATAATATTAATAAATTAGGAAAAGTCTAGTTCTAAATATAGAAGTAGCCCTTTTAAAATAAGAACTTTATTAAGGGCCTATAAATCTTACTTAACTAATTAGTAGGAACTAGTTCCTTATTAATTATAAAGTATACTATTATACTCTACTGCTTTACTAGTAAATTTAGTATTATATAATTATAATAATATATATAACTAGCTAGTATTTAGAATACTAAAGCTCTTATATTTACGAGCTTCTCTTCTTAATTTAGAATCCTTAGATTAAGAGCTACTTTACCTGCTTTCTAAGCCCAGAGCCCGGTTTTATAATATATACTAGAAAGGCAAAACTATAATCTTCTAGTATTTGGTAAATACCAGAATAAATATAAGATTCTTAGATCTTTAAATCCTGGCTATTACTTCAATTCTATTATTATATTATACTAAGCTTACTTATTTAGCCTATAAAGGTAATAGAATACTACTAGTAAAGAACTTGTATTTGTTTTTAGGAAGCAAAAACAGAATTCCGCTTCTAATATTTAATAATTCTCTCGAACTTAAAAAAGAAAGATATATTCTCTAAAACCCGGTTAATCTCGGAATTTGGCTCTTAACTAGAGCAGACGACGTCCCAATAATTAGTCCTCTACCGATTTAAAAGAAGAAAGATTCCTGTCCTCTATAATCTAGTTAATCTCGGAATTTGGCCCTTAACTAGTATAGATAATACTTCCTCGATATTAATAAGAGTAAAAGAATTAGTATCTCCCTTCAAGAATCGGTAATTCTCCGATTTAAAACAAGAGATATACTAATTAGTTTCGGGTTCCCGATTTAAAATAGAAGAAACCCGGTAATCGGTTCCAGTTCGCCGATTTAAAACAGAAGTAACTGTCTCACGATTACCTCTCCTATAATTACCCCTCCCGTAATCGCCCCTCCCGTAATCGCCCCTCCCGTAATCGCCCCTTTCTTGTTCGCCTCTCCCTTGTCTGCCCCTCGTACGGCCGCCCGTATAACTACCTTCTAGCCGGATACAATACCCTTTCTCTGACTCGTCTAATTCGAATAATTCTGCCCCAGAGGCTTATATATAGCATTCTCCTGCCGGTAATTTGTCCTTTTCTAATAACGGAAAAACGGAAAAGTCTGGCTCTATAGACGATTTGGGCTCTATAAATAGCTCTATAGACGGTTCTATAGATGATTCTGACTCTGCGAATAATTTGGGCTCTATAAACGATTCTATAGACGGTTCTCTGAACAAGCTTGATTCTATAAACGGTTTTACGAATAATTTGGGCTCTATAGACGAGCTTAGTTTAATAGACGGTTCTTTTAATAACTCTGCAAATAGTTCTATAGACGATTTTGGGTCTAAGGCTAGTTCTGGAGCCTCAGGTAAAAGTAGAAGTAGCTATTAGTCAGATAGTAATTATTAAAAGCTAGCCGTTTTAGGGGGTTTTTATTAAAAGACCTATTTCCTTTATATATCTAAATAAAGGTATTCAGACTTGGTTTTCCGGAAGAGTAATATAATAGTACTAACTAGAGGCTATATAGAAGTAGCTATTATATAACTAGTTTCATCTAGCTAGCTAGTATTTTAGTAGTTTTAGCTAGTACTTCTCTTCTTTTATCCCCTTTGCTTTTCTCTCTCCTCTTCTTCTTCTCTTTAGCTTAATATTTTCAATATATGAAAT